TCAAGTGAAACAGATATACTTATATAATCCCGAGTATAATATGAGTTTATACACTCGGAATACCTCCGATATTTTTAAATGCAAACCATTTTTAATATGATTACCACTAGCTTTTTGGTGAATGACAATATCCTGAGAAAATCTGCAGAGATCCTAGTAAACGTTCAAAGGACATAATATAGAGTCTGTCAACTCGCACTTGGCTAGCGTGGAAGATAATATAGCCTGATCCCACTCGTACTGAAGAGAAGCCTCGGTCCAGCCCATTAATAAAAAGTACATGTACGATGGTACGAAACTCTTTCAGTTCGAATTCGACTCGCACTTGACCGATGTTATTATATTAATATGACTATTACTCTACGAGTATGTATGTAGAATATATTAACTTCGATGATCGATTACGAACGTTAAAAAAAAGTTTCTTGTGTTTTCTATTTTTATTATTTGTTGTTATGCGGCAATAGAAATACATTCTCTGGGAAAATTTTAACTGTCTTCCTATTACGGTTCATGAGTTACAGCCCTCTGACAGACGGACGGACGGACGGACAGCGGAGGCATTGTAACAGGATTCCGTTGCCACCGTTCGGGTATGGAACCCTAAAAAGTACGTGTACGATAGAAAGGAGCCCTTTGTATGCGAATTCAACTCGCACTTGACCAATTTTTAAGTATTTTTCTGTTTGTTTCATTGACATTGCATTAAATATATAAAATAAAAGCTTTTATTATTCTGCCAATTTTTTCATATTGATATTTAACGCACGAACCTCTGCGATATCATGGTCTAATAATCCCTAATTGCTAAAAGTCTCGGGAAATATTTATTTGTTTTCTCTTTTATTTCATTTATGAGTCTCGAGAGGTCTGGTTAACGATTCGATTTATTGACTGACGACGAGACTTATTATTACACTGTATGTGGATGGATATTAAAAGCTTTTTTGTAGGTTGACGTATTGTGTGTTGAGGTATATGTAGTAAGTCAGTGCCTCTAGCTCGGATTTTTCCATATTATAATAAATGACGTATTTGCTTTTCGACCTTGTTTTCAAATGTCAAATAAGCTAGTACTAGGTCTTCAGTTTAATCCGCCATTTAATTCTTGCAACTATAAGTAAAATCAGAATGTTACGAAAGAACTATATTTTTCCGCCTAAACCGATTAACCTCAAATCCTCGCACAAAATTTGTTTCTGAAAATTCTAATATTAGCTCGCAGTAAGATATCAGGAAACATACACAATAACAAAATAAAAGGTGTTTTAATAACACGCAACTAAATGTATACACAATGTACATCTTCTTAACCTACATTTTTGTTTTTTTATACATATTAACGACTCACGCTTCGTTCAGGTTCGTCTTTTTCTCCCTAGGTACGTTTTGTCGCTTAGTATGGAATAATATTTTTTTTCAATAATCATTTTTTTCAATAAATATCCAAAAAAACAAAGTCGTAAAAATCGGACCAGCCATTCTCGAGTTGATAAGTGTTGTAACAAAACCCTACCTACTCTACTTTCTTTATATATATATATATATATATATATATATATATATATATATATATATATATATATATATATATATGTATATATATATATATATATATATATATGTATATATGTATATATATACCAACCATTTTAGGATTTTTAATATCCAATAATTATTATTATAAATTTGCATTTATCTAAAACAAATATTCTTTATATTTCAAGAAAATTCTTAAGTCATCATCACAGCTAAGTTGTTGGGCTGAGGAACGATTGACGTCATTGCTACACTTGGAAATTTTGCTTCTTATTTGTGGTTGCAAAAATTAAAAAGTAATTTATGATTACGAAGAATTTCGAACTATGAAAATTAGCTGACTCGAATACATATAAACTTGTTTTTTACAATCGTTGTTATTCCTTCGGTTATTTTAACCGATATGTACATTTGTGCATATAATGCGTGATTTTTTATGTATATTATCTGTATATTAATTAATTTTGTACAAAAAATAGACGTATATTGTTACAACGATATTGTTATGACGATTTGGATGAAATTTGGCACAGAGATCGGTTATAGTCTGGAATAACACATAGGCTACTTTTTATCTCGAAAAAATATACGGTTCCCGAGGGACAGATTTGTTTTTGTTTTTCTAGAGGCGAACTCGAGCGAAGTGAGGGTGAGCCGCTAGTGATTGGATAAAGAAACAAATATAAATTTAAAAAATGTTGCATTCATTTTTGGGTTTACAAATAACAGACATAACATTTTTCATTCTACCCGTAAGATGTGCACGCAATGCTCGTAGATACGACCGTTAATTGTGAACATATACTAGTACTTCGATGATCACGCAGTTATCTTACACTATTATCAAGAGGTACAATTTATTACGTTTTTGTTTTCATAAGTCATGAATACTACTACTCAATGTATATTACAATTTTTTACCCAATCGCCTACGCTTCCTTTATGTGGGTAGTACCTATTACTATTGATTACTAAGTTTTAAAAGGTAAGCCGGTGGCAATAGTTTTATATGGACACTTCTACACTTGTACACCTTAACATAGGCTATTTATATCGATACGGGAAAGAGTTTATCAAAAACGTGTGCAATTTTATCCAATTAAATTACTCGTACTTAAAATTATTACTCAATAAACTGTGATATAAGTTATTTAAAAATCAATTAACAATACTTATTAAAAGATCGAGCTAGGTAGAGCGACGATATACGTAAAGTGGCTGAAAGCGATTGGATGCGTAGAGCTAAGATGCGGAGATCAAACTCAGTGGCGTGCGCTAGGAGCGGCTTATATCCAGAAGTGGACGAAAAAGGGCTGATAGTTGTGACGATGAAATAATAGTCTATCAGAAGACAAATTTAATTAGTATTTTTTATAAAATAATCCTATTTACAACATAGACCAAAAAACAGTTTTATATACAGTTTCAATAATCAATTCTTTACCAATCTTGTAATAAGCTCTCAACTTAGAACATGGCCAAGTATTTAATGGTGTTTCCCCGCCGAGTAAAGGATTTTATTCTACTTTCGCATCCATTACTTGTAACAAGATTATCACATTGCGTAGAACAAGGCAACAAGGTTATAACATGCTTTTTATGTCAACAATACATTGTTATTATTATAATGCACTGTGAAATACAGAAACATTTCAAAATAAGATATTTTTAATATTTTACTAGCGACTCACCCTCCATTCCGCTCGGGTTTGTCCCTAGTAAAAATTTTGGTTTGTATGTATTTTTAATGCCAAATCATAAAATAAAAATATTATAAAAAATTGTGTCCAAAAAAAAAAAATGTTTGGGGTGGACACCCTTATCACTTAGAGGTATGAAAAATAGTTTACGTTATATTCTCAGACCTACTGAATATACACACAAAATTTCATAAGTATCGGTCAAGCCGTTTCGGACGAGTTTTGTTACAAACACTGTGACACGAGAATTTTTATATTAAACTAGCGGCTCACCCTCGCTTCGCTCGGGTTCATCGGTAGGTACGTTTTAAATAGATATAAATAGTTATTATATAAATTTTTTTTTCGTTAATTTTTCATCTTTTCTCTTTATGGCCCTTATGGAACATACAAAAAAATAAATTAAGCGAATTGGTCCAGCCATTCTTGAGTTATGCGCTTACCAACATTCATTTTTATTTATATAAACATTACAGAAAGAAATTATGACCAATGAGATTGATTGAGAGTGTGGCAGTCAATAGTGATAAACCTTAAAAATTGTCGGGCTATCATAAATAGGTCTGAGAAGTGTACTTACCTATAACAAGTAGACTGTCGATGATCGGTTATCTTGGACGATTAAAGATACGCGAGACGATGTAATGTTGACGACTGAAGACATTTCCCCTGTGACTGCAAGTTTGTAACTTTACGACTGAACTGATAAATCTATCAATAGAATCAAATATTTATAATATGTATGTATTTAAAGTTATATATGCGTGTATCAACTATCTGGTATCCATAACACAAGCCTCGTAGCTTACCATGGAAATGATGACGCTGTGTGTTAATGTTCCGACATTTATTATATTATTATAAATCGAATATAATTTATTTTGTTTTGGAGATAAACATAGGAATTTTTCGCATTAGTAATCGAAAAGGAATTAATTGATTGTGGGTTTTATTTTCCCACTCTACGCTTGTGGTTAACAATTTGAAATTTTTTGAAAAATTACAATTTATTATCCAAAAATTGCGTAAATCGGACTTATTCTACATACTCTACCTACTGACCGAGCTGAGAATAGTAAATAAGAACGCAAAAGATTCCCAAAACGTTTAGTTCATCCGGGTTCAGCGTACGATGCAGAATATAGGATACGAGGCCGAGGTGTTTGGGATTGTGAAACATTACTTTGTTCGAGTTGGGTTTTTACCTAAAATCAATAAATAAAATTGATATAACGTTAACACTGGTTAAGATAAAAGAGAGCATTTCTTTCGTAAGTTCCTAAATGTATCTACTGAAAATAAATAAAGATAAAAATAAAGTCACAATACTATTTTTAAAACAAATAAAAATGTTAGAATAGATATCTATTGATAATGCACGCATAGCACATATGTATGTATGTACATATGTATTTTAACTAGTAGATAAACTAAGAAGTAATCTTATACTGCCATGTTTTTTATTAAATTCTTTACTACGACTTTTAAGGCTTTTTGAATGAAAAATTAAATAAGTTTTACAAACAAATGGTTGTATTACAAATTATGTGGTGATGCCAGCGCAGAGGTGTAGTCAGTGCTATTTAAGCGAATTACGATATCTACTTGCGCAAAAAGAACAAATTGCTCTTACACAACAAAACTGGATTTTCCGCAGTTAGAAGTACTTTTCCTAATTTCCTATGATTTTAAGTCTACGGACGGTGTGTGAAGTAACGTAGTCTTTATGTACATGAGTTTAAAGGCGTGTCTTGTTTCAGAATGCCGGCGCTCCGGCTACTAGGGCGCAAATGGCTGGCTGCCTCAGACGATCTCGTGTTTCCGAGTATCTTCGAACTTCTTTTTCGATTTGTTTGGTGAGTGTATTAATATGAAAGTTACAAGATTGATATGATATCAACTTGCAAGCTAATAGTTTGCTATTTTTCTCTTCGTTTGTTTTTATACTGGGAACATGAGCTGAATTTAACAGATATTTACAAAATGCTCTCTGCGATAATTTCTGAGGCTGGAATTTGTATTTCACGAATCAAATCAATATTTTTTTCGTATGTGAGTTTCAGCTATAAACTTAAAAAAATTAGCAAGAAATTTCATATAGTTATGATAAAACAGCGTTTCATACAAAATGAAGTAAGTGTTAGATAGCCTAGTTTCTGTTCAAGGTTGACAACAGTGTGCAGAAGTGGGCTCAGCAACACAATGCTTTAAAGCTATGAAAACAATCCTACTAATTACCGTCTCTCGCTTTATTATAATAAATGAGATATAACGTAAATATATAATTTGCATGTGATCTTTGTTATAACCAATTATTATATTTCTAGGAAGTAATCATTTTTAATTGCCTTTAAGGTGTTATTTACTGTTTGTTATCTGACGTACTATCTTACATGAAAAAGAGATACCTATTACAAAACTATTAAACTTGATATTTTGTTAAAGACCTCAAACAGTACTACTAATGTTATCACTTATTTTATTAAATAACAAGACCAGACAATCTAGACATAACACAATATTTCGATTTTTTGAGCCTTTAAAAATACTATCCAATCTGTATTTTTGACATTATGCCTGAGCTTTCTCCACTCTTCCCTTTGACGTCCACAGCTGACCTTCTGCTCCCGTCTGATTGCTTCATAATGGATTTTAAATTGTCACGAATCGTTTTGATTGCCATTATTTGCCGGCCACTTACTGTCGCACCGGACATTTCATTAGTTTTGGACATGTCATGCTTATTATTCAATTCAAGACTTATTTCATATAATAGGACTTCATTGTGTGTGACATGTTTTGTGTGCCATTTTATGTAACATTTAAGACCAAAGTTAGTACAGGTACTAATCGAATAATTAAGTTTAAGATTTACGCTTTGGCAGGTTCCATAATCTAGTTTTTTTTGGTATAAATACAACACACAACAAAATTCTAAAAAACACACTTTAATGATAACTGAACTAAGAAATAAAAAAAATTGCGGTGATCGATATCAGTTGATAGAAATATGCCATTGGTACGATTTCTAAAGGTAAAGTTAGTATAAATATATTGTACCTGAGTCCCCACGCTTTTATCTTAATCATTTTGTTCTTATACTAAAAATAATTTTAACTATTTAGTTCTTTAGTATCTGCTCTAAAAACGTATTTTTTATAGTTTTTCAAATTATTATTTTAATAAAATATTGTATTGTGAACGTTCCTTGATAATTGTGCTTTTCAAGTTAATCTGATGTATTGAAAAATTGGGTAAAATCGCGTTCAAAGATTCCGTTACATAAATAGATGGACATAATATTAGTAGATATAATAGCTAAATACATCATATATATATATATATCTTTAGATTTATAGCTATTTATTAGTCTTCATATGTTTAATTATGTGAATTTAAATACAACTTATCATTATAGACTTATCATTATATATTATAATAAAAATGAATCGCTAAATGTGTTGGTAAGCGCAAATCACGAGAGCAGCTGAACCGATTTCGCTAATTCTTTTTTTAGAATACTCCTTGAAGTACGAGGATGGTTCTTACGGATAGAAAAATTTTAAAAATTGCCTGATACTGTCTAAAAAACAACACTTTTCTATACTCCCATACAAAAGATTCGTAATTATACTTAAAAAGACAATTTGAACTTTAATACCATAACATAAAGTTTAAGTGTTAGTGGAGAGGTTCCGGGAACGCAAAAAATTGATGGTAATTGAGTGACGTTAGAATCGTATAAATAGTATTTGTCAATATTATTAACAAAAAAATTAAAATTTATATGGCTAACGCTGGCTAATAACTATTTATACCTATCTATTTAAAACGTACCTAGCGACAAAACCGAGCGAAGCGAGGGTGAGCCGCTAGTGTACACATAAAAATAATTTACGCACTTATGTATTTTTTGACTGCTGTTTAAATGAAATTTTTAAACGAACATTCTTATAGAATACAGTAGAATTATTGCTACGACGACACTGAAAATGTATCCAACTGTTTTGAAGGTATCAATTTGAAATTCAAAAAACGCAAAGGATTATTAAACATAAACATAAGTAGGTATGCATATGAGTGTATGTGTGTATGTATGTGTGTGTACACACAACTGAAAATAAAATATTATATTAATTTTAATAGGCTAGTCCTCATCGCCTTGGTGGTCGAAGTCCTATACCCGATAACATGGCAGTGTCAGAGCGATGGGTGGCACGGCGGGGCATTTGTACGACTCTATCTATGCGGCACGCTGACTTTACAGGCGTGTCTCATGCTGCTGCTGGCGGCACTAGCGCAGCAGTCAGCCAGAGGCACTATTACTGAGACAGACGCTAGAAAGTTCGTCTCCCCTTTGCTTTTACTTAAGTAAGTACATATTATGTATTGAGTGCCACTATAACTCATTTAAATTATTTTTTACACCTCAATTAGACCTTCAGAGCTTAAATTTACAAGGGATTACCATCAATCAAGATATATGTAAGTTACGTGGTGAGTATGTTGGTCAAGCTAGTAATGAGTACAATAAAGAACAAATTATAATGACTAGATTATAGATACTCACTTCACAATCAACGAAGATAGCTCATTACATAGATAAAATACAACCAAATTTATATTCTCCTTTTCTAAAAGTGGTTAAAATAGATTAATGATTGGGCGTATTTACTGTTTTTTTTAATGTACATATATTTTTCTGTGCGTATATATCTATGCGTATAGTAGGTATATCGATCTATGCGTAAGCGCATATTATACGTGTAGTAAAACTTATTAATTCTCAATAAAAATATTTTATTTTTAAGATAATAAATAAATTAAATTTGATATCTACCTATTAATATTATATTAATTACAATAGCCATGAACTGCCACAATAGTCCTCTATTATTAGAATTATTGTAATACCTCTTTTTAAAAATAAAGAAAAAAAACACTTTTTACGCGATATTTTAAGATACTAAAGATAGTAGTATAAATATGACTTATCCTTATTTCAGGGTATTTTTAGTGTTACCAGAAGTGGCTTTGAATGTAATGGGGACCATGTGGATGTTCTGTGAGGTCATAGAGTGTTCCGTATCGGATACGTTTTCTAGTATTGTTATACAAAGTAAGTAGTTTAGGTATATTTACTTTAAAAAAATTGTAACTCCTGTTGAGTTTAAAGTTAAGTTAATAAATTAACGAATAAAGATTTACTCTAAAAATAATATTTTCTAGGTATAGTTCTCTTCAATTGGGTCCAACTGGGTCTAACGGTCTTTGGGTTATTTATGGTATTTGATCCCTTGGGATCTGTTAACTATGGAGATATGCAGGACACGCCTAACCAGGTCCGCCATCATAGAAAAGTAACAGGATTGTGGTCACGACGGTTTAGATGGGCCTTTTGTTGGTTGAAGAGGGATGAACATGGAAAAGAAGCGTTTCAACAAGTAGCAGGTTACTTGGATTTTTTTAATTTATAAAATATACTTATAATGGTATCTATGTATTGTGTAATAATAATTTAATTCTTAAATTTCGGTACTACCAAGCACTTACTATTGTTTGTAAAACATTGATAAGATTATCTATGCAGTAGCAATAACACTAAATCGAAGCAAACTTCAACGAGTCTTTAAGTCTTTTGATTATTGAATAGCAAACTATAATGTATAAAACATATTGTACATTCAAATGTAATAAGTAATGATTACGTCAGCTTAATGATAAAATTTTTAAATAGAATTCTTATTCACTTCATTAATCCTCTACGTTTTCCAGCACTCCTCAGCGCTTTATTCAGATCGACGGACTTGGTTCCGTCCGACGTGGTCGCCGGGTGCGTTCTCCTGCGAGTGCGTCAGAAACGCGAAACTAGGGAGATGCGCCGAATACAAATGTTGAACGACGAAGAACCAATATATACGACTGACGTCAACAAAGTATTCTCCGAAACGCCGCCTTGGATGAATTTGGACGATGCATTACATTATTTGAGGCTCTCGATCGCTGCGTACGGATGGCCATACGTTTTATACCGACATTGCTTCACTGGTTTCTGTAAATTGGCAAAGCATTTGACTTGTTGCTGTTGTCGGTAAGTGTGCAATACAGAACTTGTACATTGTCATTGAACTAAACTCTCTTTTAGCGAAGGAACTACATCTATACATTGTGTTGGCATCGTGTCTCATTTACAGTGCCTAATGAACTACGGATTGCAGGCTCTATGTCCGCACGAAGTGAATCGGGTATTTACTATAAGTGTGAAAATTTGTACGTGTGTATGTTTGTTACACCTTATACTGAAACACCTTGACGGATTTGAATGAAATTTAGTACACGGAAAGTATGACCTGAAGCAAAACAGGCTACTTAGTTTATACGCAATGCTTGTTTATGGATCTAACAAAGCGAGATAAGAGTCGGTTTTTAATTCTTTTCACGAAATATTTATTTAAATCTATCAATGGGAAGCATTTCAAGATACTGTTATTCGACAGTATGACGTGCAATAATATAATTGGCAAATGCTAGAGAAAGTTTGAAGCGATAAAAACGTCATCGGTTTGCATTTATGAAGACAAAATTACTTACCAGACCATGACTGTGCTGTTTGAAAAAGGCTTTTAACAGAAATGTTCAACACATTTAGACATTTTAAATGAAAAATCTTAAAGATAATGACAAATATAAATGAGCAAGAGAAGTATTATATGGTAATATTCTAATAAGTGATATAAAATATAAATTAAAAATGAAACCTACTTCTAAACTAGATAACTTAAACCTTAAAAGAACAAAATACTACAAAAATTAAAAAAGTAGATGCTATAACTCTTATTTTGAAATCGATTAATATACTAAAAATATAAAAACTAAACTATGAACTTTTTCAGGCCAAAGAACTCAATAGTGACGGACGACAATTGCTGCTTGTGCCATTTTGCCGGAGTCAAGTACATGTCCAAGCTCTCTGCAGATGACATCATCTTCGCCTCATTCAACAATCGGGTCTTTGAAGTGAGTATAGCTCTATCTGATCTAGCAAGTAGCTGATTGAACGCCCGTTGTTCCTTATACAACGATTTATACTTCGAGCACGAATTTATCTTTATTTAAATAAAATTGCAACAAAATTTAAAAAAATGGACATATTTTTAAATTCCTTTTTAAATTCCTTTGTTTTAATGACTTGTTTAACTCTCGATTCTGACATGATATCGTAATATGTCATCAAGAGTTTCATTGTAATAGCGTAGACGTGACATGCATATAAATTACGCTACTCTAATGGAATGGCTTATTTCATCTGTTTATGTAAATTAATACCAAGAATCATAAAAGCTAATTTGAAGAAAACAAAATAATTTGTATGAATTCTCTGAATAAGTACAATTACTTAGAACTTATTTGTAGGTGTTTTTTATCAATAAATAGCCTAGGTATTATCTAAATATTACCTAGAATATAATATAAGCTATCTCCAGTCAATATTTCATTCTAATCTATTTAGCCGTTACAATTAAAAGTTGTTATAAGCACACTAACTGACTCATTTATAATATACTATTAAACTATTAAATAATACTTAATCATATTTGATATTATTGTAACATTCAATTATATTCACAATGGCTCATTATCTATTAGTTTTGACATTATTAAAATCAGTAAAAACTATAATTTGTGGTTGCGATTTATATATAGATATGGGTACGTATTGTCCGTAGATATTTATTCCGGCCCAATTAACTTGCGGCATTCGGGCACAAGCGGAAACCGCTTTATACTTTAATAGATGTTTATAAAATATGACCGCTGCGAAAACTAAATAATAAACAATAAATGAAGATTATTATTAAAACTGTAATTTTTTGATTATAAAGGTTTATAAATATTTTTGTTACATAATGTACATAAAAACATTCTACATAAATAAATATTGAATGTAACTTAATATTATGACTATTATAATTAAAGTTAAGCCTGCCCCTTATCTCTTCTTGTAAGTGAATTGGCAAATTACAAAAGATATTTTAATGACGTAAGTGTTATGTGGTTCTTACATTATCCTGTCTTCTGACACAATTGTTTTGATATTACGTTTCACTGCCTTTGAAATAGTTTTTTTATTCTGCTACCTCAAAGTCAACTAATCTAAAGATGTGTGTTCTGGAAAAAACGTGTTGTTTGTTTAATTTATAATTATATGTATATGTATTTAATATTTATATTTGATTTGTTCTTAAAATGTATTGTACTACTTACCCTCACATTTTTCGGTTTAGTCCTTAGATTCAATGCAATAGCCTGAGTTACTCCAGTTCATAATCTATTTGTGTATTTAATTGCATCAAAATCCGTCCAGCCATTTCAGTGTGAAAGAACAAAAAATGTACACACATACAAATTCACAATTATAATAGTAATTGATAAAACATCAATATTACGCATTTTATGTAAAGTAAATTGTTATTTATTTAATGTACGAGTAATACATTAAGCTAAACATCTTACGAGTATATTTGCCTGTTTATTATAGCGAAATGTATTTAAGTGCTTTCTTTTAACAGCTGCCATTTTGCGTGATAGCCGATCACGATAGGGAAAGTATTGTCGTAGCGGTCAGAGGGTCCATATCATTGAGGGACATCTTTACGGATTTCTCGGCCGGCTCCGAAAAATTTGAGGCTGATGGTATGTAGTCGGTCGTATCGACTTTAATATTATGTAGCATACTATGAATATATTTGTTTTTTTTATTATTTTGGTTTATATTTAACTAGTTTATGTCCGCAGCTTTGCTTGTATAAAAAGTATTTCTTTTTAAATTTTTTTCAATGGTAAAAAAAACTGTTAGTTGTACCGCTATGTATTTTTATTGTTCAGTTCGGAACTATAAAAACCATTTACAAACCGTGGCCTAGTTCCATTCAAATTTGTTCATCTTAAGTACATTATTAAGTAAAAACATCGTATTGTGTATACATCTTTACATTTTTTTACATTGTATATTTTGTCATAATTTTTTTTACAATTTTTGTATTATTATTAGGTTTACCAGAAGATACAGTAGCGCACAAGGGTATGTCGATGGGTGCAGCCAAAATGTTAAAACGTCTCATGCCGGTATTAGATAGGACGTTTGCGCAATTTCCACATTACGACTTAATTCTCACAGGTACGTCGTATAGAATGTTATTTGTAATAGTTTAAACCTTTTGAATTTTGATATCTTATTAGTGGTCACAGACATCTACTCAATGCGAGGGTCGTGACTTCTACCAAGTCTTTTAAAAGAAATTTTAAACTAGTTAAGTACTGTTAAATTTATGACGATTCGATTAGATTGTATCATAAAATTTTCCGTCCTACTTGTTGATAAAAAGCTTGTAATTTTGTTAAAAATCAATGAAATAAAAATCTCAGAGGTCAAACATTTGGTTTAAACCCGCTTGGTTTTATTGAGTGATTTACTCATGGCTCATGAAGCTTTACAGAATAGAATTTTATAATATAATCATTTATAAATATTTTTTCACATAACCACATTTAATTTCCAGTGAAAATTAATGCGAAACGAGATGAAACTGAGTAATTGTCTATCATTACAGATTAACGTATTTCTTGTTTCGCTAATCGCTCAGAACATTAAATATTAATATGAATAATATCTTTATAATCTCTCATATGAGAATGAAAACAACGGCTTTCGCTTTCGTAAGCCAGATCAATGTATATACATAGTCTAGTCACAACAATCGTGCAATGTATAATTTATCGTGTAACATTATTTAAAACAAATATATATTTTTTAATTATTTTAAATTAATAAATGTAATTTTTTTTAATTTATCGTATAATATTATTTAAAAAATATATATTTATAATCTATATTTTCAGGACATAGTCTTGGCGCTGGAGTAGCAGTATTAGTAGCATTAAAATTAAGACCTAAATATCCGCACCTCAAAGTATACGCATTTTCAACACCAGGTAATATTTTTGTTCAATATAAATCAAGTAATATTTAAAGTGTAATTTAAATAGTTAATTTTTTATTTATATTATTGTTATTTTTCAGCCGGTCTCATTAGTAGGGAAGCAGCGCGATTTACAGAAAGCTTCGTGATGACGATTGGAGTTGGAGATGACCTGGTGATGAGGCTCAGTGTCCACAGCATAGAGAATCTCCGAACTAAAGTTATACAGACGATACATGCCACCAAATTGCCAAAGGTATATATAATTATTATTACATAATATTATAATTTAGTAATTCCATGTGATATCGCATGTATACTTTCTGCAATCCTCAGTTAACTGTTTAATGCTACGGTTGTTAATTATTGCGCTTAGGGAAAGTAAAATAAAGTATGTTCTTCATTGCACTTATAAAACATAATATAAACATTACACATTAAAGGACAAAGGCACTATTGTGCATAAATATGTGAACGGTATCCTTCCTAAAATACCTAATTAAGAAGTAATATTTATAGAAATGTGCGCAAATTTCACTTTTTAATTGTATTTTTATATTTTATTGTTGACTAGAATTGCCCGCGGCTCCGCCCGCGTTCAGATGACCAAAAACCAAATTCTTAGATTTTACATATTAGTATACTCTTACAATGCAGTTTTTGTATTTTTTCTCAGAAATGAGATATTTTCCCGTGGTAAAAAGTATCGTATATGTTGACTCGGATAACCAGCTATTATCATACCAAATTTCATCAAAATCTGTCCAGTGGTTTTCTCGTGATGCGGTAACAGACAGACAGACAGACAAAAATTCTAAAAACTGTAGATTCGGACTCTGTATCGATAATAATGTCTATTTCAATAAGTTTTTCAAAAAAATATTTTATGTTTAGATTCGACTTAGTTACAATTTTATTATATGTATAGATTAGGTCTAGTGCGGTCCCTGTATTCTTTAAATTGAAACGTTCATACGAGTACTTACGTAAGAACTATATTTATTATACGAGTACATCTATCAACCCAATTGTATGGGTATTATCCTATACACCACCTTTAAACGTGCCATAATTTATATATGCCACGTTTTATAGTTTATTTTTAATACCTTTTTATGATTAAAATATTAGCAGACTTAAATCAAAGTTCATATGGTTAAAGAAGTTTTTTCTAGCATTATCTATTGTTATTTGTTTGTATTATGTATGCAATAAATTTGCCTAAGCAATTAAATATTTATTTATTTTAATATATACGAAGAATTTGCACGTTGCATTCATTATTGTATTATAATATTCTATTATTTACATAAAAATAATAAAACTGATAATAATTTATTTGAAAATGATAAAATATATGTAATTGTAACTATTTTTTTTTTATTATTTCACAACTTTACCGATTAGACTAATTAAAAAGGTTATAATTTTCCCGCTTTTTCGTTTGACAGTTAAATGTCAAACTGGTACTCAACATTTTTGTAGATGACATAGACATTACTTACTGTAATTGAGAAAACTATTTCGAATTTTCGTATTACCACGGTAATGTAATGCATACAGTATTCCAACTCGGGCCTGTCCTTGAAATAATTACCTACAGCCGAGCGGCACGTGCCCACGCGACAGGGTTGTCCGCCGGCCAGTATTTTAATTTCATCTACCTACTTGAGTTTCTTTCTAATTTTGTGATTTCAAATATTATATTTTTTATTTAAAAACTATTATTAGTAGATTTAATAAAAAAAATCTCAAATTTATAAGGGCGGTATGTGACCCTTATAAATTTGAGATTTAAAAATATTTGCGCCTCGACTGAGACGTGTACGAAAAGGTTTATTGTTAAATTTTATAGTATAAAGAATCCGCATTCGGATAAAAAGTTAAATTAAAAATACTTAATAATTTTTATTTTTTGTTTAATTAATTAATTAATTTTTATTTTTAAAACATACGTTGTCTCAATACTTTTTTGTTTGACATTAGCGAAGTTACGGGAGGAATAAAATGTTTATTTTTGTATCAAATTATAAAAGTTACATAACATAACCACCTCATACAATTTTCGTATTCAATTATACGATGTGGCAGCCCCGCACGGCTGTCTACCGAGTGTATACCGAACGCGACGCGCGTATGTATAACTCGATTTCCGACCGTTTGTATGAAGATGGAATACTGTATGTAATATTACCGTGGTATTACCATTATGGGAATAAAAAAATCGAATCATATGTTTCAGAACTATATAGTTATCTAAGCAACAAGGATGCCTTCAGAACTTTATAATGATCAATTATTCGCGTGTTGTTTTACCGTTAGATGTCAAAAGACGCTTTTGCTTATTATTTGAGAAAAGAGTTTCGAGTTTTCACATCTATCGCCATAATTTGATAGGAAAGAATTTTTTTTAAATAAAATATATTTGCCATCAGTACCGCATAATGCTGAACGGTTTTGGGTACGCGCTGTTCGGCGTGCCGGCGCGCGACCTGGAGTCCACGTGGCGGCGGCCCGAGGAGCTGGAGGCGAGCCGCTCCGACGACTCCGACGCGCTGCTCGTGCAGGGCGTGTCCACCGTGAGTGCTGTCAGTGTCTTCCAGGTCCCGCGTCTCGTGTGCTGCTGTGTCCCGCTGTGTCCGCTGTGCCCACTGTGCCCACTGTGCTACATGTCGCTTGGGATTTATCATCATGATAAATTCTTTCATTGTTTTCTTGTTGTGTGTTCTTTACGTGCGGACGTAGCTGAGTTTGTTTCTCTTAAGTGGTAGGAAGTTTTGTTGTTTCACTCGCGAATTCGTGAAAGTAAAAATAAACATTTATTATACTGTATAGTTAGGTATGAAAGGATTTTAATTTCAATAAATATATGTAAGTACACTTTTACTTTCATATCAACTTTTCATATAGTTTTTAAATTACTTTGAAATCCGTTTTGTGAATACTATTCGATACTTTAACTATCTCAGTTACGTCTACGCGAGCACTGTGTGATGTGTGTAAGTCACTGCATTATAAGTTAATTCTGGTTTGTGTTATCATTTTAATTTTATTATGTATATACAAATAATTAAATATAATTAGGTCATATATGTACAGATTAATACACGTTAATAAATCTCTGAATGTCTTGTGCAATGCCACATGCTACATCTGAATACGCCGGCGTAGACATGCACATCATAGTTGGTTCATTAAAGTTTCATCTCACCGGATCTTATTTACAAGCAGACAAATTCTCCTCAAAATACTTTTTCTTTTTTTACTCCTTTAATTAGTTGGATTTATTTACTTTAAATCCTGACATTATTTGTATTATATTAATTTGATTGAGTAATTACTACAATTACTATTTAGAAAATTATTATTCATATTTGCGATTCATGGCTATTAAAAGTATGATACTTTAGCGATGCTTTGATACAATTCTCACTAATTCCTCTCGCACTGAAAAAGTTCCGTTCTAATAAATTATAGTAAAGTTCTGCAAAATTTGATTAGCATTCAGATTTATGATATTGAGAGATTAAGTCTTGAAGTCCGATTGTAATTTAACAAAGAGGTTATATTAAATTTAGATAATTTTCGTACGTAATATATGCAGCCCTTTTTAATGTCCCGCTGCTGGGCACAGGCCTCCCTTCAATGCGAGGGGGACCAGGCCATAGTCCACCAGAAAACAGTAGCAGAAGGTTCAAAATATTTTTACATGAGTAGATTACAAAATACCGTTACTGTTACTGTTTCAATGATCTATTGATTACTTATTATTAAATATATTCTTCTTCCATCCTGCATCCATATCAACATTGGAATTTGACTTTTACAAACAATTATTTCAATGTGAACTTTCATTGCATGACACTTTGATTAACACCTATAGCTTTTTAAGCTTTACATATTTATTAACTTATTTTAAAATACGTTCACAAACAGGGATGGGATAGCGTGGTGATTGTTTCGAATGGAGTGGGTCAAAACTCAAAACCAACATGACGTTCGTATTTTACCTACCTCGTACATACATCACTATAAAAATACAAAGGTCGATAATTACATATTATATGTAGCTTAACTTCAAACCAAGTTTAATAATATTAATTTTAATTAAAATTAAATAATCTTTAAAATATATTAAATTAATAATAATTTAATAGAATAAATCATTGCATATAAAACGTCATTATTGTATACAAAAATTGCCATTTATTTCTTAGAGTAAATTTACCTTTATTTGAAGTCATAGAACAGATATATGTTTAAGAAAATTGATGTGATAAATCTAATAAATAAATATATTATCAGCAGTTTCCAAAAGTGTGATGAAGTGTACAACAAAGCGGGAGCGACATTTTGCGGAACGTACCCGTGCTTTAACTTAACATATCACACTATACATCAGTAACTTTACCCTAACAAAAGACAAACTACAAAATATAAACAACAAAAGTACTCACAAATAAAACTAAAAAAGGTTGTCCGTATATAATATAATTCAATTCTACGCTAGCTCTAGCAGTCTCCGAAATATGATCGCCTTTAATTTCGACAGAAAATCACATTGTATCAATAACATTTTTTTTTACGGAGGAACAGCTTTCCGTTAAAAACGAACAAATTTTACTAATTATACAATTAAAGGCATTATATTAATTCCAGTAAATCATATCGTTTCCAGGAGGCAGCGCTAGTGTCGCGCAATGTATTCGCGAGACGCTTCTCATCAGCGCGGCTCTTCACCGCCGGCAGGATCTTGCACATCGTGCGACGAAAGCGCATGGGAATCGAAAAGTTTGTATAAATAAGACTTAAAATTTATAATACTTTTATGTTGTATAGTACAAGATCCGAAATAACATCGCTCTTCACCTATTTGCTTTAAGAGGAAAAGTATTTTGAACTAATTATAATATATAGAGAAACATAAGAGTGGATGCGTTGCTTAATGAAATAATATTATTTTCATGTTGTTAAATTATAATATTATATTTGAACTATGACTAAACTATGAAAAAAATAAACGTACGAACGTTATAGTGATAACGTTCGTACGTTTATTTTTTTTAACTATTACAACTACAATGATGGGATTTATCATCATGATAAATCCCATCATTGTAGCTGTAATAGTTAGTGGTTTTTTTGACTGTAATTATACCCAGTTTCATTCATCTCTTTCAGCCTCAGATCTACGATTTTTTCGAACCGGGGCAGAAACTTGATAATGGCGCACCTCTCTTTAGCGTTTTAGAATAAGTTGTAAAAAAAAAGCTCACAAATACAATGGGCATTTCTTGTAACCGGGAGAATAAGAACCCTTTAATAAAGGAGATCGACAGAATTTGTATGTGACTTGGCCCTTTTTGTATCACAAAGAAAAAATTACTTGCATTATATCATTTATTAGGTATCCCGCAATCCTAATCTGCAAATTAGATTATCATTTTTGACAATGAGTTTAAAAAAATATACATTTAAATATTAATATTTAAGAGATATAAAGATTGACATAAAGGACAGTTTTTTAGTTGACAGTTCTGACCAATATATTATTGAGTTATACTAGATTCATTCTTAACCTACTTCCAAAAAAAAGGAGGTTCTATGTTCGTGTCTATTGTTTTTATGTATGTTCATCGATTTCTCGGACATGACTTGGCCGATTTTGCCATTCTAATCCGTAGTGTATTAAGGTAGGTCCCGAGGTGGTCCCATAAAATTTTCTTTGAGATAGAAAATCAAGAAAATCATGAAATTTGAATTATGTTGACAGATCTGTTTAGAGTTTTTTTACTCCTAATTGTCATTTCGACTTGAAATTTTACAAGTGTTTGTAATTGATAGTATAGTAACTTGGTACCTTGGAGCCGATCTGATGGTGAGGCCAGAACGTGGACAGCGGAACTCTTCAATGGCTTCTTGTAAATACTTTGAGCTTGAGCTTATTTAGTTTCATATAATAATCTCAATACATTAGAATTGAATGTCTAGATTAATGTTACATAAAAAAAGTGACTTTTAGTTTGTTAGGCTTCATATAAAATTTGGCAGCATACTAACATAAATTTTAAAAATTAGCTATTTATACGTCTACACTAATAAGGAAAAAAAATCATTTACCTATACCTATAATAGATACCTAAAAACAAACAGTTATCGTGGCTTGACGTTCGAACGTTTGGGTTTATTCGGCTCACCTCGCGTAGATAGAAACTAATTTCTAGATGCACCGGGTTTTACCCTGGCAGAGACTTTACGTACACTATGAACGCGTTCAAAAATCGATGTAGAATGTGTTCAAAAACCAACTAAATCCTTAAAAACAAATAAATCAATAGAACAACATGTGTTGGACGTTAGACACTGTGACGCTAGTATCCTTTTTCGTATACAATATATTATGATTATGGTGCCTCCTAAAATTGCCACCCGGGACAGGTGCCCCGTTTTGCCCTCTCCCCAGTAGATCCGGGGCTGATCTCTTTAGAAACAAAGAGAATCAGAGAGACAAAATAAAAAAGTGGATTTTATCGCTTCAATTTCTTTATAAAAAACATCTACGTATATTGTTTAATGTATATTTATACTTTACATATAATGATATGTTTAAATATTAGTTTAATACTACTTACTGTCCTTGACTTTTCGCCCATTTGAAGCGCTTTATATTTTGATAAATTCAAATGTTGTTTAAATAATATTAACGTTGAATTATTATCTCTTGAACACGAATTGCCGCTACAAAGAACTTTTAATCCAGGATATAATCCATTTATGTAGGTACTAATCATTCAAAAACTTACCTACATTTTATTTCCCTCATTGTCAAATACTTAACGACTGAATAACATTCACATAGGTATATCTTGATTCTTGACACACTCATTTATAATATCCCAGGCCTTTTTTTCCGTCCCACTGCGGGTACTGAGGGGCATTAATTTATAATCTTAATATTACTAAATTTATAATTCGAGTAAATCAATATAAATAAATAATATACCATATATACTAACTGCTATTACAGTATAATTATTACACTACGGGACTTAAACGCGTAAATTCGTTATATATGTAATACGGGCAGCGCCCGTGACCACGGATGGTGCAACCCAGTCGAAACGTCAGGATTAAGGTTTAAAGCCACTAACAAATTCACGCGTTTAAGTCCCGTAGTGTAATAATTATATAATTATGGAACGCGAAAATTTAAAAAGTTATATTGCTATAATTACAACGATTTTATTTCTACACATGTCTGAAATCTAACAGCAATGATGCAGATGAGGAACGGTAATTGTTAACCAATCATAAATAATTATAATTGAACATTATATAGAGTCGTACTGAATATATTTTTATAAACTTACAGTATTTATGTACGATTTATTTAGCAACATCAATACTTTTTAGATTTTTTATTCTGTTTATCCATCGTAGATTTCAATTTTTTTTATTGTACCTGCACATTTATTTTATATTTAAAAAAAAACATTCTAATTTGTGTGTATATATTTACACATAAAAGCTAATGAACTACATACTTATTAATATTAGTAAATATTATTTTTTAACCGATTACTTCATAATAAAATAAATTCTAAATTTTTTCGATTAATATTACTAAAGTAAATTTTTATAGTATTCTTCTATACATTTTTTATGATGAAAGTTAAAATGACTTGATTTAAAGGTTGGTGGTGTTGCACCCTCGTGCCTCGGAGCCCACGTAAAGCCACGGTCCTGTGCCTTGACTCTCACCGATCGCGTTGAAGTATTGTCCCATCGGACTTTGAGAGTAAAAGCAATAAAGAGTGCACGTTGTGTATGTACACAGTACACTTTTGCAGTATAATTGCTGCCCAGATGGCTAGTCTCAGTGAGAGGCCGCAGTGGCCAAAATCGGTCAGGAGGACATTCTTTAATTAGTCAATTAGAGAGAGTTATGTAAATAAATAAATTAAGGTAAAGAATTCAAATGCTTATAACTTTATTGATTTTAGGAAAGTGCGCACGCAAGAGCCGTCATACGAAATGCGATGGGCGTGTCCCGAGGACTTCATGGAGTTACAAGTGATGCCCCGCATGCTGTTGGACCACCTGCCGGAGAACGTGCACCGCACCATACAGACCGTCTTAGAAGAAAAACACTCGTACAGAGTCACTCAAGTTGTTTAAACGACTGAATGAAGGACAAAAGGACACTGTTATATAAACAGTTGTGTGCGATTGAAACAAGCGATTGATATCGATATTTTTTGTACATTCATTTGTGACTACGAAAAATGTTGGTTAAGTAAAGTTTTTGAAATATTATTAATGTTAATTGTAAAATTATGTGAACATGTTCAAAATCATCGAATAAGTACAATCATGTAAAACGGTCTTGTTAGTTCTTTGAGCGGTCTAAGTTAAAATGGTCTAACTCAATTTTTTTTCTTAAAAATGATGTTATTTTAATATAAGAACAACTTTTAATCAATGCTAATATATCTAAATCATTGCAAATATTGCTATAATATAAATTATTCCGTATGTATATTCTAACTAGCGGCGCACCCTCGCTTCGCTCGAGTTCGCCTCTAGGAAAACAAAAATAAATCTATTTCACGGGAACTCTACATTTTTCCGAGATAAAAAGTAGCCTATGTATTATTCCTTACTTATAATCTATCTCTGTGCCAAATTTTATCCAGATCCGTTCAGCCGTTCTGGCGTGAAAGAGTAACAATCATCCATACTCACATTCATAATTATGAGTATAGATATAATGGCCATAAATAAGGGTTAGACCATTTTCGCTTCTAAAGCCATATAGTACATAAACAAAAACCATCGCACGATATACTCTGGTTCTTGCATTTAGATCTTGATTTCTATATATTTCAAGTACAAGGGCTAAATAAAAGTAAAACTTAGCTAAAATAAGGTAAAATGAAATTAATCATAATTTTTAATTATTCTTTACTCGTCGGTATAATAATTTATCTAATGTAAGATCTGGTTTTAAAGTAAACATGACAAAATTTCACTCTTTCTCGTTTATGAACTATGAGAAAATGATTTAAAAACTTCAATTTTTATATTCTTCTGTACATACTGTGAGCGATATATAGTTAATGTAAATAGACATAAATTATGAAGAGAACACTATTTAGGAGCGGCATTAGGTAAGTGTAATGTGAGAAGACTGTGATGACGTTAGTTCGAAAATCTATCAAATGTAAGTAAAAAAATATTTTTATGGCTGATTTCTCAATCTTCATATAAAGTTATTTTTTTTAATTAAAACTCGCCATTCAGCATAAAATTAAAACTTAAATAAGAAATAAAATAATTCAATAATTTCACATTTCTTTATTTAACTAAAGCATAGGCAGTGGTAGCCCATTCGTAGCACGTTTGCTTGGGAAACAGAGTAAAGCGGGTTCAAATCCCGGGTGTCGCACTACTGATATATTTATGTGCTAATCATTTCCAACATGATTACCACTTGCCTTACGGTGAAGGAAAACATCATGAGGAAACCTGCATGTCTGAGAGAACCTAGCAAGTTTTCGAAAGACATGTGAAGTCCGCCAACCCGCACTTGGCCAGCGTGGTGGACTATGGCCTGATCCCCCTCGTACTGAAGAGAGGCCCGCGCCCGGCAGTGGCACGTTAAAAATGACTGAATACATATATACAACAAAAACATCTTATTTGATGATTGAAAAATCTGCCTTAGACTAAAGTTCATATGATTTAACCAATTATTGATTTTACATGTAAGTGTAAATAGTTAAGTTTCTAGGACTTCGTAGAGACGTTAAAAACGTTTTGGGGTATAGTCGAGATGTCTTCCTAGCATCATTGAACAATAGAAATCTAAAGAAATATATGGGAATGATAAATTATAATGATGATTGTATGGAAATTTTAAAATTTCTATTCATCAACGATTCTTCGCTTTAATGCTTATTTGTTCAAACTACCAATACTTGTTGTACTTCACAGTAGAGTAATTTTTGTTTATTTTAAAAACAGTTTAATTTTATAGTTGTATAAAAATATGTAGATCAAATACATCTTTTCGGCTTTTTAAAAAGTAAATTATGTCTTTTATACCAATAGAATTGATATTTAAAAGTCAATAAATCTGTATTAAAAACTTTTTAGGTAAATTGGTTGTTTGGACATATCATAGAGGTAGAGAATGGACTGAGCTATAGGTTATAAATTTGAACACTTTAGAAAGAGAGAAAGCGAACGTGCGGCCAGTGACTTGTCTTTTATTCCAATTTGAATTTATAAATGGAATGTAAAAAAATTGTAAAAGATTATAAGGAATGTAAAATGGTTATAAATATCTATCTTCATTAATCGTATTTTAATTAATACAGAAAGCTTCTGGCCGCACATTCGTTTTGTCTCTGTCGCGCCTGTCCGCCATTTTTAGCTGACAGCTGGCAAAGAAACAGTCCATTCTCTATGTCTACGGAACATAGAGCACTGAGACGACGGATTGTAGAGTGACATCTTGTCTAAACCTAAGATTCCTTTCTCTTGGTGTTATATTCCTTCAAACTCAGTTCGGCTGTTTTAAGTGGAGTTTAAAACTCATTATTCATTTGCTCAATTGAAAAGCAATTTTTTTATATATTTTTTATTGATCAATTTTTGTGCACGTAATGTTAAGACTCGCGAAGCTACCACAAGTACAATAACTAGTTGGTAAATTAGGATACTGCGTAGTGCGCGACCGTCGGCCGCCGTCAATTATGTAGGGAATACAAAATAGGGTTACTTCATTATTTCTTAAAATGACTACAAATTTTAAATATCACTTCCTACAAAGTATTCCTATCTGTCGCAAAATAATTGCACTATAATATAAACGTAGAATTTCTTTAGACATAAATTGTTCTTATGAAATTAATGCATAATTGTTTTTTTTTTATATAATGTAAATACCGTGACGATAATATTAAAAACTTGCCAAAATTATTTAAATTTACCCTCTATCTAACTTTATGTGAACTTCGGGAACAAATTAGCGAACTTGATATATATAATATTCTGTCTTTAGCGTGGACGTCTCGTACGTTAGCATTTACCTCTACGTAGAATAAACAAATATACATTCCAATCTATCAAAGGTAACACTCAGTCCTGTTTTTCTTGCCTAAGTTGTATTATGATGCTTGCTATATGGTGCCTTAGTCATTTTATTGTTTTTAAATTATAAAATCTAATAATATGAATATTATTTACTTTTTCTAACATGAATTTATTTTATTTTTTTAATTATTTTTAATGCAGCTAAAATCTATTATTTATTACTTTTATACATAATATATGAACAATAAATAATATGGACCAGAAATGACTTGGTATTTCTGAGAATTTACAGTAATCTAATATGGACTTTATTATTTTGTTACATGAATCTCATTTTATATTATATTGCATAAGAATGTTTTATAATTTATTTTTGTCATTTTTTGGAAATTCTGTTGGTAATTGTTAATTTGTGTTACTTAACTATGTATATTCGAGTATTAGAAGGACTGAGGTTCTTTTCACTTGTACCCTAAATTAGGGCTTTATATTCTGTCACTTTACGTACTAGATGTAGCCAATATATTGTGTTGGGTTTATGTTAATTTATAATAAAAATATATTTTAAGTATTGATGGTTTTATTTGGAATTTATATGAAATTATAAGTTTAAGCGTAAAGAATAGGCAATGCTTCTGGCTCAAGATTTGTATTGTATATTATAATATATATAGTATTTTATTATATATAATTTTTTAACGGTTTTAAAGGAATTTGTATAAATTTCATCTATATGAGAAACAAGATTGATAATAGCACAATTAGTATTTCTGACTCCTGTGTTGTACAACTTCAGAAGAAGCAAAATGTGGTTAGTTGTGAAAACCTTTTTGAAGTCAGTAAAAATAGTAGGTGATCCCGATCTATGTGGTGGATCCCTCACTGTCTTTCCAGATTATTTCTTTCACCCATGAAACATTAACATTATTTTTAATTTAAAAAAAAATGTTTTATTTTTTAGTACAAGAACTCTTTTCCTATGACAAATTAGTATTAATCGAAAGTAAAAGACTTGTAGAAAATGCCATCATACGTTTGGGGGCCTTTTTGAACATATTACTTGACATCTAGATATAAGTATAGCTAGGTATAGGCAGTTAAATTGAAGTAGTTAATTGCTCGTATTGTTTTCCGGAACGAGTCGAGTAATCAAAATGTAGATAATTTTTTAACAAATTTAATAATATAAGGTTGTCATACCAAAACATTTCCAGACTAGAGAAAAAAAAATAGCCTGGAGCAAATTTTTGTTGACCACTCCCCCGGGTCGTGTTTGTTAATATTTTTTATGGTTTAAAAAATATGTTTCGTCTGGAAAAAGAATCAGGGGTCCACCGCGTAGATCGGGATCGTAGGACTAAAAGGCCTATTTGATTTTTTGTTTATATTAGGTTTTTCTGTAGAACAGGTAGAGTCAGTAAGTTTTGATAGATTTAGCACGAAAACTGCTGCTGCTGTTTATTAAAGAAGTAGTAAATACGTTCTAGGTATGTAGGAATGTACATGTTGTGCTATTTTCATTACTGTTCAGTACAACCAAATTTTTTTTGTTTGTCTTTTTGTCACTTGATGAATCTCGAAAGAGAGTTGTGTTTAATTTTTTATTATAAATAGTAAACATAAATTTGGTATGAAAGACTATTACCTGTCTTAAAATACAACTAATATTTAAATGATCATTAACTTTATAATTTTATTCATATCTTATTCTTTTCTTTGAAGATATCTAAATTTAAACATGGATGTTACACAAATAATTTTATGACTTTAGCTTTTTTATATAACTCCCTCATGGCTGGGGGGGCGGGGGGTGCAAGTGCACCCCCTTGCACTCTCCTACCGGCGCCCATGATGTAAATATATGTATGACGTTTTTGAAGTCGTACGTCTTATTATCATTATTCTATATGTCCTGGTCTTTTATTATTTTAGTTCGAATTATTATTCACATATATTTAATATGTTAAATGAATGAAGGAGACGTAATTAAACATTATTTTAAGAATAACAAAGATTTATTTCCAAACTACACAGCTAATAAAATAAAGTTCATCAGTCAATTTAGCATATCACAGCAACACACATATACTTATTTCATTTATAATAAAATAATAACAAAATATCGATTTAGAAAATACATAATTAAGAATAAGTATACATTTATAATATTATTTGATATATTTTGAATATTAATTATCAAATAGTTATATTAGGGTATAGTGACACTTTGGAATATATAATAATAATATACACTAGAAATCGGAGTACATTGAGATCTTAACTTCAGTGTGTCTTATGCCAATATCATCTAATCAACGCGCGCAGTTCCGTCATGGCTGCTTGAGATGCTGGAGTCTTTCTTTTTTCTGATTTGTATCTGTCAAATGAAGTATATGAATTATTAAAATTTATAAAATATTTCGATTCAACTCACATAAAATCACAGTCAACTCACCTAAATCGATAGAAATCTGTCATGACTCATGTTACTTAGACACAGTAACGTTTCGTTAAGAATTTACAAAATGCTTTATTACTCACGTATAGACAAACAAAATTTACTTTTATTACTATCATCATATATTTAATTTTCTAATCATGATTACTAAAATATAATCACTTTTATATAGTAACTAACATTTGTGTCGAGCTAATCAATGTCTATCGGGATGCTTAGTTATATCCAACCTTTACACACACACATCATCTCCCTGCAAATTTCCCAATCACTCGGTGTCGATGTAGTGCATCTTAAGTACAACAATTAAACACGCACACACACACACACACTATGTGACGAGCACCTGTCGAGGAAGTCGCTCGCGAGGTCGGGGCGGCGCGCGGCGAGGTCGCGCAGGAACACCTGGTCGTGCGCGAGCGCGCGGCGGTAGGCCAGCGCGCGCCACGCGCCGCCGTCGCCCATCAGCACGAGGCCCTCCATTAGACTATAAATAAATATCTTGGGACATTAATACACAGCACCATCTAGTTCCATGGTAAGCTACGAGGCCTGTGTTATGGATACCAGATTGTTGATACACTACGCATATATAACGTTTTAAATACATACAATTACACTAATACCGAAGTTTATCCTGGTACTACTCTGATAGCAGAGTAGGACCAACTCTTCGGTTGTTATAGACTGCCCCGGAAGGCCGATCTCCATTGGATTTATACTTGAATCCGTTGAGCGTTTACAGTAAGATGACGTAACAAACACACATTTGGAAATTGAGTTTCTAATTACAAATAATATATATAGTCAAATTACAAATAATAAAAAGATAGGTGCTACCAGCACCTCATACATGTAGCTGAGGGATGGAGGACTGAGGGCCATCTCTGAAATCGTGCATATATCAACACAAACAGAGCGTCTCGAAAAAATTAAGTTAGTCACGAACAAATTTTTCTTGATAGATTTTTATATAAATAAATAATTGAAGCACTAATATAACTTACCTTAAATACTCACTAACTAGACTATACGTCTGTTCCGTGCTTCTGTTAAGAATGAGTCTTGTAGGAGAAGCATTTAAAAGGGATATCTGTAGGGCTATTTGCTGCGCAAGAGTCGCCATCTCCCCCGCGAACCCGGTACATCCGCCTTGAAGGAACAGTTCACAGGCATCCGTACAATGATTCAAGGCTGTTTCTAGCAAAGATCTTGTTGGGACATTATCGTGGATCAATAGCCATATCGGTTGAGGAGTTTTCTTGGTCATTTTAGTAGCATCCGTCGCCATTTTCTCTAAATCGTCTATTAGATGTAAGGCTTGTTTCTTTTTAACATTTGCCGCTTCAGCGTGCATGTTAAAGTGTAATGCGACCATGATGTAGGTGTCAGTGTCTCCGGGACAGTGGGTCTTGAGGAAATCGAGTAGTCCATGCTTAAATTCAGCGATTTTGTCCTGCTGTTGACCCAACATGTAGTCGAATTGTCCAAGTAGAAATTCAAATTGGTGGTTATCACGTAATATCTACAAAAATATATAATGAAATTTTAAATCCAAACGTATAAATACCAGTAAATATAGTAATATTAATATTAAGAAATTCAATGTTGTTCACTTATTGTTTTTAGTAATTAGTATTTGAATGATAAACAGAAAGTCAAATTCACAGCTTTAGATATTATATTTATTTTCCTGTTTACTGTGTTTTTGTTTGTGTATTACCACGGTAATATTACATACAGTATTCCATCAACATACAAACGGTCGGAAATCGCGTTATACCTACGCGCGTCGCGTTCGGTATTTCGGTTCGGCTGCCACATCGTTTAATTGGATACGAAAATTATATAAGGTGGTTATGTTATGTAACTTTTATAATTAGATACAAAAATAAACATTTTATTCCTCCCGTAACTTCGCTAATGTCAAACAAAAAAGTATCGAGACATCGTATGTTTTAAAAATAAAAATTGATTAATTAAATTAAAAATAAACATTAAAGTATTTTTAATTAAACTTTTTATCCGAATGCGAATTCTTTATACTATTAAATTTAACAATAAAGCTTTTCATACGTCTCAGTCGAGGCGCAAATATTTTTAAATCTCAAATTTATAAGGGTCACATACCACCCTTATAAATTTGAGATTTTTTAATTAAATCTACTAATAATAGTTTTAAATAAAAAATATAATATTTGAAATCACAAAATTAGAAAGAAGCTCAAGTAGGTAGATGAAATTAAAATACTGGCCGGCGGACACTCGAGCAGCCCTGTCGCGTGGGTACGTGCCGTTCGGCTGTAGGTAATTATTTCAAGGATAGGCCCGAGTTGGAATACTGTATGCATTACATTACCGTGGTATTACGCTCAGTAGCATCCGCAATCCAGCCGGGCGTAAAACTGAGATACGAAAGAAGCAGCGGGATTGCTTCTGGTTATTAATTTTAACTTGCAGAGCCCTATCGAGACGGGGAAGGTTCTATTGGGTTTAGGTGGGTAATATTGACTTTTCTAGCCTCTAAATAACCACTTGTTGTACTAGTTGTATATGTAAATGCATTTGCCAACATAAAAAAAAGAAAAAAGGGAGGTGGTGTATACAGATAGTTTACATAAGAACATTTGCCAATGTTAAAATAAAGAAAAAACGTGTCAGGGATATGACGTGTAAGTGGTATACGTAAACGCCTAATATTAAAAAAAACCTGTGTTTGTATATTACTTATGTACGCACATAAAATGTTATACTTCTTTGGCGCAACAGAACAAAAATAGCTAAAGATTTCGTACCATATGTCACAACTGTAAAAGGAATGCAGTTAATTCATAATGTCGCTTATTGTCTATCGTAAAAATTTTACTCTCATAATTTTATCCCAAAGAAATATCGCTTCGAAAAAGAAAAAATAAGAGCTGATATAAACAAACACAGACACAAAACAAATGTGGCAACCTGCAGTATGTAGGCGCACTCGCGGTAGCGCGCCAGGCCGGTGAGCAGGCGCGCCAGCAGCCGCCACGAGCGCGCCGCGCGCAGGCGCGCCGCCAGCGCCGCCGCCGAGCGCAGCGCCACCGCCACGCCCTCCGTGTCGCACGCCACCGACGCGCACTCGTGGGCCGCCACCAGCAGCTCCAGCGAGATTATGTTCACCTACAACCGTCATCTTACCGTCATTGCTCAATGAGGCGCTACGAGTAGTGATTGCAATCCGGCGTCATTTTCAGTCCGGCCGGATCTGACCGGATTCCCATGGGCCCGGTCGGATCCAGCCGAAGTCGGTGCCAGCCGATGCAAAGCAAATCTAATATATTTCGATACGTAAAATACATATTTACCTATTAATATTCATATCTTAAAATATTGTCGGCTGGCACCGACTTCGAAAATATCTGATTAGGTATTTATTCTAAATGAAAACCTCCGTTTAGTTATCTTTTACATTTTAGTGCCTGGAAGTCGGTTTTTATTTTTTGTTAAAAAGTTTTTATTTTCCCATTTTTAGTGTAGACATAATAAGCAGGTAAGTTTTTTAATAACATATTCGATTAAACAATTTATTTAAAAAAATATTCATAGTTGATTTTTTTAAAAAACCGCTCGCCCGATTTCGATAAAATTTATATGGGACCACCTGGGAAGTATACCGTTTAAAACAAAAAAAAATCCAAATTGGTTGAGGCGCCTTCGAGTAATCGGTAAACATATATTAAAAAAAAGATTCCGACGATTTGACAACCTCCTCCTTTTTGGAATTGGAAGTCGATTAAAAATCAACGTTATTTCCAATCCAATGTTAAGATTAGATAACGAGCAAACAAATAAAATCTAGTAGAGTAGGTAACTAGTAAAATTTTAATGATATAACGAGTAGTTGGTCTTTCTAGATTTCACTTTCACAGATAGATCAATTATTTTACCATGCGCAGCGCATTTAAAGTACCTACTCATGCAACAGCTCTATTATTTTGCCAAAAATTGCTAGCACCGGATCCGGTCGCTGGATCCAGTAAACGTTTAATGATGCCGGATTACCGGATCCGTTTTTCCGATTGCAATCCCTAGCTACGAGTATGTTCACATTCCACCAACATCCTTATATTCATTACTTAATTAAACAAAAAAAGGTACGTTTACAGATTCCTTTAAAAATTACAAGACTAGACAAGACTTCTTTAGTCTTAGACTCGTAGTGTTACTAAATACAGATAAAATTATAGTCTAACTCACACACCGAGAATTCCAAAGCATGAAATATTAAATTTATGTTAAGTTTTAAAAACATAATATACCCGCCTGCAGTATTTTCAATGCACAAATAATTTCGTTTTTTTTTTCTCACTTTTCGCCTACATGCTGCAGATTTCAATAATATACCAAAGGTTCCTGTGTCATGCAGACAGATGGATATATCGAAATTAATTTCTACTTTCAGAAAAGGTTTAGTTTTTACTTTTTGCAAAGGCACACTTTACACTAATCATTTAAAAATCATAATTTCGCCCTTGGACCCCTTTTTTTTTTAAATCCTATAAGCTCACCTAAAAGAAGTATAAAACCTAACTCTAACATACCCACAAAAAGCTTAAAACAAGTACTTAATTATATCCTCTTTTTAAAAAGTCAGTCAAATACTACCTTTCTAGAAAGTTAATTTCAAAAAAATCAAAATATCCTATTTACCTGCTTTGTAGACAATTTAGCACCCTTAGTTATCTTCCGGATATTCGACTTGACTTCATATCGGATGTGGACGTTGCTTCTAGATATCACATCGAACAGATTCCTTCGCGAGTCTCGCGACATTTTATTCCCCGCGGCGTACACCGTGGACACCGAGTACACCGACTCCGTTTCCGCAGACATCAGCGTCCCTTCTTCAGTCAAAATGGACTCCACTTCATCTTCTTCCACATTCTGGTACTCTTCATCTATTAAAGTTTCAACATCTAGACAACTATCGTCCAAAACGTCTTCTGGAATTTTCAAAGCGTTCGTTGCTTTGTAAATCTTTTGGAAAGCCATTAAATGCTCGAGTATAAGCCTGCCTATGTGACTGCAGGCGTCTGGACGCATGTTCAGGAACATCTCTAAATCAGAGTCGAGCACGTAGCCCCAGAGTGTGTATTGAAAATGTTCCTTTTGTCTGAACGTAGATGTTTTCACCAAGTGCGGTGATATGATGGCCGCGACTAATTCACGGCATAAATATTCTGCAATCTAAAGTTAAACAAAAAAAATTTAAGCCCTGTTTATTGTTTTAAATTAAGTAGTTCAATTAAAACGATAAGAATAATCCCATTATAAAATATTTTAAATGCGAAGGTTCGGATGGATGTTTTTTCTTTATATTAACAATATAAAGAACTATAATTTAATACCTGTTTCGAGGGTATGTTGAACGTTTTGAAGACCAAGTTCGCTAGCGACATGCGAGCCCGGCCGCTCACTAGGTTGATGAAGTCCAACGGACGACTCTGGTACTTTAACACTGATGTGTAATCCCAACCAATTTGTAAGGCAATGCGGAAATAATTAGCTATCTGTAATGAAAAGTCTTTTCAAAAAGAAAAAAATATATAAAACAACCATTAGTTTCTTTTATATATCTTAATAGTTTTTAAACATTTATAATAAGTTATAGGTTGATTCCCCATAAAAACTTTCATCCCCATTTTCATCCCCTTAAGGGATGATTCCGGGATAAAAATATAAAAATATGTAATATATAGGTTTCCGGGATAAATATATCCCATGTCCTTCCTAGGGTCTCAAACTATCTTCTTACCAAATTTCATCTAAATCGGTTTAGTAGATCCAGAGATTACCCCCTACAACATCACAAACTCACAATTCACAAACTCATAAACTTTACCTCTTTATAATACTAGTATAGAAAGATTGACGTATAGTATTAGTATTGTATATGAGAAAAAACCATCTTATAGAAATATCACTCAAAAGATTACGACAAGGTCGTGGTTCCAAACTTACGAATATGTTGTAATATTTCTTTAACCATTTGTCCAAATTATATGCAGTAAAAGAGAAAAGTCTTTTGTTTTAAACATTTTAGACGATAAATTTACTTATTTTGATAAGAATTCAGAATTGTTAATAATATGACCAATAAACATGACCGATTTAATTTTTTTTTTAAATAAAAAACGACTTTTTGTAACTTAAATATAAAAGTTAGACATATGCTGTTGCTGACTTTTTTGTAGGAATTATTATGCCCTACAACTTTTCTCTAGAACATAATCATATATCTCTCATCGTTAAGGCAGCGTTCGTAAGAAACGTTTTCGTTCGATCGTTTTTTCTCCGACTTACTTTGCAAATCCGACTACCATTAAAATTTTTTTTTATTCTTCGTGTTAATACCTATTGCCCGATTTCACCAACGTCACCTAAGTTTAAGGGATCCCCTAAGCATGGTTAGGGGGCTGTTAGGGGACAGTTTTTGTTTCACCGACAGTTAGGGGTCACCTAAATATTAAAAGGCCCCCTAAATTTAGGTGCTCGAAATATGGGCTTAAGGACGATCGTAAAACGAAATTTAATTTAGGGGCTAGTTTAGGGGACTTTTAAGCTAGGGATCCCATACGTAGGTGGTAGCTTATGGGTTGTTGGCGAAATCGGGCATATGACATTCAGAAAGAACGTGGCTTTCTATTGGTAAAAGAACTTTGAAAATCGGTTCAGTAGATCCAGAGATTACCCCATACAACATCACAAACTCACAATATCACAAACATTACCTCTTTATAATATTAGTATAGATCTACTTTCTATATCTATGCAACATTTACAAATTGTAATACTTATAGTTCAGTTGTATGTGTGTATAAAAAACACACAATATAAATGTTGAGGTAAACGGTGCTACTAAAGTATTAGTAGTAGGAGTTGATCATAAAATAAAGAATGAATATACTTTTAATTAACAAGGTTTTTTCATTACAATTGTATTTAGTATGAAGGGTGCACCGAGGCAATTACGAAATAATTGCGTTCGTTTGATCCGTTGCTTTATTGTTATTACTAAAACTATAATTATGCAATTAATATGTAGGATATTTAAGGATTTATTCTATAAATCGTACATTTTAGAAACACGTATTACTTGTAGTTTCCTCGATAGAAAAAGAATCCAAAATGATCTCTAAAAAACAAAATTAACCCTCAGTGCAGCGTAAATAATTCAAGGTAGTTCATGAGTTTTTTTAATAATAACAAAACTATGCGTTTTCTATAACGTATACACTTTACATTTTCAAAATGTGTATTTGTTTTAATAATACGAAGGAAATACCTAAATTTGCACGCGTTCCGTCCATCCTAGCACCCCCCCCCCCTGCCCGCTGTCGTCCTACTAAAATAAAAAGCTCGGTGCCCCCTCAATGACTTCACCTGCCTAGTTTAAGTAACTTTATTTAAGCCACGACTGCCCAAAGAAGGGTTAAGTGTTTGACCTGTATGTACATATGTATGTACGATCGTATCTTCCCTCTTATTTTAATGATTCATATTTCGTTAGATTCATCTTAATAACGCGAGTATTACAGGCAATATAGATATTATTACAAATCGAAATGGCGGATTTCAGGCGCCAATTTGCGTATTATGAAAATCGAGTGGGGTATCAAAATGGAGGTTTTTAATAGGCGAAAAAAATTCGACTGCATTATTGAACATTTTCAACACACCTGCTTAGCTACAGTCAGACCACTTTTGACTGCCAATGCTTCTAAAGCAGACAGCCTATCAGCCTCCTCGCGAGCCGCCAGATGTGGGACGCTATCTCCATCTTGTCTTTCTTGAATCACCACTAACTCTTCGAAACTAGTTTCTGATGCTTCTGAAACTAAACTTATTAAATAAATATGCATATACGTTTTATTTAAAAACCGAAAATACCTAATAACATAACTACACTACTAATTTATTTACAATATATTGAAGATTATATTATTTAGGAAAGGTTTCGATCTCCGGAAAGCTACTGAGAATTTCTTAACTGATAAAGCCAGTAGTATTGTTTATTGGATAGCGGCAATAGAAATACACACACTGATAATTTCAACTCTCTACCTATTACGGTTTATGAAATATACATGAGGCTCACAGACAGATGGACCGGACGGACGGCGGAGGCTTAGTAATAAGGTCGCATTGGCACCCTTCGCATACGGAACCCTAAAAAACTGAGCATATTAAAGTTGCACGATTTTTTGAGTTTATAGTTAGGACTCGAACCCAGGCCCTCCGGATCTGCAACCGCACATGTCAGCCACTAAATAACAAGACAGAACATGATACACAGACACATGCCATACCAGATAATTTATTCTGTAGAGTAGGTGAGGATATAACTAGACGTAGCTCTTGAGGCAACTCGTACGGCGAACATGTTCCTTCGGCTAGTCTGAGACACGTCCGTATTATTTTCACAGGGCACGCCGGGGTCCGGTATCTGTATTCGTCTGGTGTTTTAAACAAAGTCGACAGCCGGAACGCCTCTACCATCAACTTCAACTCCAAAAGCCTATTGACTGCTTTCTGCCAACTCTCTATTTCCTCTATCTCTTCTAACATTTCTACTTTCTCTATGTTCATCACATCCGATTCAACCTCTATTTCGTGTAAAGTCGACGTAAACGGTTTTTCTTCATATAGCATATCTCCTCTTTGAGATCCTAGTGACTCTTTTTGGTCGTTAAGTACAAATTTTATGGTTCCTTGGAAGTCTAGGAAAACTATATCAGCCTTGTTAATAGAGTAATTATTTAATAGATAAGCCTCCCACATTTCGTGTTCAATTTCTTCTCTCTTTTCTCCATACACATGATTTTCTTCGAACCAACTCATAATTACCCTGTAAGAATAGAATTTTTGATCGTGTTCCTTCATATTGGTGGGAATTCTCGAAAGAAATTCAATTGCTTTATTCAAAGTTACACCTGCTTCTTTAAATGCCTCACTACATTGAGCGGTTAAGAGTGTGAGATCTTTTTCTTCTACGAAAACATCGTCTTCTGTGATAAAGGTCAGTTTCTGGCATTTCTCTTGCCATTCGGATATTAAAATTTCGTCCACCGAAAGATTTGCGAGTTTTGCTATTTTCAATGCTACGTCATAGTTTTTATCTCGCGTGTACATTTCTACACATTCCTGGAAGTAGTCCGTTGCATCATCTTGTAACATTTTTGATATATTCATTATTCTCGAAGTTTCCATTGATATTTCAAATATTTCATATAGAGAAGTGAAATTTGGCGACGATACTGAAAAGTAAATTTTAATTTTATAAACATATTGTTATTCTTTTGGCATTATTTATTTGGATGTATTTCATATCAAGTTAAGAATTCTCGTTTTTTTATATGTATAATTCTATTAAAAAAAAATTAGAAACAAAAATATTTTTTGGCATTAACATGAAAAATACTTTAAATTATTATAAGAAGTACTTTAAATAATTTGTAAAGAAAGGACTCTCTTTAATAGAGATTTTTACCATTAACAATAACTAAAATATAAAAACCATACCCATAAAATCTCTTCCGAAGCGAACATCGGCCAGACATCTAAGAAATTCCTTCTGATGAAACGCCATATCGAAATTGTGCATTAAAGCTATTTTGACCAGAGAAACTGAGATTTTCTGCAATGATTCCTTTGATAACTCATACGGCAAGCTGCTTGCATCTACACTATATCTCCGAAGGCAATGTTGAACAAAACTATTAAGGTATTTGGTCGTTTCGGAATCGAAAATAAGGAGGCGTATACTCCGGTAAAGGAATGCTGTTAGCAACGCCAAAGGACTTTCCTGCCAAATAATAAAATATATACGTATATCAAAAAAAATATTTAAAAAAAAATTCATTACCTATGGTGTAAACGATTTTAAGACATAATAAGTTCCTATAAAAAACATTGACCAATATATGCACAATAATGCATGCCACGTTTTTTTTAGTCTCCAAAACATAAGATTATTATATACATATACATAGTATAGTAAGGCAGTGGTAGCCCAGTGGTAACACGCTCGCTTGGGACACCGAGTGAAGCGGGTTCAAATCCCGAGTCTCACACCTCTGATATTTTCATGTGCGAATCATTTCTAACATGATTACCGCTTGCTTTACGGTGAAGGAAAATATCGTGAGGAAACCTGCATGTCTGAGAGAACCTAGCAAGTTTTCGAAAGACATGTGAAGTCCGCCAACCCGCACTTGGCCAGCGTGGTGGACTATGGCCTGATCCCCCCACGTATTGAAGGGAGGTCCGTGCCCAGCAGTGGGACATTAAAAAGGGCTGAATACAATACATAATACAGACTACATATCTATACATATAATAAAATTGTAACTAAGCCGAATCTGTACATTAAATATTTTTTGGAAAATCTTATTGCAATAGACATTATTATCGATACAGAGGCCGAATCTTTAGTTTTTAGAATTTTTGTCTGTCTGTGGGAAGATGTCTGTCTGTCTGTTACCGCATCACGGAAAAACCACAAGAGGGATTTTGATGAAATTTGGTATGATGGTAGCTGGTTATCCGGGTCAATGTATACTTTTTACTGCAGGAAAATATCTCATTTCTGAGAAAAGATGATGCAATGTAAGAGTATACTAATATGTAAAACTTAAGAACTTGGTTTTTTGTCGTCTGAACGCGGGCAAAGCGGCGGGCAGTGCTAGTTATAAATAAAAATTGAGTTTCTCTGTTAGGGCTAATCTCAGAGAATACTCTACAGATACTCGTAATGTTTAGGTTTACTCGAATTACTCGAATATTTGTAATTTTTACGGACGGATTTTTACGCCAATTTATTTTGATATTTGATTCCCAATGTTTCGAATACTTTACAGCAATCATGGTCAGATGTACAGATTTTCATACGGTTTTCACCAATAAAAAGGGGATAATCTAGGAAAGTTACAATCTACAACTTCCATACCTATAGGATGACATTTATGTTCGTCTCTTTTAAAAATCAAAGTTAAGCCGCTAGTATATTCTACGAAAAAGTAAACAAACATAACTTACCGGTAAAAATATAAGCATTGACTCGTGTAAAGTTGCAATGTATCCTTCTTCGAGGCATATTTCAGCGACACGTTGGAACAGTTGGGCGGGAACGCCTTGAGCGATCTCCGACTGTAGGGCGTCGCGGCTGCGAGCATTCGGCTCTAGGGAGGACAAGATCCAGTGTGCCCACAGCACATCTACTGCGTTGGGCTATAAACAATTATTGCATGGGCTTAAGCAACACAAATATTTGTGTTATTGAAGTCATACACCTTTGGCACGTTTGGAAAAAATTATGAGAGTAAAATTTTAACGATGCGCAGATCGACAGCGACAGCTAAAAAACGACATGATGAAGTTAGCTGCATTTCTTTTACAAACAGAGAGTTGTGACATACTTACGGGATGAAATTTTTAGCTATTTTTGTTGTGTTACGCCAAATAAGTATAACTTCTTAAGTACACACGCACTTTCTTTAATAGGCCAAATAATATGTGTAAGAATATAGAAATCCCAATATATCCCCTCGATTCACTGAGACTCTAATAGTCCGCACAGCCATGTACTAACTACTTCAGTTCAATTTTCTTGTTAATGATGTACCCACCTTCAAAACCACGCATGAAATATTAAACATGTCAAAACAAGTATTTCTTTAATTATAACCCCCTAACAATATATTATGTTATAATATTATATAAATATATATTTCAACCGTTTACTTCAAGTATATATTACTCAGTAAATGGGTGGCGAAATACTAAAAGAGTTTTTATATGTTATTTTGTTTCGCCCGATTCGAAAAGAAGAATTATTTAATTTTTCCATACTTCAAAGTACTATGTATGCAAAGAATTAACAAACAAATAGAATATTATTTACTCAGTTTAATAGTGTGAAACATAATAATATCACATGACATATATAATTAACTTAACAAAACATAAAAACTCTAGTGTTTCGCCACATATGTTCTGCCTCGGTGGTCTAACTTCTAGCATGTACGGCTGGCCGCTGCAGATCCGCAGGTCCTGGGTACGAGTCTCGGTTCAGGCCAAATCAATTACTGAGCTTTTCTGTTAAGACATTCTCAGTAGTAACCAAGAGTTAAGAAGTTGGCGGTGATGCACTCCCGTGCTAGTAGAGCACGTAAAGTATCGGTCCTGCGTTTTAATTCTCACCGGTCGTGTTGAAGTATCCTCCCATCGGACTTGCAAAGTGAAAGGAACAGAGAGTGGACGTTGTGCCTGCGTGTACACTTATGCAATATAATATCTCCTGCGCATCTGGCTAGTCTCAGTGAGATCGGTTAAGAGTATATTACACTTGAAAACTAACCTCATAGCAGCTAGCTATGAGCACGAGCAGGGGCTCCCGGTGCAGGTCGGCGGCGCGCAGCAGCGCGGCGGGCGGGTCCTCGGGCCCGTGGCACGCCGCCGCCACCTCCCACAGCTCGCGGCCCGCGCCGCCGCCGCGCCGGCTTAGCGGGAACTCGAATGTTATGCTGTGGGTTGGGCTCTGAAGGACCATTTTTTTTACATTTTGAAAATTCAATGTTGAATTTTTTATTGTTATAGATTAAAATCCATACTAATATTATAAATGTAAAAGTGTGTTTGTTTGTTTTTCACGTCGAAACGGAGTGACGGATTGGTGTGATTTTTTATGTGGAGATAGTTTGAGGGCTGGAGAGTGACATAGGCTACTTTTTACCACGGGAGATTATATAATTCCCACGGGAAAACACGTTATAATACAATTCAAAAAATATTTATGATCAGAATTACTTGAAACTTAATATTAATGCTCTTCAATAAAATTAAATAAATACGTGTTTTAACATTTTTCGAAATTCATCTTATAACGGGGTAAAATAGGTATAATACATGAAAGTTTGTTTTTTGTAGTTTTAGCGCGAGGGAAGCCGCGGGTTCTGCTCGTATTAATATAAAAAAGAACCAATTAGGATAATTCCTTTAACACCTTTAAGAAAATTTCTAAAAAAATTTCTAAAATTTCTAAGAAATCTATTGTTAACTGTAACGCCGGCGTGTCCGCGGTCGTGGAGGGAATATTTTTCAATATTTTAAGTTCAACTAATTACCTGACTTACAGTAGTGTCAATTGAATTTAGTCGTGTTAGTCTTCGTTGTCCATTGCTTGAATTTGGTTTTTGTTCTTTGTCATCTTCAGCCGTTTTATGCATCATAATGTGCTTTAAATGTTCCGAATACGATTTCTTTTCAAATTCCTGAGAGAGTTGAAGCATTTGTGCTAATGGATATCGAAAAACATCGGCAAATAATAAAAAGTTGAACCAAGAACCGTTCCTAACAAACTCTCTTAACTGCATTTCTGGCAAAGGCAAGTTGTGGAGCATTGCAAATTTGACCATTGTTTGAGATTCATATAAAACCACTGACATATCGAATTTGCCTTGTGCTTCTTGAATCTCTTTTAAACTGCAAAATGTTATGTCTTCTAGATGTTCAAGGATAGTCTTAGCAGTATCATCATTATTTTGTATTAGTTTTGTCATATATTCGTTAATTATTTTATTAACCTCATTTTCTGATAATCCTTTTCGAGCTATGAGATGGTGTTTAATCATTTTAGTAGCGGAAATATGAACTCTACATCTAGTAGGGTTACATCCAATCATAGCGACAAAAGAAATAGCACATGCAGTCATGGCTGGATCACACCAGTTCTGTAGCGCTAAAGCATGAGCCTCACAGCAAGCGCTTTTAACACCTTTCTCTTGCATTCTATTGTACGTTTGATATTGCTGAGATACAAACGCCTGGCTAGCATTGCAAGGGCGATATTGCTTCAAATAATAAATGTGATTTAGTTTCGCATCATAGCCATATCTTTTCATTAGTTTTTCATTCGCAAAGTCTGGCATGTCTATAGGTCTTGGGGATAGTGTTTTAAGATGAACATCTACTTCGTTTGATAGAAGGCTTCCGAGACTTCGGCGATCTGCTTTTTCAGGTAATTGGGAGCTAAAGTTCATATTGATTATCTGAAATTCGAATATCTTTGACACATCCAAACCACGATATCCAGACAATAATTGATATACATTTACGTCTCTACAATCGTACATTTGATTTTCATTTGAATGTTTTTTGAAAACATTATATAGATGCGGAAGTTTATTTTTGTATCCCATATTTGGCAATTTAAAATCTTTGAACTCTAATATTTCTTTTTTTGAGAAAATGTCAAATAAATTAGCTTTATCCTCAAGTAAAATCATTCCCAGCACTAAATATGGATTAGACGATATATAACTGTCTATATCATGCTTAGCTATTTGCTGACATGTTTTGTATACAGGCACAACATGGCTTTGCCTATCAGATGTTTGCTCAATACTTTTAAACAACAACCAAAGCTCTATACATTCTTTAGTTTCTTGCTCTACATCCGATAAATCTGTACCTAATATATGACCTTCAATGCAAATTGTCAATACTTTGTATAATTTATTCTTCACATAATACTTTGCCAATTCTAAATGAAATTCTTGACTACTCATTGTTGCGCAAGATTCAGAGAAAATATCATCAAGCAATTTTAAATTTTGGGTTCTTGACAGTCTCGAGATTATTTGAAACAAATCTTTTTGCTTATCATCTACAATAATTCCATAGGAAGACAAAGTATCATAAATACACATTTTTGTGTAATTAAAACAGTCACTGTTAGCTATAACTTTTATCATTTCCTCAGATATAGACCACTTACGAAATACTTCGTCTAAAGTATCTAGAACTTCATTTGTAAATCCTTTTGTATCAACAGTCAAAAGTTTTTGAACAAAGTTGTCATTATTAAAAAAATTATAGCGTGCATTCATATCGCGAACGACTTCAGACATCTGAACATTTATCCAACGTACGAGTATCATAGACTTGTTGTTTTGCACCAAATGATTCCACATTTGGAAAGGTGATGAGAAATGAAGGAGAGAAAATTCTGAAAAAAATAATCATTAATTTTAAAAAAATTATCATAACTTCTATTTTGTTTAAAATTATTTATAATTTACAATTATGACTTAAATAATTGAAAACTCATTTCATAATCAATTAATGCCTTTACTAAGATATTTGCTATATAGATAAATTGCATACATTTTGTACAATTTGTCTTTATACAGACCCAGTCAGTTTGTTTGCAAGCACTTGCTGGTCTTGTGAAAATCTTTTTTTTTTAATAATCAATGTAACACATCATGATGTTTTGAATTTTGAAAGCAATGGTTAAAAAATATTTAAGTAAAAAGTAAAGACTGTTGGTATGGTATGGTATATTCGGGTTTGTTTCCGCAACTCGACGTCTGCGCGCCTATTTTGCGTAAATAAAGACTGTTCTTTTGTTACATTCAGAATGACTAATTTTAACTTAACCACAGTGCCAGCCTAATATCGATCCTAGCATAACTACACCTGTTATATTCACACCAAAATTACTGGTTGTATTTGTTGTATCTAAACTAAAGCATCTCCAGTTTAGGGTTCTAAATGTAATTTAAAATACAGTGCTAGTAACAAGTTTGGCTTGTTATTTCAGCCCTTTTAGACATTCCTCTGCTGGGCACGGGTCTCCCTTTAACACAAGGGGGATCAAGCCTTAGTCAGAACAAATAAAATTAGTTTGAATATATTTCTAAAATACTGATTATCATATTTATAAGTTGTTACTTAGTTTGCCTCTTTAATTTTATTTTTTACCCCTGACGCAAAAAGAGGGGTGTTATAAGTTTGATGTTGATGTCTGCCTGTCTGCCTGTGTGTGTGTCTATCTGTGTGTATGTCTGTCTGTGTGTCTGGCTGTGTGTTTGTCTGCCTGTGTGTGTGTGTCTATCTGTGTGTATGTCTGTGTGTCTGGCTGTGTGTTTGTCTGCCTGTGTGTGTGTGTCTATCTGTGTGTATGTCTGTGTGTCTGGCTGTGTGTTTGTCTGTTTGTGTGTGTGTCTGTCTGTGGCATTGTAGCATGTGGGTTTTTTTCATTTGAAAGCCAGTTTTCTTGTGATGGTTCTTAGCTATGTTTGGTTAATATCCATCCAGCAGTGTAAGAGTAGCAGCTCTTTTCCGAAATTATGTAAGGAATTTTGGCATATAATTATTCGATTAAGTGCTTCATGAGTACCAGCGTAACCATTAAATATTTTTAAAATTATTAGATTTTTAAAATTTTTAGTTTATGCATTTAATTTACGCATATGTGACCCACTAACTTACCAAAAGTATCAAAAAACAAGGTTGTTGCTATTTTGCATTTCCATTCTGAAGAATATTTTGCTATTTTTTCAACAGTCAGGGCTTTTATTTCACTCTCATTCACAAATACTCTCTCAGTTCCAAAACCAAATACTTTATTTTGTTTAAATGTACCATCTACTTCAAAGGATTTCTCCAAGCATCTAAGCAAATTCCAGTGCCGTTTAAAGTTTTCCCACTTTTCAAAGTTTTCATTTTTAATATCTTTTGCAAGTTTTTGTAAATGATCCACAATGAAGTCTCTATACTCAATTGCGGTTGATGTCTGTGCAATTGATATTAGGTGTTCTTCTGGATTTAAATTACATTTACTAAGTATATGAAGAACTTTAAATATCTGCTTACGCATTAGTAATTGCACTATCCATGTTTTTACCTTAAATTATTAAACTGTTTGTTAAAGACAAGTCATAATAAAAAAACATTACAACAACAAAAATAATAAATTGGTTCATAATAAAATATGTATTATACCTCTGCAAGGAACCAATCTTTAGCTTCAGATTCACTCCATGAGTTTTTAAATACCAAATACTTAATTGCTAGATTGATATGGGTGCCTTTCGCCGCAGCTTCTCGGACCATATCTCTGGGAGTTTTCTCTTCCCAACAATTCCAAATAATCTTTTCATTTTGGCTTAAACCTTCCATTATTTAAGACCATTAAGATTATTTTAGGACATAATGGAAGTAGATTTTGGAAAAAATATTAACTAATATTGGAAGATAAGTAAGGAATCTAAACAAAATCAGTTCATTGTTATAATGTAGCAGGGTCAACAAGTTACTCAAGACACTATATTATTTAAATTTTCAATTCGCTTCTGTACTAAGTATACCAACATAAAATGTTCCATTTACTTAATTTCATGATATATATACTCTTACGCTGATTAGGTTTAGAGTTTGAATTAATTAGTTCTATTTTTAATATTTTTTTATAATTAGTAACAAAGTACAAACACTACAAACAATGAATAAAAAAATTTATCACTTGTCAAATGTTAATGTCACAGATTATGGAGACTAGTCAATAGGGTTTTCAATACTTTTTCTGACCTACCCTACCCCAGCCTGCAAATTTATGATATTTGCAATGAAAAAAATACTAATCGATAGATTTTCAATAGCTCAATTTAACTACGTAGCCCTTTCAAATTGCTCACCTTTAATTATTTAATTAAAAATCAATAAAGTCTTTGAAAAAAAATTAATTTATCTGTATATTCAAACTCCTATATCTTTTGATGTATACAATATTTCAAATTGCTCAAAGTTCTAAAACACTGCTCAAGTTGCATTTGTAATTGCTCAAGTAGAGTTTTTACCAGCTCCACTTTCGCTGATTATTAAAAAATTAAATGTTCTTTATGTTATAATATCTGAAGTGGAATCACGTAATGTGAACAATTCATAAATTCAATAAATTTAAAGAAATCCACCGAGAAACAGAATTAAGACGTTGAATTGGAACGATTGTCCAAGCCCGCCGAGGCCGACCGACAATGCGCGGTGCGCATGCGCACGCTCACTTAACCTACGTTACATTTATTACAACTATACTTTTAATTATTTAATAATCAGCGAAAGTGGAGCTGGTAAAAACTCTACTTGAGCAATTACAAATGCAACTTGAGCAGTGTTTTAGAACTTTGAGCAATTTGAAATATTGTATACATCAAAAGATATAGGAGTTTGAATATACAGATAAATTAATTTTTTTTCAAAGACTTTATTGATTTTTAATTAAATAATTAAAGGTGAGCAATTTGAAAGGGCTACGTAGTTAAATTGAGCTATTGAAAATCTATCGATTAGTATTTTTTTCATTGCAAATATCATAAATTTGCAGGCTGGGGTAGGGTAGGTCTTTTTCTGCCACTAGGCAGCGCATCGTAGGCGTCAGGTCCAAACAGCTGTCAAATAGCACAGGTCGTAGGTACTGAACATAAATTATTGAAATTCTATTGTATTTGGAAGTGTTATTGATTTTATTATGGATTACGTTTCGTTGGAGTAAATTTATCTCTGCGAATGGCTACAAGCCACTGTTTTAATCGGGTTATATCTCCCGTAGGGAACTTATGTCCTCCTGTTTTATTTGCACACATAGGCACTGCACAACATTGTGGCATTTTAAACAACGATATTCCTAAAGGAATGATTTTAAGAATAAATAAACCAAAAAATATATAGAAAATTACAATTCGCGTATGTATTTTGACAGTCCATTGGACCTGACGCTACAGTCCTGCCATCTCACGGAGATCATTTCAGAAAACCCTCATTCCTCCCTGTTTTCCAATTACACAGCATATTGCTGTTCTTTGGCGCACAATGCTGGCGAATACTTAATTGTAACGTGAATTATTTTTAACCCCCGACGCAAAAAGAGGGGTGTTATAAGTTTGACGTGTCTGTCTGTGTGTCTGTTTGTCTGTCTGTCTGTGGCATCATAGGTCTCGAACGGATGAAGCGATTTCAATTTAGTTTTTTTGTATTAATTGAGACTTATGTGCGAGTATTCTTAGACATGTTTGATGAAAATCGGTTGAGCCGTTTAAAAGTTGTGGGGGGTGAAAGTGGGGAAAAATAATCGAATGTCTGCAAATATACTAGAGTGGAGTATCAACTCTCAAATGAAAGCGCACTGAAAGAGAATATTGATGACTTAATCGATCTAGTGTTCTCAGCTTCGTTTCATGAGAAATTTGGTGGTGGGAAAATTGGGACATGGAAATCCGATTGTCAAGTGAGAGTATCAATTACTACGTCTCAGTCTTTGCAATTCTGCTAAAGATGATTTGTCATGTGGGTTATTAATATAGTTTTCTTTGGTCGAATTCACAAATTGCTACACCATCCAAGGTGTAGCAATGTACTAACAAAATCTACATTATAATAAGTGTACACCTATAAAAAGTATTAAATAAAAAATTAAATTAAAAATTTTAAAAACCCCCGACACAAAAACATAAGTTCCTTTTAAAAAATAAAAAAAACTCAATCTTAAAGTACCTAAGCATGTATCAATAATTCTAAAAAAAAACCTCGCGTTGGGGGAACGCTCCGGGCTGAAAAAAATCGTAGATAATAAATAATAATTTGTAGTTGAAACATTCGAAGTTAGCATTATGCCGCATAATGCGCTTTAGTGCTCTATTTGGAAAACAGGGATGTCTTCAGATTTATTTAATTTATGCACATTCATGCCTATAAATATTCATTTTTTATAAATAACAATTACTTATTATACAGTTATTAATAATAAATTTGACTCTCACTTCCGCGAGTCCGATAAGTACCTCCGACTACATAATAATATGTTCATTGTTCATTCATCAACTTGTTCTCTTCTTTTTAGTTCGCTTTTTACGCAGTCGATTTTTTATTTTTGTGTATATATTTTTTTATTCTCATGAATAATAATAAAAACAAAAAAATCTATATTTTTATTATTATTCATGATAATAATAAAAACATCGATTTTTCTCTTCAACTGATATGTAATTTCAATGTATAAATAAACGGAGGATTAGACAAAAAAGGGATAACAAATATATCCAATAAGTACAATACTTTCTTAAATTTAAAAGATAATTTTATTTAAGTACTTACTTATTATAATTATTTATAAATTAAACGTAAGTTAAAACTGACATATACAAAAACATACATACATTGTATATAAATATATTTTTTTATTCATTAAGTATATCTTATTATATATCTTATATTTTATATTTTTTTGATGATCAATTTGTTTTCTCAAGCATATAGGGAATGGCAAGTAATATGTCATCAATAACAATTTTATAACATTTTCTGTCATAATAATAAAGAAATTGCCTTAAAAATAAATGTAAATTGTAATATTGTATGTACTAACTACTGACACAAAAAATAATAATACAATTATCTTATCAGTAACCGTGAATATAAAACGGGACTTCCCGTTAAAAGAGTTGCCCCTGTGAAAAAAGACTCACAAAGGCTCATTTGATATTTATTTTGCTTATATTATTTTAAGTTGTTCGTATAGAAAATTGCATTATGCGCACAATATATAAGAAAAGGCACATAATGATATATTTAAATAGGTGTAATGGTACTTATTTATCTTATAGCGGCATTAAATATTTTTTTGTCCTGGCAGCACTAGCATTTTACTAAGTGAAAAATACATAGTCGTCAAGATTCTAAGAAAGCGTATACGGTATACTTATTTAAATACGAGCAAAGCAATATTAATACGAGTCTACAAATACTAGTGAATGAATACTGAATAGTGATTTGTTTATTCTGTAACTCGAATACAAGTAACGCTTTGTTTATAATATTACATATACATCCAACATCCTTATTCCTTAGTATAGTTTGGTTAGAGTTCTTGGAAGTGAAGCGAGGTGTACAAAATTACTACTATTTGTCATCCATGATTACTACAATTATTGTAAGTGTGATAAGATAAATATTTTTTTAATTTAAAATTTAGTATGTTAAACATAAATTACTTTCAAAGACTAAACAAGTACTTACTTAATTCTTGTAGATTACTATTGTTTGCAGGAATATAATAATACCGGGTTGTATAGGTATTAAAGAACTTTCATTTTGATATCCCACTCAATAGGTTTTTAACTATTCTTTAATTCTTTTTTTTCTGTATTCATATAATATTGTATGATCAAAATCGGTTAGGAGGTTTAGTATCTAATAATTTACGAAGGAACATAGGGTCGGATATACATACACACAAACAAACGTGGAGGTCAAACACGTAACCCTTCTTTGGGTTTCGCCGCAGTCAGGTAATAAAGCTAAACAGCTAATTAAAAGTACCTACCTATTATTTTAATAACTTAATTATTCGACTTCGTTATATTTTTTACAATACAAATATATTAATACTTTTATTTAGTCAATTTACTATTTTTTTTTCAGCATTGTATTTTATTGCATGTAAAAAGGCATGTAGAGATTTTTTTTTTTTTTTTAACGTTGGGAAATGCATTTACGCACGACGTGTGGGACTCACCGGCGTAATACAGCCAGTACTAACCACTAAAACCCAACAAAACCTTCCCCCGTCTTAATGGGGCGTCGCAGGATCGCTTACGCATTCAACTAAGACGCCCCGACGGCAGGTCTGCCGAAGCAGACCACCACAACCATGGGGTTGCTCCAAGGTCCACTCTGCTATCAGAGAAGTACCAGGAGCAACCCACATGATACACCGCCCTCCGAAAAGGGCCACCTCCCACCGCCCACCGAAGTGGGCAACCTCCCTGTGCGTTTCTTAGCTTCGCTACTACTACTGAGCCCCCCCACCACGACAAGGTGAACGCACGTTGGGGGGGATGTAGAGATCATCCAAGTCTTGTTATTACCTCATTTTTTTCATTGATTCATCATTTTTTTTGTGACTCTTTGTTTCAGACTTATTATTTTTCTTTATATATAGGATGGTAGGTACTTATTACTCATTAAAGTATGCATTTATTTCAGTGCGCATGAGAAGATCGTTTAAGCAAATTTCCTCTTAAACATAAAACAACTACCTGGTTAATTGATGAAATGGATCGTAACAGAAACAATAACGGAAATAATAACAATAACGACTGGTCTTGGTGGCAAATAGGTGCCGCAGCGGTGGGGGCGGGTGCTACACTAGGAACACTGTATGCACTGACACGTAGTAGCTCAGAACCTTCTCAAAGCACGCCTCAACATCAGGAAGAACAGACTCCTAGCTTCTTTGGCCGTTTTGCCAACGATTTTGAAAATTTATTTAACAACACTAAAGCAATGGAGGAGTAAGTTTTAATTTTACACTTTAACCTTGCTGAACATTTAATATTTTAAATAAAACTATCTTATATTATCGCGGCTATCGAATTCGTTATCGCGGTTACATTTGCTGTAAAACATTCGATATGTCGCGTTGGGATGAAAAACATTAATAAAATGCGAGAAAATTTTAAATATACTTTTAATGTTTTAAGTACATAATAGTACATATTATTTACCATTTTTTAATTGAATTAGTTTTATTTTATTAACATAAAAATGTTCTGGTTTTCTATTAAATCTATTTAAGATTTCATAATTATCTTCATTATATATTTATTTTTAAGCATAATACCACAAGGATCAATACCAGCTTGGCCTCATATTACAAATCTTAACTCTCTACTCAGTGATATTTACGATCGATACGTTGCGCTTAAAAGAGAAGAATTCCAACGACATTACAATGTGTTTACTGAAATTTTCGGAGAATTGCAGAGAAATATGAAGAAGGTTGACAAATATTACGAACGCTTCGCCAGTGATGTGAGTTACATGTCTACATATAATACAGTACCCTACCGAGCTTCGCTCGGAGTTTTTCGCCTAAAGTACAATTTAAAAAAAAAACTAAAAACTTGAATAAATATTTAAAAAAAAACAAAAGTAACAACTTTATATCCGACTGGGATTCGAACCCGGACCTATGATTATCAATCTTGGGCCTCGGCCGCTTGACCATGATGCTTATGCCGGCACGTGCGTAATTACTGACCATATTTTCTTTTGTGGAATAATGCGAAAGAAAACTGCATGAAAATTCGAAAACACGCATTTTCCCAGACATAAGACTATATATATATATATATATATATATATATATATATATATATTGTATGTATGTATGTATGTATGTATATGTATATATATATATACATACATACATTAGGGTTTGTTAGGGTTAGTAACATTAGGGTACAATATAATGACGCATATCGTATCCTGATGAAATTGCCCAGATACTGCAGCGCTTCCGATATGTTTGCAAAAGCTCGAGTGCCTGATTTTTTCGCGATAATTAGATCACGAATCGCTTCATTTTGGAATCGTTTGAGAGTCTCTAACAACGAGATCCTTGCCAAGTTGGTAAAAACTTTTGACTGCACGATTCTTAAGTTTTGGCTTTCGGTGCATCAGGAGGCTAATAAAAAATAGATTCTTATAGATTTAGTAGTAATGGCCTATATACTCAACAGCGATATATTGTTTTTAATTCTAGTTTAATTTAATGAAGAGTCTGACTGAATTTTGTTTTTATAATGTTTTTATTGACTTGCATATATATGCATAAGTGATATAAAAATTGACTTGTATAACTACATATATGTTATTATATTATAAATTGGGTGTATACCTTTGCAATAAATATAAATAAATAAATAAAAAATAAATAAAATACATACATACATACAAGAATTTATCGTTTAAATATATTAGATATATTTAATTTTAAATATAAAGTTTTAAAGACCTTTTCTTTTATACTTATATATACTATGTTTTTTATTTCTAGCTTGTTAACATTCAATAGACTTATAATGAATTTTTTTACTGTATTTTTATGGTTCCGTTCCGTAGCCAGGAGACAAAAACGATACTATTAATTTTGTATTGTCCGTCTACCCGCATATCACAGCTATTCACTCTTAGACTATTGGATATTATAAATCTGTAGTCAAATTACAAAAAATAAAATTATAGAAAAAGCCTATGTAACCACGTGGGGCGTCTCTCGGTAGGTGGAAAGTTGTAAAATTGTGATGATTTGATGATTTTCCAACTAGATTTTTTACTTAAGCCAATAGATTCCGCAGGCACTGGTATCCCAATGGTAACACGGTTGCTTCAAAAACCATGTAAAGCGCGTTCAAATCGCGGGTCTCGCACCCGTCTCGATATTCTCATGACCGAATCATTTTTAACATGATTACAATTTGCCTTATGATAAAACATCGTGAGAAAACCTGCATGTCTGCAATGTTAGATTGAACCTTAGCGCCGCCCCTGGACACTGTAAAAATTGTCGTCCTATTATCGATTTTTTTTTTCATTATTAATTTTCTGAAAAATGCAAAGAAGTAATTTATAAATGATTTCAAATTTTCGAAAAATGTTAGGTACATTAGCTACTTAATCTTTTTTTATTGCTCATGTTTTGGAAAATAAGAAAATCGATAACGCGAAGAATTTTTTCCTACCCTCCGAATTTTGCCGCCCTTAAAAATTTGGCGCCCTGGGCATTAGCCCCGAGTGCCCCTAGTGTAAATCCAGCACTGCATGTCTGAGAGAACTAATTTCCGAAAAATATGTGAAGTCCACTAATCCGTACTTAGCCAGCGTTGTGGACTTAAAGCATAGCCCTCGCATTTTTCAATTCGAGGTGCCCAGCAGTCGGATGTAAAAAAGGCTGGATGAATGAATCAATGAAACAGTTATATATTCTAAAGTAATAAACATTCTATCTCCTAATCCTTCAACTTTTAAAATATGAATTCCCAAAAAAATAGGATATTTACAACAATAATTTTGTTAAAAATAAGAAAAATCTCGGAAGTTATAACTACGACTAATAAATACCCTTTATCCCACATAAATAAAAAAATGTAAGTAATTATATAATGAGCATATATGCACCTATATTATGTCCCATATGAGAAACATGTCTTATATATTTTTTCCGTAGATAATGTCTATACCAAGTAGCTTTAGCACAATTAGGTATTACAAGCAGAGGAGCTATCGGTCAATCACGTCATATTAATTGCGATGCGATTATCTTGATGATATCATTTCTACTTCTATCTTTTCTTATAATCAGCTTAAGTACGACTAGATACGTAATGTTTTGGTGAAATTTAAAATTTGGAGCAAATTGAAACATTAATCATGTACTTAACCTACTTGTACATATCACATGCATAAAGTCAAAAATATTAAAAAATAAAATAAAAGCATAAAAAATCTATCCCACGGGAACCGTTCATTTTTACTATGAATAAAAAGTAACCTGTTGTTTGATCGGTAATATAAAGTATCCCGTATCAGCATGCCAAACTTTACTAAATTAAGTGCATAAGTTATTGTGTACTAAGCTGTATAAGTTACTATAGTTTTTTAACTATCCCAAGGGAACTATTTAGTTTTCCGGGACGAAAAGTATCTAAAATGTTGGCCGGCGATATAAGGTACCACCATGCAAAATTTCATTTAAATCAGTCCAACAGTTTCGAAGATTAGCCCGTACATACGGACAAGAAACAAAAAAAAGAAAAAAATCTGGATTTGTTCTATTTCTCTTCCTACATTCCCCTGACTCGGTTTTTAACATTTTTTTCTATGTTCAGACATTCGACCTCTACAGTTTTATTATATTTATAGATGCGTATATTAGGTTACGACTGTAGTTAGATAAACGATTTTTGCCATTTAATAAATAATAATATTATTATATAAATATATTATTACTAGCAAAATATTAGTTACAATTATACAAATGTATTTATAAAATATTTTCAGGTTAGATTTGCTGGAAGTCATTTCGATAATCTCCGTATAAAAAAACCAGACGAGTTTGATATGGATATAGTCATTGGTCTCCCAGTAAATATGCGTCCAAATCCATACAACCCTGAAGATAATGATGTGGTAATAGAACAAAACTACCCGGGATACGTTCAACTGAGGGCTGGGGTTCAATATCAAAAGCTACTGGTTAGGGACGGATCTGATTGCCAAATTTATAGAACTGCCTATGAATGGTTGGATGAACGAAAATACATTCTTCGTTCAAAATTCGTTAATTGGTTCAAAAGCGTCGGATATAGAGCCCTTAACGAATTCCAAAGAGTTGATTCAGTACCAGCATTGTATGTGAATGGTATTCTATATAAAATTCGTTGTTCCGAAAGCGGCCCAGCTTGGACGATAATAATCGAAGCACCGAAATTCAGATTAGATGTAGATCTAGTTCCGGCTCTAAAATTTCCGGAAACACGCTGGCCGGTTGGTAAATCATATCGCCCTATTCCCGCTGGGTGTGAAAGAGAGTACTGGATGGTCGTCCCAAAACCCAATAAAAATGGTAACACTGTGCACGACGAGTATCGCTCGTGGCGCATCGCGCTGCAAGATCAAGAGAAGAAGTTGCTTTACAACACGTTCGCTTTACGCAAAACTTTACGCTTGGTGAGTACTTAATGTTTTTGATGTCTCCAGCCTAGCTTAAAGGCTTTTTATAAATAGTATTGTTTTTTAATCTCAATTGCTGAGGGCCTACCATTAACTTTTCAATGTTTTACATAACGATTATTTTTCAATGCAGTTTAGTTTCTTAAAATGAATCGCTTATTTTCGTACCATTAACCGTGTTGTAAGTTGGATCATAACTGAATCGAACTAATGCGAATTGAATGAATAACATTAACCTTTGAGTTTCATGTTTGTTTTGGCTGCAACTTAAACTGACGTCATAACATCATAGTAACATAAATGCTAAAACGATTCATTTTGTATCGTAAAATTTGTCGCAAAAAATTTGATGGTTGACCGACCCTCTGATAAAAGTTATTATTACTTATCTGTTATCAAAAATTCTTAATGATTAATATTATTATTATTTTTGATATTGCAAAAAAAATTTGGTATTAATATTATAAATGCGAATGTTTGTAAGTAAAGTGGTAACAGACATACCTATACAAGGAAGACAAGTGGTCAAAATTAAAAATAACGTTGATAAGTGAAATAAGAGAGCTTTTAATAATACCATAATGCATATTATTGTTCTCAAGGAATGGTTACGAATTTCGGTTAGTTGATAAAGGAGTCTGTCATAAGTTAATCTAGGAACATAATAAACTAAATGCTTTGTTTCAGATAAAGAAATTACGCGACGCGCTCGGAATGAAAAAAATTGCGAGTTACTACATAAAAACTATTTTCTTTTGGGAAATAATGGAGTTAAAGTATTCTAACCCATTGTTTTGGCAAAGCAACGACATCGCGACACTGCTTAAACACATGGTGAAAAAATTGCACAGTGCTTTAGAAAAAGGAGAGATACCTTATTTTTGGAACAAAAGTAACAATTTAATTGGAAACATAAATCAATCTATTCTTAATGAATATAAATGCAAAACTTCTAAACTCTTAGCTATACTAGAAGTACCTGCTAACTATAGAGAAGTGGCTAAATATCTTTTGGACAATGAAGAGTATTCAGAATACAAGAAATTTTTGTTCTAATTTGTAAAATATTTTAAAGGTTTACTGATTCATAAATGTGTGTTTAATGAAGAACTTGTTAGTAATCACCAAAATGTGGTTTAGTTTTATATAGAAATATAAACGTTTTGATAATTTTTATATGCCATTTATTACAATGAACAATGTAAATATAATAATAAATGAATGGCTCTACAAATCGATACACTTATTTTCTCACTTTCGATAAATTGAATAGATATTTTATTAATATTATAATACCTAAAAATGCCAATAAGTGGCGATATAGTTATTATAGCACACCTTTTGCTTTTGCTCTTGAACGGCAAGAGGTAAGGTGCGGTACAATCTGTGCGGTTGCCATTAGGGCAAACGCAGCAATAACGCTGAATGCTGTTAAAATAATATATGACAAGGCTGTTATAATATAGAAGAAAAACAAAGCCTACATTTGACGGTACTTTGAATAATAGTATATAATAGTATATTTGTTTATTTTTAAAATTGTTGTAAGTAAAGTCAAGTAAGTTAAATAAAACTCAAAAATACCCGACTCGGTGTGCTTTAATTTGTATCGGCTGGCACCAACTTCGAAAATATCTGATTAGGTATCTAACTGAAATGAAATAAAAACTACGAATACATTATTTTTTAATTTTACTTTTTAGTGCTTTTTTTGAAATCATTTTGTTTTTAATTTTAATTTTTCCATTTTTAGTGTAGACATATTAGTAGCAAAGTATTAAAGTAAAAAGAAAGTATTTTAATAAAATATTTGCCCGTTTAATTTTTAAGTTTGATACCAATTTTCTTATGAAGACTGAAACTTGAAAATATCCGTTAGAATTATCGACTTTTTACCCGCAGCCCCGCTCGCGTAATAACAATTAATTATTACTAATTTTTATAAATTATAACCTATCTACTCTGTCTCTGACGTATAAACTATAATATTAAGTAAAGTTTCATCAAAATCCGTTCAGTAAGTAGTTTTTCGCGGTGAAAAGGAACAAACAAAAGTATGACTTACGAGGTTTTCTATAAGTATAGAAACTTCTTGTAGTTTTAAGAAATATTGCTTGGCTTGTGAGGCGTGCGAGGTGTATCACAAACTTTCATAAGCGTACGAACGTTGCGATGCTATCTACTCTAATATATCTTTAATCTATTTTTCATTTCTTTTTTGACAATGCTATAACCACGGTAATGTTATAGAGCTACAATGGACCAAAACTGGTCGACGTAGCTAGGGCCGACCTCGGCACCACACCCAACATAAATAATAAATATACATACATTACCGTGCTATAACGATGTAAAAAATGAAATTGTATATACATATAATAAAATTCTAACTGAACCGAATCTGTACATTATATATTTTTCGGAAAATCTTATTGAAATAGTCAGTATTATCGATACAGAGGCCTAATTTATAGTTTTTAGATTTTTTGTCTGTCTGGGAACGCATGATAAAACCACTGGAAAGATTTTGATGAAATTTGATATGATGATAGCTGGTTGTCCGGGTCAACAGATAGGATACTTCTTACTGCGGGAAAGTGTATAATAAAAAGTACCTCCATATACCCAAATGTATACAGTCTTTGTATACTTAATTGCTAAGCAACAGTAACTATAGTATTTTGACAGTATAAACACAAAGCCATAATAAAACGCTTTGAGTACACAATATATTTTTTACAAAGGGGTTAAAAAATAATGGCAGAGGAATTGCAAAAAGCTCATCTCTATTATGATGAAATTAATAAAATAAGAGTTATCGAGAGTACAGTTCTTAAAGAAACAGAAGATTTAAAGGATACCTGCAAGGATTATGATACAAGTAACTATTTATTAGGTCTACTAAATTTTAAAATAAGATTTATGTGTTTTATATATAAATAAAAAACATGCCACCAATGGATAGGTACAAGATGTCCCGACATGTCGTCTCAAACGTAAGACAGTCGGCCGCCAGCAGCCCTATCATTAGCAAATTACAGGAGCTTACGGGCCCCATAAACGCGTTAGGGTCTGAGTTCTGGGCTGACTTGATCTTTTATGCTTTTGCCATAGTATGTTCTAAATAACTTAAAAATATGCTTTAAATAACTTTCTTTTGAAAGTCTGTTTTTGTATACTGAATTCAAAATTAATGATTTCTTTATTCGTTAATAACCATTATTCCATTACTAAACGTGATGCCAGGTATAAATAACTTACATTCTTATCGTTGACGACATGTTTGGCTCAGTTTGTAGTGACCCTACTTGCTGTACCAACGGTCGCGGGTTCGAGTCCCGCTGGGGGTATTCATTTGTGTGATGAGCCGAATGTTTATATTTATAATATGTATGTATTTAAAGTTATATATGTGTAGTGTATCAACTATCTGGTATCCATAACAACAAGCCTCGTAGCATACCATAGAACTAGATGGCGCTGTCTTAATGTCCCAACATATTTATTTATTTATTTTCAGAGGTACAGGAATTTGGAAAATTAATTACTTCTCTACTTGACATGTTGAAAGATCTTGGGGACAATGTAGAGAGGCAGAAAATGGCAGCTATAGGTGCTACAAACTTGTTAAAGTCCATTGCAAAGGATAGAGAAAGTGAACAAGCAAAGTTACAAGTAATATTTTCTTAGATTTCGTTACTATACTTTTTCTTCTCTTAAGAACTTTCTTCTATTTCTTTAGTAAAACTATTATCTTTGGTACTGTTTGCGATGTGTGTTTTGAACAGATTACAATACATACTAGGTACAACCCATGTCGATCTCGTTCAAAACATTACATTTCATTTGTTAATTTAAAGAGAGATTGACTCTTTATTAGTCCTCGAGGAAAATAACACCGGGTCGGAATAAAATTCGTATAGCTGTAAAATATTTAAAAGTTTCGTAAATAACAGTAATTGGTATAAATATGTTACTCCAGGTTATAGCCTCTTTTCCAATCCCGTCCAGTCGCTTCAGCGTTAAGGAGTAACAAATATACACACATACAAATTTATAATAGCAGTACGATTGGAGCAAACCGTACCTAATCTACATCGGAGCTTTGATTCCATAATGCACTACCGTCAAATATTTTAGTGTATGTATCCAGGCCCTTTTTAGGTCGCAGGCCTTCAGGCGGGCAGTTGATAATTTAAAAAACCTTTTACACATTGGTGTAACGACTATTTAACAAAAAACTAAAAAGATATTTACGTTTTGTTTGAAATAATGTTTATATACTTTACAGGCTGAAATTAACGACAAATCTATGATACTAGAGCAGCTAGACAGTGAATATGATGCATTACAAATTTTAGAAGCTACTCAAATGGAGACCATTGAGTATTTAACCCAACTGAGATAATATTTTTATGAAATAAAATATTTAAACTTTATTATTAGCTATATATTATTTTCTGCAGACATGCGAATTTAATCCAAAGTATATGGTCGATGAATATTATATGTATATTCATCGTCGATACACATTTTTCTATTTTAATATACTGTAATGCTTTGTATTTAACCATAAATAGCAAAAAAAGCAGTCATGAGCACTGCCGACAGAAGTGAAAACGTAAAACTATAAACAAACTGTTGTTATTTTTGGATATTCAAATTGTTTGATCTTAAATTATTTGTAAATTAAAACTGTTTACATTTATCTGGTTTTGACATCTATTGGCACTCGAGTGTTAGCGTTAACACGTCACGTGACCATGTCGATGACGACTTACATGAATTTATTCCTCATCCAAACCTGCCTATAGAAGTTTTCACTTCAAAAACAAAATTTATTCACTGTAAGAAGCAATCGCGGAAACTACCTCAGCTTCAGAGTATACTAGCGACTCCATCGCTTCGTTTTCGTCCCTCGACAAAACAAATCTATCCCACGGGAACCGCACATTTTTCCGGGATAAAAAGGAACCTATGTATTATTCCAGACTATAATCTATTTCTGTGTTAAATTTCATCCACATCCGTTCAGCCGTTCTAACGTGAAAGAGTAACAAACATCCATCCATCCTTACAAACTTATTAGGATTTACTGTACATATGTTTCTTAATAAACAAAATATTCTACATTTTTCAAACATGGAAAAAATAAAGTATGTGAAATAAGAGATATAAGGTATGATCTGTAAAAATGTATTTTTTATAATTGATTCACACATGAAAGAAAATAAGTTCGTAAATTAACTTCTACAACAATAATTTAGTTATTACAACATTCATTTGCAGTAATATTCATTGAAAAATAAAATTGTTTTGAATTATTTGTTGACTTTTTTCCAAGAATTACCTGTTATTATAAAAATATTACTACTTATATATAGAGTAAATAAGTAATGAATTTAATACATTCACTCCTTGGAGTCAAAATTTCACTTTAGAATTTTTTTTAGGAACATGCCAATTACAATGTCACAATTCTTACCAAACACCTAAAAGTAACAAACATAGGGAAATATAATTCAGTAACATTATTGTATTAATGCAGGCATCCTTACAATAGTCAACTACGTAATTTTAATTTTTGCTGCAACAGAATAAAGGTCTTATCAGTGTTGGCCCAAAGTTAATCTGGTTAACGATTAAAAATGATAATCAAAAAAAAAATGATTAACATCAATTAACAATAATCAAATTTAACATGATTAAGATTATTAATCATAATCATTAATTGTAAGACCGTTTAATTTAGAACATTTCTTGATTTTCTTGATGTTCAAAATATGTAATTACTTTCATGAAGACAAATAAAATAGTTAACCACAACTGTGTCTCATCCACCAAACAAAAAAATATATGATATTCATGATCCTTCTTAAACTTAAATGTGAATCTTACCACTAATACCATTCTTAATCTATTTGTCTATACCAGGGCTGTCCAAAGCACGGCCCGCGGGCCCCCGGCTAACATTTGTGCGGCCCGCGACGTGTTCCAATCTACCAAAATCACTCAACATTTCCGTCTTCGCTGACAGATAATTCAACACATACTGGGCTTGGCAACAAATAATATTAATATTGATCTAAGAAGTTTAATTAAAGATTTAATTTAACATTATTATCGATTTTTTTTTTTATTTTCACGTTATTTGTCTTGACCCGCGTTCGCATTTGGTCTGGACAGGCCTGGTTTATACTATTTTTATCAAGTCAGTTCTATATTTTACCAATGGATCTTAGTGTTATTACATTGGAAAATCGATCAAAAGATGTCTTATCAAATTGTACGCACAGACAACTAAGAAATATTTAGGTCAATTTAAAAAAAAAATTATATGATAATTCAAACTTATAATTCAGAATGTCAAATATATGTAATGATGAATCAACATTAGACAAAGTGTTCAATAAAATATAAAAATACACAATAGTAGTGATGCAGTATGAATGAATGGAATGCATCAAAATATAGATTAGAGCCTTTACTATACTATACTGAGAAAAAAAAGGTATAATGAGGTCACCTACAATCAATCTAGACAATAAATAGCACGCAGTAAACTGAAGGAAAACGTTTTGTGTCGAACCAAAATTATCTGTTGAGGACAAAATAACTAAGAAAATTCAATATAAAGTTACAAAAGTCTTTAGAACTATAGTGATTCGTCATTTCAACGTCTCTACGAATGCAATACACTGTGTACTTAGTCATAGGTTTAAACACTTGAAGTCACTACTGAACTCGACAAAGGGTCATCTATTTTCTGCCTCTTCGAGTCCTGTATGTCCTCACTGGAGTCATCTGCGGCACGTTTTTTCGATTCAACGTTATTAGTGTGTTGGCCGACGTCTGAAACAACGCCATCTTTGAATCTTATTATAATGGCCGTCATATTGTCACAGCCTGTACCGTCGCCCATTGTGCTCGGCGCCAAGCAATGGTCAAACATCTGAAAAAATATATTATATGAATAGAAAATGTTCACGAATTGAATATTTCAAATTACACAAGAATCTTATCTTGACAATATAATCTTATAATATTAAATGAGCAATTCTGGTATATTTATTTAGTGTATCTTAGAAATGGCACTAATGATTTCGAACAAATTTTGTATTTAGATAAGGTTTTGCTTTTTAAATTTATCTTATTACATTACATTACATTACTTATATATCACAGAAAAACGTTTTCTTATAACTAATTATTAGAGCCTTTTTCTATCTCATACTACATACATAATGTCATGTAAGTTGAGAGAAGCTTTATCGCCCAGGTACTATCTAAGTTCTAACAATGTAAGCATTAAGAAAAGTTAATAACATATGATGTTATAATATTTGTTGCTAAATAAAGAGTGCTACCAGCTATATTTATTATTTTCTTACATCATTGTATACGCGGTTCATACGAGACATCAAATCAAAGCAAAAATGTTCAAATGTTTTTGCTGACAGACGGATGGATGTGTCAAATTATGAAGGTTTTGTTTTTGGCTAACCCTAAAACATTAAGAGCAACTTAAATGTAAAAAAGTAATTTAAGTCATTATTTACATTTTATCAGTTACTTATACACACCTCTTCGCAAATCTGCGACAGCCGCTCCCTGCCTTCGATCAGTCTGGGCAAGATGAAGTCGCAGACATCTTGACTCGACATGAAGTTCCAGATGCCGTCACACGCGAGCACCATGAACTGGTCCTTGTCTGTCTCTATTGTAAGCTTTTTCACATCTGGCAAAGCTGTTATCATTTGCTCTTTAGCATCCAATTCTTTATTTTGCTTATAAGAATGGTCACCAATGGCTCTTGACAAGTTAAGACCACCATTGATTCTGCCATCATTGGATACTTTCCCACCGGCTTTTGTAATCCTTTCTAATTCCGGTGCGTCTTCAGGTTTGTGGTCTATTGACATGTCTATGGCTTTGCCTTCTCGACATATTATGCAGCGGGAGTCACCAGCATTTGCAACATACAACTCATTGCCTGTAAATAAAACAATAATAATATTACTCAAATATCGTTAAAAAATGTTCATAGTATTTTATCTTATGGAATTCTTCTTTGGGGCAGTTCCGCGAAAATTAATTCGATATTTATTCTTCATAAAAGAGCAGTACGGTACGTGGCTATTTATGATCTAAGAACTCGTGATTCCCTGCAAGATGTTTTCAAAAAAAATTGGTATTCTAATGGTTGCGTCACAATATATACTGTGTAATTTTACTCGTTCGTAAGAATTCTGTAAATTATGAATTATGTAAAAAACAGTGTTAGACACACAATAAATACTAGAAATAGAAAAACGCTCGTTACGCCTAGATATCAACTCCAAAAGATCATAAATCCTTCATGGGTTTAAGTATATGCATATATAATAAGATTCCACATAATATCCTAGATTTACCTTTTCAAAAATTTATACTAATTAATACTTTTTTCTCAATAAAATATTTTTAATTCTAATTACACTGTTTAAGAGTTTCTTGTTGATGGAATTGTATGGAAATGTATTGTATGGAATTGAGTAATATTGACTCATATGCGGGCTATCATCTATAATGTTATGTTAATAAAATAAATGTAACTTAGATATTTAAAAGAGCAACTGTTGAATTTCTCGCCGGTTCTTCTCAGCAGAACTGCTTTCCAAGCCAGGGGTAGCTTCCTCACGGACTGACTACGCTGACGCTTTCATTAAATTGACATTGACATGAAATAAGAATTTGTTCACAAAAATGTCCTCACTAATTTAAAATTGTAAAAGTCATTTTATTGGTGGTTTTATTAGATTATACATTTTCTTTCTATACCTCTGAGAAGTGCCACAACTGCTGTGCAGCCACTATCATTGCCAGGTTCTTCCGACATACTGATGTCTTGCTCCCCTTCTTCATCACTCGACTCAGCTTCATATTCTTCTTCTTCATCTTCTTCTTCGGCTTCACCTATGGAAACTATCATTTTTAATAACAATACATAATTTGTATAACTTAAAGTTTCAATTAAAACAGGTTATTTTTGTAGAGATGTATAAACTTACATAGATAAAATATAATCTCCTGATTTTTTTCCATAATATGTTGACCTTGTAGGAAATATTTAAAAAACAAACATTTGGTGAATTTTATTTAGATCATAGCCCCTAAATAGCACCTCTGCTTTATATGCATAGAGACCATACATAAAACATGAAGTTGTGGATCTCATTGAAACTTGCTATTTTTGACCGACTTTAAAAGGAAGAATGGACTTAATTTCAGTGTATGCTGCCACTGTGGTATAGTGGTTTAGACGTACGGAAGTTTAATTATGCTTTTTTTTTGTCTATGTTAATTGTTAAGTTTTTCATACCTTTAACAGTTGCGAACTAATTTACAAGATCGTTTCTGTTAAAAACTATATAGATAACCTTGGGTCCATATATACTTTTAAAAATAAAATAAAAAATTGTAAATAATTGGATACAATTAGATTTTGATAAATATATTTTTTACTATTCCATACTATCTTTATTTCTACTCGTAATCTAAATATTAAAATGTAGGCTGATAATTGATCTTTCTCACTCAGTGATGCTTTGGATATGAAAGTGAAAATAGCTGTCTCCCAGTAGCAAGTTATCCATGTGAAATATGTATGTATTCAGCCCTTTTCAACGTCCTACTACCGGGCACGGGCCTCCCTTCCATACGAGGGGGATCAGGCCATAGTTCACCACGCTGGCCAAGTGCGGGTTGGCGAACTTCACATCTTTCGAAAACTTGCTAGGTTCTCTCAGACATACAGGTTTCCATTTCTCATGACGTTTTCTTTCACCGTAAGGCAAGCGGTAATCATGTTAGAAATGATTCGCACATGAAAATATCAGAGGTGCGAGACCCGGGATTTGAACCCGCTTCTCTCGGTGTCCCAAGCGAGCGCCTTACCACTGGGCTACCACTGCCTTGATGTCCTTATTACCATGATACCACTGCCTTGATGTGAAATATACACAGAAGAAATAAATATACAATGTATGAATACATACATTTGGTAAAATTAAAAATATGCTGTATAATAAAAAAGATTTTATTTGATTTCCATGCAGGTGTTTTATGTAATGTAAATGATAAGAAAAGAATTGTTGTTGACTTGAATTCTATCACATTAAAATTTAAAAATATTCAATGTGAATTTTGACTTCATTACAATTTTAATGTATTGCCAGTTATCTATACTAATATTATAAAGAGGTAAAGTTTGTAAGTTTGTGAGGTTGTAGAAAGTAATCTCTGGATCTACTGAACCGATTTAGATGAAATTTGGAATGAAGATAGTTTGACACACTGGGAAGGACATAGGATACTTTTTTTTTATCCCGCAAATCATCTCTTAAGGGGGTGTATACAGATAAGATTAATTAATTTATTGATACAGTATACAACAACAAATCTCCTTCATGTCTTCTCCATTCTACATATCATTGGTGAAGTAATCCATGTTCAACTGGCACTCTTTGAAGCCATTACCAAGAGAATTGAATTGAATCGAAATTACTATGTACATCAACTGGCTGTCTCCTACTGACTTACTTTCATTAGAAGATACTTCTACTCCATTCACATTTTCTTCATCCGAAGAGTCAACTTCTCCACCTTCAAAGTTTTCATCATTGGAATCACTTTCATCATCATCTTCTGCTGTGACCTGCTTCAGAATAGTCTCATACATAGCAGCAGCGGCAGCTCTCCTAAGATTTGCTTTCTTTGGTCTCTCAGGTGTAGCTTTGTCAGAACTTGACACTTTATCTAAAAATTAGACACTTGCTTTAGGAAAACACTTGAAGCCGTTTAAATGTAGTAGTAATGTATTGTAAAAAGTGTTTTCATTAGGGATCATCGGATACAGATATATCGCCGATATTAGTTTGCCGATACACCAATACAGTTTTAATAATTTAAGGATGTTGTATTTTCTGAATAAAAATCTCATTTACTTGAACTTTAAATATTAATTTATAATCTGAACTTCATTATTAAGGTAATATCTTGTTTCATTACTATTTTCAAAAATTAATTAATATTCTGTTAAATTACAGTTTCCAAATTTCGCTACATAATATTCTAAATAAATGTTACTTATGTAAGTAATGCATTTTTTTCTGTTTTTTCTATCCTAAGACCACAGTTTTTTTACTTTTTTTTGCAGTTGTCCGCATTGCATTGATAACGGTGTACCTTTCTATAAATATCGATATCGTATCAGCAGAAGTGTGTATCAATACATCCCTAGTTTCCATGGAGTAGTACAATGATATGGTTTTATATTACTTAAATGTAACTTAAAAAATATATTAAAATAGCAGAACCTGCGGCTTCACTTGTGCTAAAACTCTAAAAACTGGGTTTCATACAAACTTCATGCCCTATTTTACCCTTTTAGGGGTTGAATTTTAGAAACCCCTGAAATACGTAACTCATTATTTTTGCCGTATTCAATTGATACGAAATTTTATGCAAGTATGTCCAAGGAATAAATAGTTTTATACAAACTTTTATCCCCTATTTCACCCCCTTGGAGGTTGAATTTTGAAAAATCCTTCCTTAGTGTATGCCTTCGTCATATGAGGAATACGTGTGCGAAATTTCAATTTTTTAGCCCATCAGTCTATCACTTTTGCCTTTTACATATATAGATATTAAATTATATATCTATTGAAAAACTTAACAATATTATATGTAATTGTATACATAGTTCTTAACTGTCAAAAATGCTATTATGAATGACATACCTTTGGATTTATTAGACTTAACAGGTGTTGCAGATCCATTGGAGGAAGTAATATTGTTTTCACCATCAACCTTGGAATTGGTAACTTCTCCGTTACACACTTCAGATGATGAACCATTCTCAGTTTTCGAGTCTGCACTTTGTTCTGGCTGATTGCAATTTTCTGCAGAACTGTCCGGTGTGTTAGTTTTGTCAACTTCCATTTCAACATTCTTCTCTGCCTTTCCATTGTTATCACTTGTGGATACCTATTAAATATGGGAAATTTAAAATAAAAATTACTATGCCTTTACTTTTAAGGTCTATGGTATATATACCAATTATATTGTTGAATAGCTACTCACACTTGCTTCGCACGTGTGCATCTCTAGGTAATTAATTTATTTTATGAGCAGAACATTAATTCTTTTACCAAAATAAAAGTAGCCTAAGTTATTCCTTGTAACATAAGTTATCTTCCAGTGAAAGTGCCGTCAAAGTCGGTCCAGCCGTTTCAAATGAACAGACAGACAAAAATATAAAAAATCGGGTTTTTCTTATAATTACCGTATTTATTTTGATATGACAAACAGGCACTTCAATTTTATATATCTGTATAGATTTATATAGATCAAAAATCTCAATAAAATCTGCATTAATTAAACTGGCAAACATACTTCTCCATTAACCTCTTTATCTTCATCATTGGAATTTGTAGATGAAACCCCTCCAGTGTCATCGTCTGCTTTCTTAGACTCTTCTTCATCTGGTAGGCCGTTTTTGCTTGATGTAGCCTCTTCAGTTGCTTGCTCAGAACTTGAACCTGCCACAGCAAACCCTGCACTTGAGCTTGAAGCACCAGCTCCTAATAATATATATACTTATTTAACTTATTATGACAAAATAATAAATACATGTTAATACATACAACATTATTTACATTTGTCTCCATTTGTGTATTCAAATATGTAGGAGATTTAAAATGATAAGTTGCTGATGAAGCATTTAATAAAAATAAGATTTGTTATAATCAAAGCATAACATTTTATAGATCGTTTACCTGACCCTCCTGCTTCATCAACATTTTTTTTAGCTCGGAGGAATGGTGACAGTGGTGTTGCTGTGTCTCCTAATCTAGCACGGTGCAGTGTGGTCAGTTTGTTTTCATATTTAGCCAACACTTCCTAAACAGTAAAAACATACATTAATTTAAGAGATTGTTACAACCAAACTATCTCATAAATTATTTTTAGAAGACTAGTACAAGTGGTGTTTAAACTAAATTTCATAAACTAATATCATAAGAGATTTAAAGTTTATATATATATATATATATATATATATATATATATATATAGATATAGATATAGGCCTTGATAGCATTTCTACAGGCTTGAAGAGTATGGTTATATTAGCTTACTGCATGAGTATGAGGTTTTTAGTTTTGCTAAAATATTTTATAATGTTTTTAAAAGGATCTGAAAGCCATTATTACCTGTAAAGGAAGTGTAGCATCTTTGTACAAGTTACTTATACTCTCATCATCTGATTCTTCATTGTCACTTGGTCCAGGTGGATTGATTTCACCTATATAGAAAAAAAATCATAAGCTATCTCAATATTAAATTGTATTATTATATTCTATCAGATAGATCTATAAAGTAAAACAACATACCAGCTAATTCTTTTAATATATCCATGACCTCTTTAGTTGCAATAGATGCATCAAATCCAAGGAAAGCATCTGTTAAAGCTTTAACCATATCTCCACTTTTATAAGCATCTGTGTTCTTTATGTAATTTGGTAAATTTTGAGAACAATATGTTGCTACCTCTGCACCACCATGCCCGTCATAAACCGCAAAAAATGCTGTATTTTCATCAAAATCAAGAATGGTATTATGTGCATCCTACAATCAAAAACAAACAGATTAAATGAATAAGTTTTGATAAAGTTATATCCATGTAATTTAAGTAAACAAACCGTTCTTTTGTTAATGACTCTAATTGAATGGTACCCATGAATTACAAAGGTACAATGTGAATTCTTAAAGTAATATCACACGACTCCAAAAACTTTAAATTATGATTATGAACGCTCAAAGAGTATTATTCGGTATAAATTGTGAATCTCCGAGTATTTTCTTGATAAAAAGAATAACAAAAAAGTGTAATTATTAGTAACGAAACACTATCTCACTTCTTGGTTGACACGCCAACCCTGCATAGAACTTGCACCACATTCTATTTTGTCATTTACTTCATCACTGGACATTTTTTCAGTAACTGGTTCTGATAAATATGCACCCATTATGATAAATTATTTCATGAAATGATTCTAAAATAACTGACGCGCCAAGTTCCCTAAAATCTGTGCGGGCGGCAAGCACAGATGAAGAATGCGGCAAGCCTTGGGTGCACAGACTATATTCTATTCCAAAATCCAAAGAGAATGCTAAAAACTCTAAACTCTTGATGAAGACTGAATGTAGGATAAATATTTTATTAAAATGTTGCAAGAAATGGATAGAATTTTGCCCTTTTCTTCTGGCAGATTTCACGATCCCTATGACCCTCAGTATAATGTTAAGTTCTATAGCGTGGATGATTTTATTTTTTATTTTTATGTAAAATTTAATTAAAATAACAAATTGTGTAGTGCCAAAGAAACAAAGAAAATTGATATATTTTTTTTCCAAAAGACAAAAACTGAAGTGATTGTGGGCTAAAGCAATAAGAGGACCAAAAATTGGCGAAATCACAATCTTTATATTTAAGGCTATGTAGAGATCATTTTACAGAAAGTGATTTTAAACTCTTAAATCGTTTACAGGTGAATATGGTTTTTTTTTATTTTTTGTAGTTTTTTGTATATTAATTACAGAGTTTCATACAAACTTTCATCCCCCATTTTACCGTATAAGGAATTGAATTTCGAAAAATGCTAAAACACATATTTATTTAATTGTATTGAAGAGCATTAATACCAAGTTTCAAGTAATTCTGATCATAAATAATTCTTTGCCCATATAAACTTTATTATCCCTTTTTACTCATTTAAAGGCTGAATTTCAAAAAACTCAAATAAATATATTTCTTATTTTTGTTCTTAAAGCTAAACACCACTGTCTGTATATTTCACATTACGTATGACAAAGTTTCATACAATCTTTAATGCTCTATTTTACCCGGATGAATTTCGAAAAATCCTTTCTAATCGGATGCCTACATCATAATAAGGAATACGTTCTCTAAATTTCATTCCATTTTCATTCATTATTTACTACCAGCAGCTGTGTGTCAATCCATCAGTCAGTCAGGACCACCACAGTATACACCTCTCCTTCTCAATTGATTAACCTAAGACTGAAGGTAAATAAACATACGTGTAGCGCCTTCTTTTTAAGAAATCTTTCCCAATAAATATAGGATAGGCTAATACATCTATATTTAAATTGTAATTTGTAATATTGCTATAGAATATTTGACACTTTATCGCTTGATTTTTTTTTATAAAAAAAAATGTTTTTAATCTTACTAATATTATAAATATGAAAGTTTAGATGTTTGGATGTTTGTTATTCAATGACGTCAAAGCGGATCTGTCATCTGAATGAAATTTGGCACAGAGATAGATTATATTGTAATTTATAGTCTGGAATAGTAAATAGGCTATTTTTTATCTCGGAAAAATGTATGGTTAGCATCTAGGGTTGCCAACTTTTTGTAAAAGAAATAAAACACATTAGGGTTGAAGAGCTAAAATAAACAGTATTTTAAAAAATGAACAGTATATAATTATTTTTTTAATTTTTCAAAAGATATTTTTTGAGCTTCTTGTCCAATTTAATATTTCGTTGTCATTTTTTAAATATTCTTGTGAAGTGCTCAATATACATCTCCATTTTTCGCCAGTAAGTATTATCCACTGATTCTTAGATAATTTTTCATAAACAACTTGGAATTGTATTAATTCCTAATATACATAAATATAATATTGAGTCTGCTAACTAAGACTTTTTATTATTTTTTCAAAATGATCAAATTAGGTCACCACAGTTTAATGACCAATGGCTGATCAATGACAGCCTTATATGGCTCCAGATCCAGCGATGATAAAAACAATATTTTCAATACTTTTTTTTAATTGAACAGTAAAAAGTATTTTAGAGCTAAATAAAGTATAATACTGTTTTTAACAGTATAGTTGGTAACTATATTCGCAGCGCACAATGCCGAAGTGTGCTAATGCTTACATGCACAGAACATTTTATGCACAGCAGAGTGCACTAGGTTCAGTGTTGAAAGAAACAAATATAACTAATAAATATATAAAAATAAATATTATAAATTATATCTATACATATAATAAAATTCTAAGTCGAATCTGTACATTAAATATTTTTTGAGAAATCTAATTCAAATAGACATTATTATAGATACAGAGTCCGAACCTATAGTTTTTAGAATTTTTGTCTGTCTGTCTGTCTGTCTGTTACCGCATCACGAGAAAATAGCTGGTTATCCGGGTCAACATATAGGATACTTTTTACTGCGGGAAAATATCTCATTTCTGAAAAAAATACAAAAACACAAAAACTGCATTGTAAGAGTATAGTACTCGTAATATGTAAAACCTAAGAATTTGGTCTTTGGTCATATGAACGCGGGCGGAGCCGCGGGCATTGCTAGTAATAAATATTATTAAATAAATATAATAAATATGATGATGATGATGTTCTCCTAGCCGATTCCGGCTACGGCGGCCAATCTCATTGAGATTAGCCAACTGCGCAGGAGAACATTTTACACAACTATTATAGTGCTCAAGTGTACGCGCAGACACAGTAGCACTCTCTATTCCTATCACTCTCATACTCCGGTGGGACGACCACTCGACACGACCGGTAAGAGTTAAGGCGCAGGACCGACGGCTTGGCGTGCTCTCCGGGGCACGGGGGTGAAACACCGCCAACTTCCCATCTCCGGGCTGTTACTGAGACTTACTATACAGAAAGACTCAATAACTAAACTTGGCCCGACCCGGGACTCGAACCCAGGACCTCCGGGTGTGCAGCCGTACATGCTAGCCACTACACCACCGAGCAGAACCCGCGGCTTCGCTTACGATAAAACAACAAAAAACCTCTAACAAGGTAGGTTTCAAAGTGCGGCAATATGCTCGGTAATTTGAAATAAGGGTCCACTCTATCTATTCCTTTTCATTTATAAGAAAATATTTTTCATAAATATAAATTTCTCTTTTCCCGGGGAATCCCTTTCATTTCAGGGATAAAACTTAGGTACACTTTATTTATTACAGGGAGACACCTTCGATTCGCTCGGGTGCGCCCATAGGTAGATATGGATAGTTATTGCGCGTGTACCTTAGGAGAAGGAGAAAGACTTATGTTATTACAGATTTTTCTGTAGACCTTAACTCTTAAGACCTACAATTTTCTAGTACATTGTTTTGATGTATCTCTTAAGGTTTAGTCAGCATTAAACATGTAAGTAAATGTCTAAGAACGACTCGATAGAAATCAGTTGCTTGTTATTATATTTTCCCGTGGGAATGAAAGATTTTCCTATAATACAAGGTAATAAGTTTATCTCTACATAAAAAGTTAAAATCGGTTAAGTACTTTTTGAGTGAAACGCGCACATCGATTTTGCTAAGTTTCTGTTAACACGTTCACTGCGTCATCATTTTGAAAGAACTTTCAGCTGGTGCTTTGGAGACCTAAAAGATCTCGAAACTAGCCTACCCTTTGGTGCGTTAGAGACCTAATCAGTCTCCTAAAAATACAGTTTTGAAAATAATTTATATCTTCCAAAAAACTAATGACATATATTTTAAAGTTTTTGTGGGTCAAGAGAGCCTATTGCTCTACATTTTGCTAGGTTCGCACGCAGTTATGACATTAGAATAAGCTACAAATACCAAAAAAAAATTAGATATCGATTGTATCTCGTACCGCAACCGAAGATAGTTCAATATGTGTAGTAAGTAGTGATGGGAATAAAATAATATCTCAGTTGTCGATTGAAAAAGTTTTATTAAAGAAGTTTATTTATAAACTATGCAAAGTGTTTTTCATTAAAACATAGTAAGCACATTGATTATTTGCATTGCGCGCAAATGGTATTTTTTCAGCTTTTTTTAGAAGCGTCAGTGCTGTTTAATGTGCATCGTAATTTTTCATAACAACCCACACAACGTCTTTTTTTGTCGCCACGTTGGAAAACATAATCTGTACATCTTCCTTCGGGGAATTCTGTAATAAAAAGCATTATATTTTCCAAAATTGTAATTATACTGGACGATGCAGCACTATAATAATTCTTAGAAATCTCACCAAAATAAAACAATTTTATTAAATAATTAAATAAAATATATTAAATAAAAAAAAATTTACACTTTTTCGAAACGTGCGCGCAACCTCCCACGTCGACACTAGGACAACACTAAATCGATTCACACAGCGCCCGCGCGCCCCAACCTCCCTTTCTTGCGTCTACGAGGCGTACGATTCCACGAGTATCGACATGTCTCCTAACGCAAGGAATAAAAATAATTATACTACTGTGCGTTAGGGACCTAATCCATCTCTATTTATTTTTTTTATGTCCTCGAATTCACCTTTAAGTAGGAAGCAAATATGTATATTTGTCTTACTCATACTTAAAGAACTTTACACGTTAGAGCCTCCCGCAAGGAGTGAAACAACACGATTATAGTCAACGCACAGTACAAAAGTCCTGCAAGAGATCTGATAGATCTCGTAATGCAGCGAACGTGTTAAATTATATTATTATGTTGATTTATTGTGTGATATGAATGATTCCGGCCACGGCGGCCAATCTCATTGAAACGAGCCAACTGCCCGGGAGATATTATACTGCACAAGTGTACGCGCAGATACAGGTGCACTCTCTATTCCTGTCACTCTCATACTCCGGTAGGACGACTACTCGACACGACCGGTGAGAATTAAAGCGTAGGACTGACGGCTTTACGTGCTCTCCGACGCACGGGGGTGAAACACCGCCAACTTCCCAATTTCGGGTGTGCAGCCGTACATGCTAGCCACTACACCACCGAGGCAGTAGAGAGAGAGAGAGACATGCTTACAATATTATATACTTAATAGGGTCTTGGACTGTAGTAATAAAATGATGTGATGTTTTGTATAGCGGTAGTTTATGGGGCTAGAATTCATTACTAAAAGCCAAAAGGAATAATTAAATAAAAATCATGATTCTTCCTTATTTTTTACATAATTATTAAATAACTATTTAAATATAAATAAAATATGAAAATTTAATAACCGTCACAATCAAACTTCCAACGAACACTTCAACTGACTTGATTTTCGCAACAACATGTTAAGTTTCATGAACTTTAATAACGAAATAAGATATGGCGCTATGTGTTTGCAAATATAAATCAAGGAACTCGAATTATTTTTGTAAAATGATTAAAAGAACATTGTAGACTGTAGTTTAACATTTTTAAAAGGTATGTTATTTTATAAGAAATATGGGTTAATTGATTTAAAACGATATTGCAAATCGTTCTTAGATCAAAATGAAAATGGATTTAAAAAAATATATAACATTCATATTTTTGTGGGTTATCATGATATTGCATATTTACATCCAATTATATTATTGAGTTCCCTAATCTTAGTGAAATTGGCAGTTTTTTTATTCACTTGCATATTGTTAATATAAGGTTACCTAATATCTTCTTTCTAAATATGTATGTGAAATAGACTTTGTAATATACCTACCTACGTAGATTAAATCATCAATCAAATTAAAAAGAATCTAGCTTAAGCAGTTTTATTTAATTTCTTCTTAAATACATATATTAATATACAAACTGAACTTCTACCATTATTTTAATATATGTAGACAGTTTGTATTCGTAATATAAATATAGATAAGAATAGGTAAATGCATAACATTCAATTATAAAATTACGGAAACAATTTGCTTTAGGCGCTATCTTTCTAATCTAGAAGCTACTTTTTTATTTATTAAATGATAAAAATATCTTAAACAATCATTAATACTACAGCTTCTAATAGTATATAAAAAGATCAGTATATTGTACTGCTTATTTTAGTAGTTGACAATAAAGGCTATAGGAAACTTTATAGTTTTAATTGAATTTCTTGTACCTATTTAAAAAAAATGAGTACTGTATATGACCGCTTATTAGTTGAAATAGGAAATGAAGATACATTTCAAAAGCGTTTTGATTTAGTTCATAATACAGCTTTCATGTTTTTTTGGAATATGGTCTTTACCAATATTATGCTGGCACTTACAATTGTACCTCATATGTGTGAGCTACCAGAAAAACCTGCAAATATAAGTCAACAGGATTGGAAATTATTGTATATACCCAGGTAAGATTTACTTACACTAATTTAATCAACACTTTTTATAGCACTAGCAGCTCACCCTCGTTTCGCTCGGGTTCACCTCTAGAAAAACTAAAACAAATCGGGAACCGCATATTTTTCCGGGATAAAAAGTAGGCTGTTGTTTGACCGGAAATATAAGGTATCGTCGTGCTAAATTTTACTAAATCAGGTGCATAAGTTGTTGTGTACTAAGCTGTATAAGTTACTATAGTTTTTTAACTACTCCACGGGAACTCTGTAGTTTTCCGGGATGAAAAGTATCTAAAATGTTTACCGGGGATATAAGGTACCACCATGCAAAATTTCATTTAAATCGGTCCAACAGTTTCAGAGATTAGTTCGTACAAACAGACAAACAGGCGAACAGACAGACACACAGACAGAAAAACAAAAAATTCAAAAAAAACTGGATTTATTCTTTTTCTATGTACATTCGACCTCTACAGTTTTATTTTATGTATAATAATAATAATAAATTTATTTCATGTAACTTAAGACTCATATTTTGTTAGTATACAAAATGCTTATATTCTATGTTAGTACTTACATTCTAGATACATTTTAGATACATATACTTTTACATTCACATACATTTATACATTACTAACAAGACATAGCACAGCAGTGATTAACATATCTACAATCAAACCTACTGGCAATTACCCTCATGATGCTGTTGGTACTACCCCGTAATCTATCCACCAGGGATCCGCATCTTTTGCGCATCGTGGCATAGAAACAATTAATCCTCGCTGTTGCGAACATCCCTGATGCACTACAAAAACGGGGTAATCCTAACAGCACCCTAAAGGCATTATTGTATTGAACACGAAGCGCGTTATATGATTTTTGAGAGTACTTCGCCCACAGGTTGCACGTGTAAAAAGTTGTACAATATGCTCTGAACTAGGTGAGTTTAACACTTTAAGAACAACGTTCAAACCTACGGGCCAGCATATTCGCTCTCACTGACAACGCTCTTCGTTCCCTCTCTATATCCGTGTCGTCTTTGAGGTCGGGGGTCAATATATGTCCTAGGTATTTAAATAGATAATAGTCATAGTAAAATTGATTCCTTCTCGTTTTTACTTATGTGTTCTAAAAGGTAGCTGAGATACAAAGCATTTTTAACTACCTAACTATCAGCACTGAGAGAAAAGTACTACTCGTAAGACTAAGAGTTATGAGTCTAGCTAGTAGGTTCAAATTTTAACTTATTTGAACTAGACTTAAAATACGACGTATCTACTGCTTGTTACTCGTAGATATTTATGAGAAAATGCAAATAAATGGTAAAGCGATGATTAGGGATCATTTTCGATAGCGGGACGATCCATCGTAGGCTATAATTGACAATGCCATAAAATCTATAAATTTCCACTTAGTAAAGAAGATAAGAACAAACAAGCAATTCTACTTTGGATATATTGTGTAACACTTAGATAAGTATCTCCCGATTACCTGCAGAAGTTTAAGATGAGAACGAAACTTCCGTTATTGATCAGTTGAAGAACCTTTACATTGCTGCTCCTGCTCTCAAGAATGCAAAATTCCCGGATGTGATATACTCTCGCTTCGCTCTGGTGTATCCCTAGTTGCCTATCAATAGCCGACAAAAGTAACTCATCGGCACATTTTTTCTGAATTCAATTAAAGTTATTATGATTTCTGACAATTAACAATTTTTGTCAGAATAAAAACTAGCCTTTATAGCACTCGGCGGTAATCTTAAAGTTTTCTATTGTCAAAGAATTTTCAGAATCGGTTTTCAGAATTAATAATGTATATTTTCACACGCAGTGGTCAAGTAAATAAAATAAAGTAGGTTATTAGTTCTAGTCTTCTGTAGGTATCTAAGGATTTTGTACGGAGTGAAAAAGATTTCCTATAATATTTTCTCAGAGTGTTTTCTCTTTCTCTTTTCTTTCTCTTTCTATCTTTATTCCAACTAAGATTTTGTTATAATAAATATTCTACTTAGTTAAACCGCTTTCTACTTTAAATTACTTTTTGCAGTTATAGAGACGATAGTGGAAGACAAACATTTGATGAATGTCGAATACATACAGACCCTTATGAAAGTAATTTTACAAAAGGTGAGTAGCGCCAAATGAATAAATTACTTATACCTACGTATATCTATGAAATAATAACTAATGGACATTTGAATTTATGTAAATAGGAAGTAATTCATGTACCTACTCGTAATTATTTTGGAGTTTTTATATGTGTTAAAAATACAGATAATATACTTAAATATGTATACAAAAGTAAACCCAAGCGCTTATTATTATCTCAAATATTACTTACTGAAGTGTAACTTCTTTGGACGCGCCATGAAAGGGAAAAGAATAAAAAAGTATTGGCGTTACAATTTTTGTAACGAAAACGGTTGTTACGGTAGTGAATTAAAAATTATTTAAACAATAATATGAATATTTCGAAGAATAAGTTAAACAAAAATAGCTATTTATAAAAAAAAAATTCTTTCATTTATTTTTAAATGAACGATGGAATATTTCAAATGGATCATACATATTGTTAAAAAATATTCCTTACTAGCAGAACCCGCGGCTTCAACTACAAAAAAACTTTAAAAAGGTAGGTTTCATAGAAACTTTTATCCCCTATTTTATCACCTTATGGAATGAATTTTAAAAAATGCTAAAACAAGTATTTGTTTAATTGTATTGAAGAGCATCATTACTAAGTTTCATGTAACTCTGATCATAATTTTTTTTTGGGTTGTATTGTAACGACGATAATATTCCGCGGTAAAAATTCGGTAACAGACAGACAGACAAAAATTCTAAAAACTATAGATTCGGCTTCTGTATCGATAATAATGTTTATTTCAATAAGATTTTCCAAAAAATATTTGATGTACCTACAGATTCGGCCTAGTTACAATTTTATTATATGTATAGATTATACTAGCGGCTCAAGCACGCTTCGCTCAGGTTCTTTTATTTATTTATTTATTTACTTCTTTTTACACATTGTATCAATTCAATGATCACTTGTGTACGTCAATTAGAAGAATCTAATCGCCTCTAGAAAAACAAAAACAAATCGTCGCCACGGGAACCGTACATTTTTTCAGGATAAAAAGTAACCTATGTGCTATTCCAGACTATTATCTATCTCTCTGCCAAATTTTATCCAGATACGTTCCGCTATTCTGGCGTGAAAGAGTAACGAACATCCAAACATCAATCTAACTTTCATACGAGCACTCCTTGAGGTTCGTGGTCCCCCAATACTCGTGACTTGTGAGGAGTGTAACATGTAAGAAATTCGTGTACACTCTGTGCAGGCTTTTCTTCGATGTGGGTATAATGTACGTTGCTCGAAGTGTATACTGGCCTGGTACTCGTGACAATGTGTATGATCTAACGTATGAGCCAAGGGCGGACAGCGAGAGGAACTTCGTTCCTTCTGAGTGTCCCACGGCACTGATTGGTTTTTTGTTTACTTGGAATATTTTTTTATACATTATAAAAAAAAATTCACACAAAAATTGCATCCATGTATTTTTATTTATTTTATTGGAGTATATAATTTATTGAATCATTACAACATTTAATTGAAAATTAAATTTTATATTTTAACACCATCTGCACTATGTATGTGAATTATAATATATTTTGTTTTCCTTTTCAAATCGATAAAAAAAATTTTTTAGTATCTCTATTCTCGCCTATTATAATTATTAAAAAAACTGAATTTCATAAAAAATACCGATAACCTACAGGAGGTTTACTTCTTGCGCGTGTACACATTCATTCACGCACTCTTTAATAAAAATTTTTTAATAAAATAGTTTTAATGATGTATTTATATTTTAGCATGTGATAAATTTATCTATGATAAAACTTGGTACGAATGGACAGTTTCATCAGAATTTAACTGGATTTGCGACAAAGAATTAAATATCGTAAATATATTAGCATATAGCAAACTCGGAGAGATAATAGGAGCTTTTTGTTTCGGATGGTTTGGTGATGTGTATGTATATTTGTGAACTTATTACCTATTAAAATGTTATATTGAAATATAAAAAAAATATATTCTTTTTCTGCAGATACGGGCGTCGCCTAACATATTTTATATCAATATTAATGATCATAGTTGGCAGATTAATTTCATTATTAGCTGGAAACTCGTATATAATTTTCCTTATTGGGTGTCTTATTGCAAATTTACCATCGTGGTCCGCTCCACAAACCGGTACAATCATATCAACAGAAATATCCTCCCCAAGACGACGTACAGTGATGACTGGTTTAAGATTTACCTCAAGTAGTTTATCACTTGTTGTGTCAGCATTAACTTTTTGGTGGGTACGACAATGGAGAATTTTCATTATTGTTACAACTACGCCCTTAATTGTGTTTTTAGTAATTTCATGGTAAGTTTCGAATATTTCTTCTATTAACTTATTAACTGTTAATTTTAAAATGTGTTGACTTTTTTTATTTAATACATATTTCATTATATTATCTCTAGGTATACCATTGAATCTCCTCGTTGGTTATATACAAGGGGGCGTCATGAGGAAGCTGCGCGTATACTAAAAAAAATTGCGAAGGTTAATAAAAAACAAATCGACGATAAGACTGAAAAAGAACTTATGAGTACTGTGTTAGGTGAAAGCCCTAAAGTTTTAGGTCCTTTGGCGCTATTTTCTGGAAGAAAATTTACATTGCATACAATTTATCAAATGTTTATGTGGCAAGTATGAATATTGTCTTATAACCAATATAATATATATCGCTCACTTGGAAAACCAAGTGAAGCAGGTTAAAATCCAGAGTCTTGCACCCCTAATATTTTAATGAACGAATCATTTTCAAAGTGATTAGATACTACTCGCCTAACAGTGAACTGTGAAGGAAAATATTGTGAGCAAAACCTGAATGTCTGAGAGAAACTAACTTGTTTACGAATGTCGCCAATTCATACTTGGCCAACGTGGTTAACTAAGGCCTGAACCCCCACGCACTGCGAGGGACACCCGTGCGTCCGAACTCAACTGAAAATTAAAAAAAAATTATTTAGTATAAGAATAATTTGATTAACGAGAAAATTAATGTAATTGTAAAGAAAAGCATGGGGAGCTTTGTGCCTACAATATTTTAATACTAACTCTACTTTTAGAAATCGTACCAATGGCATATTTATAACAACTGATATCGAGCAGATGAAAATCGCATTCAAAAACTCCGTTATAAGCATACAGGTCGAACTAATAAAAGCGTGTTAAAAGGGTTGAAAGAGATGAGATAGGTACAAGATCTATGTATGTTGATTATGATAGCTTTAAGTAATTTAATTACCTATATATCCTTTCAGGTGTTCTTGTAATATGAGTTTTGTACTACTCTTGATGAGTTCAGGTGAAAAAAAGGATGGGAACCCATTTCTTGATTTTGCTTGGCAGGCAATAGCAGATATACCTGCTATTTTTCTAGGCGGTTGGCTTGCGGATAAAATTGGCCGTCGATACTCTGGTGTTTCAAGTTTAGGTGTATTGGGCCTTATGTGGGCATGTATTGCTTTCAGAGAAAATAGTAAGTTAATATAGTACTTAGTGGGTATTTACATAGATTATACCTAATTGGTGTATATTGTATAATAAAGAATATGTGAAATAGAATCCAACTCATATTCAATGAATTGTGTTGTTGAAGAATTTTGGTTAAATTTTTATGTACGTAGCTAGATTTTACTTGAGGTTTCTCTCGTGTATAAAGTTATATGTACGTAAATAAGGAATTGTATCTACCTATACCTACATGTTAATCTAGGATATCAGGTATCTCTATGTTAAGTACTATGATAAATCTAATATATTTAAACGAGCAAATATATATATATTCTGAATCTCGGAAACGGCTCCAACGATTTTCATGAAATTTAGAATACTAGGGGTTTAGGGGGCGATAAATCGATCTAGATTAGTCTATTGTCTGGGAAAACGCGTGTTTTAGAATTTTCGTGCGGTTTTCTTTTGCATTATTCCACGCAAAATATTATGTTCGATAATTTCGCACGCTCGGATATAGGCATCATGGTCAAGCGGCCAAGGCGCAAGATTGAATAAGTGTCCGGGTTTGGTCCATATTTGTCCCGGTCGGATACAAAGGTATAATTTTTTTTGTTTTTTTTGTATTTATTCAAGTTTTTTGTTATTTTTAAAAGAAAATTGTACTCTTGACCAAAAACTCCGAGCGAAGCTAGATCTTCCCTTCGATCTAGATTAGTCTTATCTCTGAGAAAACGCGTGTTTTCGAGTTTTCATGCAGTTTTCTTTTGCATTATTCCACGCAAAATATGGTCGGTAATTTGCACGCTCGGGTATAAGCATCGTGTTCAAGCGGCCAAGGTGCAAGATAAACAATCACAGGTGTCCAGGTTCGAATCTCGGTCGCATACAATGATTTAACTTTTATTTTTTTTAAATATTTATTCATGTTTTTAGTTTTTTTTTAAAAAGACCCAAGATTGACAATCATAGGTGTCCGGATTCGAATCCCGGTCGGATACAAAAGTATAATTTATTTTTGTTTCTTTTTTTGAATTTATTCAAGTTTTAAGTTTTTTTTAAAGAAAATCGTACTTTCCAACCAAAAACTCCAAACGAATCTCGGTGGTCCAGGTACTTATTATTTATTTATTGTGACAATGGGACATCTGCATTGGGGTTACCGTAACAAAAAAAAAACAATGTAAAAAAAAACAAAAAAAACCGACTTCCAGGCAATAAAATGTAAAAAATAACCAAACAGAGGTTTTCATTTAGAACCTATATTTAGATACCTAATCGGATATTTTCGAAGTCGGTGCCAGCCGATGCAAAGCAAATCTAATATATGTATTTCGATACGTAAAATACATATTTACCTATTAGATATTCATATCTTAAAATATTGTAGGCTGTACAAACAACATATTCGATTAAACAATTTATTAAAAAAAAATATTTATAGTTGATTTTTTTAAAAACCGCTCGACCGATTTCAATAAAATTTATATGGGACCACCTGGGAAGTATATCCTTTGAAACAAAAAAAAAATCTAAATCGGTTCAGGCGTCTTCGAGTAATCGGTGAACATACATAAAAAAAATAAAGATTCCGACGAAATTATTGAGAACCTCCTCCTTTTTGAAATTAGAAGTCGGTTAATAATTCGTAAACATGAGAATTTTTTGATATTTTTTTAGATTGGTACGGGAAATCCGTATTGAACTAAATTCAATATATTTTTTATCAATTTCATTCTCTATGTATACGTATAAAATACGGCATACGAAGATTGGTTTGTTTGGAAACAACTCCGTAAGAAAATTTGTTTTGAAGATACTTTCCTAACTTTACCATGAGACCCTCAATCGCTACTACTACGTCTTGTTTTTGTCATATCCACAATTTTATTTACGTTGGCAGTTTGTTGATATAACTAATAACATACAAAATGTTTGAGTCATTATTGCAATGCTATTTTATTGTAAGACTAGTGACTCATCCTCACTTCGCTCGGGTTTGCTCCTACTCTCTAGGTACGTTCTTAGGGTTAGTATGGAATAGATAACTGGATACCTATATATTATATGCTATATACCTATCCTATAGCTTTCCTCAGTCATGTCATTCAATGTAAAAAGAATTCATCAAATCGGATTAGTAGTTCTAAGAGATTAGCGCTTTGAACATTAGTGCTCTTTTAAAACGCCTACTGCAGTCTGTAAATGTGATAATGAGTAAAATTTGCACATACAGAATCGTTAACATTAAGATTTATTATGCGATGATAACGTTGTATAGGTATAAAGTTTTTTAGTTGGACGTCATTTTGAATTAATTAAATATTTGATTATTTGATTATGTGATTACTCTAGTAGGTAATGAGATAACTTTTTATTAGGATACTTAATTTAACAAATATCTCATTTTAAATAAAACTATCTTTTCGGATTTTTTAAATTTATTTTGAGACTGAGAGTCTCTCCCGTGACCATGAATGCTGTAAAGCATTCGAAACGTCGAGAACCAAAAATGAAAAAATTAAAATAAATTCACGAAAAAACCCGAAAAGATAGTTTTATTTAAAATGTCAAATATTCGCGTAAATTTAAGAAAGAATTAACAAATATGTGTATTTATTATAGGCGTAGATGGCTGGATTCGACAATGGTGGATTGGTAGTATATTTACTACTATTGCCAGAGTAGCAACAAGTGTAGGATTCGTTATAATTAATATATTTAACATAGAACTACACCCAACTTGTCTTCGACAGTCTGGATTGGCCCTTGGGAACAGCGTATCTGGAATAAGTGCTGCTTCTACTCCATATATTTTATATTTGGTAAGTTAGTAAAGTTGAGTAATAAAATAATCTTATTAAAATTGTTATAATTTCCTTAAGCGCTTATAAATGTACTTTTATACTTCAAGTATAGGTAACTTTATTAATATGAATTTTTTGTAAGTGCAGTTTTTTAACCACAAACAATATTTTTAGGGACGGAGAGTAGATTCCCGTTTGCCTGGTATAATATTGACCGTTACATCCCTAACAGGAGCACTGTCTTCATATTTGTTACCTGAAACTTTGAACGTACCGTTACCTGAAACAATTGAAGAAGCTAAATTATTTGGACAAAAGAATAAAACACGCGAGTCAGTAAAATTAACAACAATAACATCTTAGTTACAAAATAAAAAAAAATTAAGCCAATTTTTAAGGAATGTAGTCTTAATTGTACATAGTTTTATATATTATATATCTTTTAAACGTTTAAAGATTTTTATTTATTATTAGCAGTACCCGCGGGCGCCGGCTACGCCCACGTTCAATCTACACAAAAAAAACTCTTTGGATTCATGTTTTACGTCGTCTCACTCGCTTCTCGCGGGTTTGTCACTATGTATTGATATAATATTCTTCATACAAAAATACTAAAATCGCGATTAAAAAATGAGAGTTGGGGGTAGAAGGGTGAAAAATACTTTACGACCTATTCTCGCAACTACCAAATATACAAAAAAAAACCCATTAAAATCGGTCGAGGCGTTTCGGAGGAGTGTGACCACAAACACAGTGACACGAGATATTTATGTATTAGATTATTCATAATGAAACGTATCAGAATATGTTTCGTTTATAGCAGGGCTTGAAAACGATACCAATTCACAGAAAAAATACCGGTAAATAACGGTATTTACATGGAGATACCTGCCATATCGTTATGATTTGGTAGCGTTAAATTAGTAACATAACATAATATTAACGTTACACGTATTATAGTGTTAACGTTATAATTTCGGGTATTATTAAAGTTATTTTAAGCCACGTTGCCGTTTTGTTTTTGTCTACCTACCGGCTGCCGAGTAGTTTTTTCCGATAATTTAAAAAGTTTTATGTAAGATGTCAAATCTCCGCGTAAACCTATAAAAGTATTATGTGTATAGGGTGATTTTTGAGAGTAATGAATGAGTTTTAACTCTGATCTTAAATCATTTTTTCGATTGTATTATAACGTTTTTTCCCGTGGGAATGAGATAATCGCCTGTGGTAATAAGATGTCTATGTCACTCGCCAGCTCTCTAACTATCTCCACACAATAAGTCACGCCAATCCGTCACTCTGTTTTGGCATGAAAGGAGGACAAATAAACAAGCAAGCAAACAGAAACAATTTAAAATTATATATGTGTATTGTATTAACTATCTGGCATTCATAACAAAATTAGGCGCGAGTCAATAAGTAGGTACGCGCACTCATATCATGGATGAGGTTTGGCGACGTTTTCGATGCAATGAAAGCGATGGTAACAAAACTTACATATAACGTTAACATTATCGTTAAAATAGGTATTTATTTTTAACGGTAAAATTGTCAAGAAGTAACGGTAAATTCTTTAATGTTATTTATTTTTTAACGATATCTGCCTCTACCTCTAGCAACTTTAACGATACCATTTTTAACGGTATTTCAAGCCCTGGTTAATAGTAATACCGCAGTGTAAAATCCATACAGTAGCTTAACTGAAATCTCCCGGGGGAGAAGCCAACTCGTACCGGGCGCGTCCCCCAGGTGGCGGATAGGGGAATGCCACCCGCTTAGGGCGGCGGGTGGTACCGGAGAAATCCGGCGCGGACCAAATGGCTTGGGTGGGGCCGCTCGTCTAAGACTCGAGCCGAAGACGTTGCGGCCACCGGTGGTGGGACCGCTTGGTCCCACAACCGGATGATGGGTGCCGGTTGCGGGACTGTGGTCGCAGGCCCGCATCCGGCGGAGGAGTAGGCTGCGGCGGGAGAGGAGTGCCGGTATTTCGGTGCGCCGTTCTCCCTACCTTCCGCGGCCTAGACGGGGCCGCCACCGTTTGATGGCGGACGCGGTGGGGCTGCAGGGGAAGAGGAGTGTCGGTGTTTCGTTGCCGCTCTCCCTGTCCTCTGCAGCCGATTGGAGGTGGCCCACTTCGGTGGGCGGTGGTTAGGTTTAATGGGGCTGCTCCGGGTACCTCTCTGGCGTAGCAGAGTTGACTGTGGAGCAGCCCCATTGGTTTGGTGGTCTGCCTATTTAGGCAGACCTGCCGCCGGGGCGCCGTAGTAGTTATGCGCAAGCGATCCTGCGGCGTCCCGTGAAGGCGGAGGGGAGGGGAATGTCGGGTAAAAAAAGGTTAACTGAAATCTGCACGCATATATTCTTATTTTAGCCAAAGGGAACTGAAATTATAATGATAATTTCGGTAATCGAAATTACAATGATAATTTCGGTAATCGAAATTACAATGATATTTTTTTTATGTTTGTTATAGTAGATTTTACTTTTACGTATTTATATTAAAGAGTTAAATATGTTGAACTAAATAAACTTCATAATAAAATCCAGATGTGTTTTATTTCATACTTAGAACTTACAACAATTAGTCGCGGAATGGAATAGAGCTCATTCCCCTGATTTAGTATATTTAAAAGAATACCGAATGTAGATTTATTGCAGCAGCTTATTTTTTTTTAAAATGGCCTATACGGAATGATTATCAAAAATTCTCATTTTCATGACCCATAGGGTATTAATTTTGATAATCATTGACTATAAGTTAATAGTGCCATTTAGTGGCAAGTTACAGCTACATGCGTTAATGCTAAACTCGTCTCCCGAATGTATTATACCACCATATTATATAACCGATAATCAAAAAAAATCCGAAAAGATAGTTTTATTTAAAATGTCAAATATAAACAATGAGTGCAATCACACTATCAGAACCAAGAAGAACAAGTTCCGGTTGAGTCACACTCCAGCAACCTTTTCAGGGTTCCATAGTCTACAAGGAACCCTTATAGTTTCGCCATGTCGTCCGTCCGTCCGCCCGTTTACCTCTAAGACTTTTAGTACTAGAAAGATGTAATTTGGCAAAGGAGTAAAATAAAATCTTGAAAAAAAAAACTTTTAGGTTACCTCTACACGTAAACTGGGAATATTTTTTTTCTCGTCCACCCCATGATGTGTGTTTTGTCGGATAGATCTTTCAAAAATATTGCGGATTTTCCACAAACAATTTTTCGATTAAGCTTTAAAGTGTTAATTTTTATTAGAGTCAAGTGTCCATGCCAGCTAAATATTGTGGTTTTTTTTTACGTTGGGAAATGCATTTACGCACGAGGTGTGGGACTCACCGGCAAAGCCAGTACTACCCACTAAAACCCAACAAAACCTTCCCCCGTGTTAATGGGGCGTCGCAGGATCGCTTACGCATTCAACGACGACTCCTCGACAGCAGGTCTGCCGAAGCAGACCACAACAACCACGGGGTTGCTCCAAGGTCCACTCTGCTATCAGAGAAGTACCAGGAGCAATCCGCCGGGAGCCCCCCGAAGAGGGTCACCTCCCACCGCCCACCGAAGTGGGCCACCTCCCTGTGCGTCTCTTGGCTTCGCGCCCGGCTGTATTGCCGGGTACTACTGACTAACACCCCTCCCCACCCCCACCCCCCACCACCACGACAAGGTGAACGCACGTTGGGGGGGAAATAGTGTGGATTGCCCTTACTCTCTACAACTATATCTTATTGTAGCTATTAGTCTGTGTGAGGGTATAATCTATGGTCATGGCTCATGCTATTGTCTGTGCCCTGTGACGAACTCTAGTATATGTCCGTTCGCGTTTTGTGTAAATGTAAATTTTCTAAATGATATTTAAACTAATTGCATATTTTGAAGGTAAATTTTCATTCAAGCATGATGATTGAAATAAATAGTTAAAAAAAAAATTGCCAAGTATTATTGTTAAATGTATTTCATCTAACATTAGCTGCGAATTTTCGTGTAGTGCTATCCATAAATGTAAGATGTCGGGTGATCACAAAACATTGATAAAGGGAAGCCCATCGCAATATGTAAAATTAAACGTGGGTGGAACATTATTTTACACTACAATTGGTACACTGACCAAAAGTGATAATATGTTAAGAACCATGTTCAGCGGCAGGATGGAAGTCCTAACAGATTCAGAGGGTATTTATTGCTATACTTAATTCTTTGATCAAATAATTTAATACGTAAGTAACTAAAGATTTTGCCTCCAATGCAGGATGGATCTTGATAGATCGATGTGGTAAACATTTTGGAACTATCTTGAATTATCTACGTGACGGCACTGTGGCACTACCGGATAGTTACCGTGAAATTATGGAATTGTTGGCCGAAGCTAAATATTTCTTGATAGAAGAGTTAACTGAATCTTGCCAACAAGCACTCAGTAAAAAAGAAAGAGAAGCTGAACCTATATGTAGAGTTCCTTTAATTACATCACATAAAGAAGAACAACTTCTCATAATGTCCACTTCAAAGGTTAGTACCATATGCTAAAATAGTGTACCTATTAAATACATTCAGTAGTTTATTTCTTAAGCATCCTTATTTTAAATTTTACAATGTAGGTTTATTATTATAAAAATTATGAAGAATGCCTGCCTTTTAAAACAAACAAAAATGCCTTTTACAATACTTACCTTTTTTATCAATTTGTATTGATAAGAACAATAATATTATAATATTTTTGTTCACAGCCTGTAGTAAAATTACTGATTAACAGACATAACAATAAATACTCCTACACAAGTACATCAGATGATAATTTGCTAAAAAATATTGAATTATTTGACAAACTGTCACTACGCTTCAGTGGGCGTGTCCTCTTTATAAAGGATGTTATAGGCTCTAATGAAATTTGCTGCTGGTCATTTTTTGGTCATGGAAAAAAATGTGCTGAAGTTTGCTGCACATCTATTGTATATGCAACTGATAAAAAGCATACAAAAGTGGAATTTCCTGAAGCAAGAATTTATGAAGAAACGTTAGGTATTTTACTATATGAAAGCCGTAATGGACCTGATCAAGATTTAATACAGGCCACATCATCTCGAGGTGCAGTTGGTGGACTATCCTGCACAAGTGATGAGGAGGAAGAGCGCTCTGGTCTGGCCCGACTCAGATCAAATAAACAGAATAATCAATCTTAGCGGTTACAGTCTGGCTTGGCTCGCTTGAGGAGCTCCAAACGCACAAATGTTTGATACCAAGCCAACTATTTTCTACCATTTTGCTGGCTACCATGTTTCGGTATTTAGACTTGACTGAACTATTGACTATTTTGTGAGTCCTTCCTTTTTGTGAACTCCTCTATAATTGGTGATAATAAACAAAGTGAAGCATTTATTTGAGATAGAGATTGTAGGTAACAGGGATCTATATGTGTGTCTTAATATTGAAAGTGTGTCATTATGAAATTGTAAATATAATACCCTTTCTATGTTTACGATAATTGTTAATTGTGACAATTATTTATAAATTATGTCATATTTTACACTTTAATAACAATATAAATTATTAATTATATAAAAATAGGATTTATATACATAATTGTAAGATATTAATAATTGTAATAAATGTAAATAATTTTAAAATTATTCATAATTATTGTGAACAACTATTTTACAATTATGCAAATAAATCTAATTGTTATATAATTAATAATTTATATTATTATTAATGTGTAACACATATTATAAGTGTATGATCTTACTTCTACTAATATTTCTCATAGATTTACTATCACTTATTAAATTGTATGTATGTCTTTTAAAATGTGTAATGTCACGTATGAATGGTTCTCTATAGTGTTTTGAGGAAGAATGTATCATGTATACCATCATAAAACTATTTCTATGTCATTATCAGTAGAAAATGTATTTTTGATGTATTATTCAATGTAATATATTATATTAGCCACGTCAATGTCTTTAAAATGAGAAATATATTCAAGCTTTGTAGTATTTGCATTCACACAATAAATGTTTAAGAAGAAAAATTATTTACACAGCTCAAGTAATATGCCAAATTGATGTTGTTTAAAGTCTTAGATGTAACTTCTTGTTAGCTAAATAGTAACAAGGTCACATTTTTATTGTATGGATTAAAAGTTTTTTTAAATAAATTTCTTGAAAATAGAGATAAGTAAATATCTTTATTATGTATTTATTTATAAGGACATACTAGATATTGATATTTGATCGTTATAAATAAATTGGTGGACAGGATGTATTCTGTAAAGATAATAACTTTCAAAGAAGTTTTAAAAACTAAAGTTTTTTTGAAATATTGTACAGTGCTTGAACTTGTTGTTGAGTGCTCAATTTTAGCATGAAAATGTTCTAATTTGATATTTAAAGCCTAAGCTATAGATATATCCTGATTTTTTTTATTTTTGCCTAAAAAACAAATGAAAATTGTTATTGAGTTATTTCACATCTTTTTTCTGTTATTTGTTGTTTTTTTTTTATTATTTTCATCTCATTACTAATGTTATCTTTCTTATTGATCATTTATTTATGGTATTAAAATAATGCAATAGAGTGATTTTATGGATTATGAATGTAAATGAATCAGAAATGATATTGTGATGCCAATAGTTAATAGGAAGCAGAGTCTAGTCTTATATTTGTTGTTCCAATTCTTATTATTATAAGAATACAATATCTATAGGAATGGTTTAATTTGAGGCTACTTATTTATGGTCATTGATATGAAGAAATAATGCTATACACTTAACAGCTCCTAGATTACATCACTCTGTATACACATAGTCTTTCAAACTAACATAGAAGACAAGGCTTAATTAAACCTGAACTTTAATAATTTATGACCAAAATGATTTGTTATTACCTATATTTAAATTGTGTACCTCATTATTATTGTTTTAAGAGTGTCTAGATGTATTGTGCGGTATCTTAGCCTTATGTATTTAACTTAAGTAATAATGATCTTGATGACTATTCTCACTATGATGAGGATTACATTATGTTAGATTCTATTAGATATCTACTTAGAAATTGCTGTTGTCATAAAATAGCATTCACTCTTTCATTGAAAATATTTCAAATAATTAAATGTTTGAAATGTCTATGTAATTATTAATGTCTTTATGTAAAATCTTTAAAAATTACTTATAAATGTTTAACTCTTATAAAATATATGCTCACTGTTTAGCTGTCCATGTTTTGTTTTATTTCTTTTTTAAATAATTTATTCTCAAGATTTTTAAATTTTATAAATGCAATTCAGTTATTGGTATGGATTATAATTATCTACACTTATTTTAGAGGTAAAAATTGTAAGTTTGTATGTTGGACATAATTTCTAAAACCACCGATAAGATTTGGAAATTATTAACTTATTTCTTATTCTGTTAAAATGGATTTATGTCAAAAATTAACTATTTGGAATCTGAAGAAATATTCACTGTTTAAATAGTTTGAAATAATAAAATGTATGACAAAAAGTAGTAGGTACCACACAGCCCAAACGATCAAAGCTAGGGTAAATCTTTAGTATTATCACAGATTGTGTAATGTATACTAGGTATTATATATTTTTCAATAGAAAATACTACTGCTTTGCTTATTATTTCCAAGTATAATCAATGCAAGAGGAATAAAAAACTTAAAATGTTATTATTGTTAATTACGAGGGTGAAACCTTTCTGCAAGCTGCTACTGCATACGACCTGGCAGTTACAAATACGTGGTTCCAGAAACAAGATGGACACCTTATTACTTATAAAAGTGGCCCACACACAACACAGATTACTTTCTGGTCAAGCGCAATCGCCTAAACCAAGTTAAAGATTGCAAGGTTATACCAGGGGAAGCCTTGGTCTCACAACACAGACCCCTGATAATGGAAGTGATCTTAAAGATAAAATTAAATAAACAGAAGGAATGTCACACACCTACAATAAAGTGGTATATGTTAGAGAAGAATGAGTGTGCAGAAAAAATTAGAGAAAGAGTGGTTGAAAAAATGATAGAAATGGGAGATATGAAAGGACGAGAAGTGAACGAATGTTGGAATGAAATGGCAGGGTGTATCAGACATGCAGCAAAAGGGATTTTGGGTAAGTCTAAAGGGAAAAGAGATAGATAAGGATACATGGTGGTGGTCAGAAGAAGTACAAAGTGTATTGAAAGAAAAGAAGTCAAAATTTAAAGAGTGGTAGAATGTTGATGAACGGAATTTAAGTTTGAAAGCGGCAAAGAAGGAAGAATATGATGTATGGAAGAAAAATGCTAAAAAAGCAGTTGCCAAAGCAAGAGCAATGGAACAAAATAAGCTATATAACAACTTAGATACTCCGGCCGGCCAAAAACACCTTTATCGGCTCACTAAGTCAAGATAAAGAAAGACGAGGGATATTTCGCGAAAGAAGTGTGTGAAGAATGAAGCAGGTAAGGTACTCTCAGATAATGCTAAAATTAAGGATAGATGGAAGGACTATTTTGAAAGGCTTATGAATGAGGAGAACGAATGGAGTGGAAGGCTTAACAAAAAGGCTGAAAGTATAGAATTAGTGAGAGCCATTAGTATGGATGAAGTGAAAGGAATCATAAGTGGAATGAAGAACGAAAAGGCGGTGGGGCTGGATGAAATACCAATAGAAGCATGGAAGTTATTGCGAGAGGATGGATGGAAGTGGCTAGCCTTATTCTTCAATAAGTTGTTGCAAGATTAAGTAATACCGGACGAATGGTGCAACAGTTCATTGGTGCCCATTTTTAAAAATAAAGGTGATGTGGTGGAGTGCAACAACTATAGAGATAAGCGGATGCCCCTTAAGTTGAAGGGTAAGATCTATAAATCCGTAATAAGACCTGTCGTTATGTATGGATCGCAATGCTGGGCTACAAAGAAGACTGATGAAAGAAGATTGCATGCTGCAGAGATGAGAATGTTAAGGTGGATGTGTGGAGTGACGAGGATAGATAAAATAAGGAATGAGTACATAAGAGGAAGCTTAAAAGTAGCACCAGTGACAGAGAAGTTGAAAGAGAATCGTCTTAGTTGGTATGGGCATGTGAAGCGGAGGGATGAAACGCATGTGACGAGAAGAGTAATGGAAATGAATGTAGATGGATGGAAAGGTAGAGGAAGACCAAAGAAAAGATGGATAGATTGTGTGAGACAAGACATGAAAGAGAAAGGGGTGAATGATGAGATGATAAGTAATAGGGGAGAATGGAAGAGAAAGACTTACTGCACCGACCCCAAGTGACTTGGGAAATGGGCAGGAAGAAGATTGTTAATTCAACTAATAACAAGAACAAAATGTAGAATAAGTGTTCCTAAGCAATATGAAAGGCTTTATGACATTTTCTCATACATACAACTAAAATTTGTAAGCTATTTAATAAATAAAAATAAACTTTAAGAAATATTTATTGCAACTAAATTTTTTTTATAACATTCAAAACTACATAATGGTACATCAGTTTTTGAACAGTTATACTTTTTTAAGTTATCACATCCCTTGACACCACATTTTACAGGTTTTGGGATTTCTTTAGGAGTTTGTTGTTCTATTGGATAAGGTACACCAGGTGGTAAAGAAAGAGACACTTCATTGCTGTTGTTTTTATAAACAATCATTGGTTCCAGTTTTCGTATTGGCCTCCCTTTCTGAGCATTTTTAAGGTTCTTAGATTCTTGTTTCTTTAAAAGACGATCCATTGTTTTCTTTTTGTCTTTTTCTCTTTTTTCATCAGCTAATTGTTTTCTTTTCTGAGATTTCAATGCAGCCTTCTGTATAGCTTCAGCTGTCATAACTTTTTCTTTATAACCAGAAGGTAAAGCAAGGAGAACTTCTCCTCCTGGACTTGTTTCTTTATCAGTACCTCTTTCATACATTGCTCTTTGTCTAGCAGTCATCATTTTTGGATCTTTAGGTTTTATTTTTTTCAATTCTTCATCAACCTAAAAAAAAATAACATTAAATTAATAGAAATCTGCAATATCCGTGCCAAAGATAATTTGCTTGATAGTAGCAAAAACCTACCTCCTCTAATTTTCCTGATTTGATTGCATCAAGCCATCTTTCCTCTTCACTTGAAGTCCCACTGTCTCTACCTTTCGCTTTCTTTTTTTTTGATGGAACTTTTGGTGGTGTACTAGAAGATGATCCTGGCATTGATTTACGAGAGTCAGATGATGACTTTGTAGCTTGAGCTTTTAAGATATCAGCTGCAGAATTACCCGAAACATCCTTTTTTGACTTCATTTTGTATGATGATTTTTCTACGCCGTCTTCGTAAGCAACGTCAATAGACGTATCACTATCGTAATCATTGTCGATTTTTTTATGTTTTTTATGCTTATGTCGTTTATGTTTCTTTTGTGGTGATGCATCTGAAATGTGCAAAATTATAATATTGATGTTTGTAGGTACGCATAATGAAAAAGCTTAATCATACAAGAAATAACAATACCAATGACAATTTCATCTTCAGTAGTGCTAGGTTCTCGTTGCCTTCTAACCATTTTATTTTATGTTGAATTATTCAAATTACAGTTGAAATATGAAAACGTAAAATTATTTCTTTTTAATAAATTTATATTAATTGTAAGTTATTGTTTTAATGTTGGTAGTTATACATATTTGTCAGCTGTCACTACTCACTACTAACTTTTTAATTTATAGATAAATTATATGCTTAATGTATTAACAGATAGACATAATGTTAAAACAATAAAGGAATATTATGAGAGATTTTTGAAGTGTTAACCACTGGAACCCCGCTGGTGCCTATAGGCACCACCTCGCCCGCTGCATTTTATCACTTATTACACGACGAAATTAGTTTATTTTATGCTCAAAGAGTGATACACGCAAACTTTAGAAGCTTTATTAACTATATAATAAAATTTTAATTAAATGCCGACAAAATTAAAAACAAACGCATCAAAAATTGTTTAAATTTCAACTGAAGCGCGCGTGATTCGCTATTGTTTTTGTGTAATTTAAAATATTTAAACTAGTGAATTTGTGCCGTAAACGTATGAATATTTATTATTAGATTTTTTGCGACTATTGAGATACTAATAAGTGTATAATCACGTTATAAAAGTAGTTTTTTGGTCCAACGCATTTTGATGTATAAAATTCGTAAAATAAGTCGCCAAATATATAACATGAATTTTGACTTTTATTCTCTGCTTTGATGCCTCGTGAAGGTAAATCACTAAAGAAAAACTAATATAATTTCATATTTTCAATTGTTTGTAGCATATTTCAATAGTTTTATTATATAAATTATGTTTATTTACAAATAATACCTATGCGCTGTCAAATTTGACATTTTGAACTCTCATCAAAGACCAGTTAGACATTGACACATGTCGATATCTGCTATCGATAGTATCGATATTTTAATATAAATATATGTTGAAAAAATGAGATTGTTTTTTTTTTACTTTTTGTTAGACGCAGTGGAGAATAAAAAGCAAAAAAAATACTTATGTTTTATAAAATATGGTAGGTATATGTAAAAACCTAAATACAAAGTCAAACATATTATACTACATTATAATAGGAATACAACGACGCTCGTCTATATCTACATAAATAAAAATGAATGGCAAAATATTACTAAGCTCAAAACTCTATAACGGCTATACTAATTAGCCTAATTATTTTTTTCAAATATTCGTCGGGGAAGGTTCTTATGAAGAGAAAAATTAGAAAAAAATCGCGGAAAAACGTAAAAGCCGTCGGTCCTGCGCCTTAACACTGGTCGTGTCGAGTGGTCGTCCCGCCAGAGTATGAGAGTGACAGGAATAGATAGTGCACGTTGTGTCTGCGCGTACACTTGTGCACTATAATATCTTCTGCGCAGTTGGCTAGTCTCAATGAGATTGGCCGCCATGGCCGGAATCGGTCAGGAGAACATCTCTGTATGTCTGTAATACTGAGACCATGAACGAATTAGCCACTGGACCAGACATATAAGCGGACGTAGCTTTATTGGTCTTCTCAGTAACCAGGAGATTTTAGGCTTGGTCGTTTGTTTTTTGCGTCAGTCTCAAGCACTTATTTGTCAACAAAACATCTCCCAAAAATGACTAAATGTTCTGTTAAATTATGTAAAAACTATAACGGCGGAAGCAGCAGTATTTCTTTTTACTTGTAAATATATTATTTTATTACATTTATTGTTATTTATTACACAATTTAATTAAATGTAAAATAAAATGTAATATTATCCAAGTATGTTAAATATAGTCGATATTTCTATGTATTGTTGACATCTGACAACCATCATAAAATGTCTGGATTATACCATTCAGAACAAATGACAAAACTGTCGAGTGAGTCCATTTGACATCGACTAGTGCTTGACAATGTCGAAAAATATATCGATATTTGACGAAATAACTAAACGAATTGTGTTATTTGTACAGTACAATAACATAAAATACTTATACCACAGTATCCTACAATCTGATGACAATAAATTTATAAAAATATTTTCTAAATCAAATAAAAATATAAATGCAAAAATTATAATTAGTATGTGTACTTAATTTTTTATTTTATTTTATTCCACATTAATATACTTTGGAATATTATTCCATTGTAATAATAATAAAGATCATTTTATTTCAACACATAAATTACACAAAATCAAACAATAATGTTTTAGCACTAAACTTCTGGGTTGGCGATTTGTAATAAAACACTTTACCATTTGCACTAATTATTTTACTTTCACGATCCAACACTCACTTTTTCACAATTTGCAATCACTTTTTCTTTTTCCTAATTTCACAAATGTTTATTAAGAACTGAGCAATATTAGGACAGTGTCATATTTTTATAACTACCCGAGACAATCAATTGCCAATTAAAATAGTTCAATAACAGAATCAACAAAATCACTTTTTTAAATTAAATTAGCTTAATATTTTTTTAATCTTTACAAAATAATATTTATTATATATTAATGGAATATTTACCCGATATTCATTTGTTCATTAACATTATTATAGGCCAACAGAATGTTGCCATCAATGCCATCGTATTTATATAAATCAAATTAAAAAATAATTATTATTTGACACATTATTATTGCCTCTTTAATTCATTTATTTTAATTTATTAAAATTAAAAGAAGAAGAATAAATTAAAAGATGTAAAATATGATGACTATGCTAACCAATGTCTAAAATGTCATTCATTGGTTCATCGATATATGTATTTTATCGATTACGTTCAAGCACTAGAAATATTGTATTGTGTATCAGTGTTTATAATAATGTAATAAAATCTTTGTGTGCGTTATGCGTCACTTGGTTGAACTAGTTTTCATACATTTGTATTTTATGTCAGGTCCAGTCTCTAATTCGTTCATGATTGAGACGTACTATACAGAAAAACTAAATAACTAAACTTGGCCCGACCCGGGACTCGAACACAACCTCCGGGTGTGCAGCCGTACATGCTATCCACTACACCACCGAGGCAGTGTTGCAATCTATACTAATAATATTATAAATGTGAAAGTTTGTGAGTATGGATGTACGGAGGTTTGTTGCTCGTTCACGTCAGAACGGCTGAAGGATCTGGATGAAAGGCACAGAAATAGATTATAGCCTGGAATAACACGTAGGCTACTTTTTATCCCGAATAAATATACGGTTCCCGAAGGATAGATTTGTATTTTTTTCTAGAGGCGAACCCGAGTGAAGCGACGGTGAGCCGCTAGTATCACATAAGAGATTGAAGTAACAGGATACCAAAGGAGTCGATCTGATAGCCTCGACTTTTGTAATAGAAAAAATGTATTTTAAAAAGGAAGAAAAGGGTAAACGCAAGGGGCCCCGGGAATTGCATTGCCTAGGGGCCCTGATAGGGTTAATCCGGTCCTGAGTATAGTGTAAACAATAATATATATAAATATAAGTGTTGGTCTAGTGCGCTCATATGATGGGCAATGGGCATACATACATACGTACGAGTACCTAAATCTAAGCGGTAATTGCCGAGCACAATTTGCGATGATATATGTGTTCAATTTTATTGATTATTTAATAGATTAAATATAATAATTACTGCTTTTTTCCATCAGTGTGTGGGTGGCATTGCCAGTGTAGGTAAAGTAGGTGCACGAGTGATATGCTGTTGTACTCATGTAGCTGCAGCTCTCTGGTAGTTATGATATAACAGGTATTTCAAAGAAAAAAAAGATCTTGTCTTTTGGGTGCGAATAGATTTTTTCGACCATGAAATTGCGGAAAAAATCAGAAACTGATTTACTGATGAACAACTTTTCGCACTGCTGAAATTTGCTTTGTTACAGCTGGAACCTGCTTTCGAAAATATTATGGAAAATCAAAAACAATTCCATATGTCTCACACGCCTACCATGGCAAGGCCTTCGAATAAAAGTTATATTAAGCTTTGAACCGTTATTTGAAGCCTATATTAAATATTTGAGAGAAGCTAACTTGATTTCCGGTAACGCGTCAGTTTTTTCTCGAATTCTCATTGGTCGTCCCCCACCATTTTAGTTCCCTCGTTGTACACCAGGTAGCGCTGCGCTCAGAAGATGGCTAGTGTCAGCGCCTTGCTTCATTGGCGATTTGTTTTCCGTAACAGTCGGTCGTGTCTAAAATCTACAAGTGAGTTTATAACACTTATATTTTGGATATGGTATATTATAAGTATATTTTTAAATATTATATATTTTAAACGATTTTATCGTTCGGTATTTATTTTATTTTGTTTTTTAAATAATTTCGTTTTCCTTTAAGTATGAGTGAAGATTCTTCTGAATTATCTGATTCCTCTTCTTGCTCGAGTTCCCATAACGTGGAAACGGTGGCAGTGGAGGTTCATGAGCAGGAGCCGCAACGGGCCAAGTCAAGTGCCCTGCCAACCACGCCTGCTCCTTGCCAAACACAGCGAAAACGGAAGCGTTCAGGCTCAAAGGAGCGCAGTGAAAAAAGGAGAAAACGTCTTGAAGAAACCATACATTATTTGGCTCAACAAGTAAGTGGTATACAAAATTATATTGCGAACAGTAGCGTTGCTTTTCAACCTACATGTCACTCTAGTGCTTACGTGCCTGACCAAGGACAAAACATAGATATTAATTCAGATATTAGTGCAGATGTTAGTGGTGAACTATATACCCGTGAGAATTGTACGCAGGAGCCAGTGCAGACTTCTGAATTGCCCGTTAGTTTCATTTTTTCTCTGAATACTGTGTTAAAAGAACCAACAATACAAAAGTCTTCTCAGGCTCGCGTAAAGTTAATTAATTCAATACAACATTTTGATACTGAAGATTGGAACAACGTACGCTATGCAGAAGTGCAAAAGCAGTACTGTTCTGCTCCGGGTTTTACATATTTAGACACTAATGAAGAAATCAAATCATATGATAAATATTCATCTCTTGCGCTTATTGAGCGGGGTTTCGCTGCCATTACACAGGCTCTTATTATGCAAAATGAAGCCGCACAGAGCGCTTTTACAGCTTTAATTGAGTGGGCAAGTTTCTCAGGTAATAATATCACTGCTAAATCACTGCATGAAAAAGTGAATGAATTATTTATAAAAGGAAATTTTCAAAAAATTAGTAGCGATGTTTTACAGTTAGCTTGTGGTCACAGAGCTGAATTAGTACAACAAAGGCGTGATAATATTTTGCGTTCAGTAAAAGATAGTTTTTTGAAGTCAAGTTTACGTAAAATCCCTCCCACTAGTGAGAATCTTTTTAATAAGGAATCTTTCTCTACTGCTATCGAAAAATCTGGGGGTATGTCTAAAGTTTTCTGGCCGCTCCGAGCGCCGACACAAAATAAAGCTGCTGCGCAAGCACAGCCCCATCAGCAGACTCAGGTCACACCTAGTCATGCAATGAGAATGCCTAGTGCAGTTAATTGTTACTATCCTCAATTTGATTATATAAATAGGCCACCTTTCCAAGGTGCCTGGAATACTTTTAATGTTAATAGTCAAGGACGAGATTACGTCCGCCCTACCTTTAGATCAAATTAGCTGCAACAATTAAGGCCCTTTCGTCAAAGGCCAGGATCACAAAATTTTCAAAATTCAGAGATGTACTCAAACGCAGGTAGGGGATCAAATAAACAATCTGTTCAGTCAGGATCACGTCGATCAAAAAGAAAATATTGACTCTGCCCCATTCCGCGCGGGTCGCTTACCGGAATTCCTGGAACATTGGAAATACCTACAAGCGCCTCTAGGGCTAATAAAGATTATACAGAATTTTCGCATCCCATTTTTAGCCAGGCCTCCATTAGTAATACCAGACCTAGTCTCCCATCGTTTTCAAACTCCAGTATCGAAAGACATGGACTTAATTATAGACCAATTAATGAAAATGGGGGTCATAGAGCCGACTCCGCTCAGCCCCAGTTTTGTGTCACGAATATTTCTAATACCGAAGGACGACGGATCCATGCCTCCAATATTCAATTTAAAAAGCCTAAACAATTATGTGTTTGTGGACAAATTAAGGCTCATAAATGCGCACAAAATAGTGAACTTTTTGCAACCAGGGGATTGGTTAGCCAAGATAGATTTGTCCAATGCCTACTTCCACCTACCTGTATCCAAAGCACATCGATGCTTTCTCAAAGTTATTTACAAAGGTCATCTATGGCAAATGACGTGTCTACCTTTCGGCCTAGCATGTGCACCAAAAATTTTCGCATCTCTTACGAATTGGGTGGCACAAGTTCTTCGGGGGAAAGGCATTCGAACTGTGGTGTACCTAGACGACTATCTATTAGCTTGCCAAGATCCTCTGCTCCTAAAGCAACAAGTTCGGGATGCTCTGAGCATTCTACAGAAACTAGGTTGGCAAATAAACTTCCAAAAGTCGGTCCTAGTACCACAAACCAATGTACAATATCTGGGAATTGTTTGGGATACTCATGCAAATCTAAAAAGTTTACCGATAAAGAAGTGCGGGGATCTTCTAACAAAGATTTTGACAATGTTAAAAAGAAAAAGGGCCAATCTAAAAGAAATTCAAAGCTTAGTGGGGTCAATAAATTTTGCCAGTTTTCCAGTGTACAGGGGACGCTTACATGATCGAGCTCTCCTGAAACATTGCCATCAGTTACTGCGTTGCAATCCTCGGCTGCAATTTCCGATACCAACCGCTGCCTTGAAAGAGTTGGATTGGTGGAAACTCAACCTGACTCGGCCCTCGCTCCTTCATTTCCCTCCCATTTCGAATTACCTGGTTACAGACGCCTCAGAAGTAGGATGGGGAGCTCAGCTGAACAATCTGAGGTTGTCGGGCCAATGGACGCTAGAGGAAGGGCGTTTACATTCCAATCAAAGAGAAATCCAATCAAAAAGAAAAGAATTAAAAGATCATTGTCCGCACCTTGTGGGATCTTCGATGCTAATACAGAGCGACAACCGCACAGTTGTTGCGTACTTGCGAAACGAAGGGGGTACAAAGTCGGGGTCTTTGATGGAAATTACATGCAAGATTTTCACTTTATTGGATCGGTTCAATATTCACGTAGAAGCCCATTACATTCCAGGCCGCTACAACGGAGAAGCGGATCGGTTGTCACGTTCAATTCGTCCGCCAGAATGGCACCTTCTACCCACAATTACGTCTATAATTTTGCGAGATGGGGCCTTCCAGTAATAGACCTGTTTGCATCAGCGACAGCTCATGTTGTCCCAGTTTACGGTACGCTGAACGTGAGAGACCGGCAGGCACATCTGTATGACGCGTTCAGTCAGGAATGGCACTTCTCACTAGCATGGGTATTCCCGCCTCCATTTCTAATTCCCCTGGTATTACAGCACCTCAACTCGGCAACGGGAATATACTTGGTTGTAGCACCGAGATGGACCAAGGTATTTTGGCGACCAGACTTGAAGAGTCGCGCTCTGAATCCTCCTTTCACAATACGGAACTTGGGACTAGTTCTGATCGACACATTAACGAATCGGCCACCTCCACTGACACCAGACATGTATTTGGAGGTATGGAGATGTGGGGGTGGACGGAATATCTAACAGGTTGGTCGGATAGGCAGAGACAATTTTTACAGAAAAGTTGGCGGAATTCTACTTTAACTATCTATAAAGTAGCATGGCAAAAATGGTGCGCGTGGGCGAAGGCGAACTTTGTCTCCATCAGTCAACCCACTGGAGCGGACTTTGCTAGGTATCTTATAGACCTACACCAAGTACAAGGACTGGCGTATAAAACCATTTTAGTCTATAAATCTGCTGTTTCAGTTTTATGCAACCCTAATACAGAATCCCGTTTGAGTTCACATGTGTTTGAAAACAAGCTTTGAAAGCTATTTGTAATAGTCAATCTGTCAATAATAATAAAACAAAGGCTCCAATATGGGATACAGATGTACTGACAGATTGGTTACAAAATAATTTGCCAAATAATTTAAATGTTCTGCGCGTGCAGCTGTGTTATTATTATTGTGCTCTGGCCGTCGTGTACATGATCTTATATTACTGGATATTGAAGACAACAATTGCTTGTTAAAGGACGAATCAATAATTTTCTGGCCTAAATTTGGGTCCAAAACTGACACGGTATGTAATAGACAGTCAGGATGGCGTATTTATAGAAACAAAGATAATCAATCCCTAGACCCATATTTTTGGATACAGAAAGTTATTCAGTTGTCTCAGTCTAGACGTGCAATCTGTAAAAAGACTAGCTTATTCTTAACAATTTGTGGTCAACCAAAAGAAGCTTCGAGTACTAATATTGGTAATTGGGTTAAGAAGATTTTATGTCAAGCAGGTATCAAAGCTAGCCCAGGTAGTTGTCGACCCGCAGTCGCTTCAAAAAATTGGATCCAAAATTGTCCGTTAGATGACATACTTGCACGAGGGAATTGGAGATCAGGAAATACTTTTCTAAAATATAACTGCAGAGAAATTCAAAGTTCTTCATTACCGTCTAGCTCTAAAGGTGTATTACAATTATTTACTCCTGTGCCTGATTGATTTTAAACATTGCTTGAAATTTGAGTTTAATTTTTATTATAGATTTTTTGATTAGTTTAATATATCTGTTGCTGACATGAATTAAATGTTTTTATTTGAACAGTTCATGTTAATTTATCGTTATTATTTTTATCAAATTGTGATTAGTACTACATAGGAATGATTATATCATAAAGTATGTGGTAATTAAAGTTCATTTATTTACAATAAATTGATAAAAATACATGGTTGTTCCTCATTTAACTTATGTCACATTTCACTTCACTTACTATTTGTTTAACTGCTGTTGGTAATTTTAAAAATTATCCCAATTGGTTTAACATAGTATCACATTGGCTTTTCATGTACACCAGGCGATAACAGACAGATCTCAAATATTTAATATAGGCTTCAAATAACGGTTCAAAGCTTAATATCAGCGTTTTACCTACCAATAAAACGCTTATTAAGCGATAACCTTATTTGAAGCCTATTATATCAATTCTGCCTGGTGAAAATTTTCATATATATATATTTGAGATCCAATGAAGCAAGGCGCTGACACTAGCCATCTTCTGAGCGCAGCGCTACCTGGTGTACAACGAGGGAACTAAAATGGTGGGGGACGACCAATGAGATTTCGAGAAAAAACTGACGCGTTACCGGAAATCAAGTTAGCTTCTCTCAAATATTTAATATAGGCTTCAAATAAGGTTATCGCTTAATAAGCGTTTTATTGGTAGGTAAAACGCTGATATTCATTATTATTTACAGATTTCACAACTTACTATTTTATTATATGTTTAGAATACAAATATGTTAGTGGTGGTTAAAAAATATAGTAACTTATACAGCTTAGTACACAAATACAATGAATTGGATTTTAACGAAACTTTACAATAATTATAAGTTCATACATCAGAATAACAAATAGGTTACTTTTTATCCCGGGAAAATGGTGTTCCCGTGGGATAGATTTATTTTTGTTTATTTGTAACGTATTATCTACACAATATAGACCTCAAAACAATAGTTATTAAATATTTAGTCTGTTTGTCTATTTGACTGTATGTCTGTTGGTCTGTTTTTGCGGGCGCGTTTCACGCGAAAAGTAATGAACAGATTTCAACGAAATTTGGTGAAGTGATAACTTATTACTCGAGTCATCATTTAGGCGCCTTTTACTTCAAGAAAATCTTTGTTTCCTACGGGAAAATAAAAAAACTGGTTTTATCGGGTCCTCCCTAGAAACCTTCCGCTGGCTAAATATTACTAAATTTAATAAGTTGTGTGTGCCATAGATTTGTTTGCAGAACAAAAGGCTCGAAGACTTAAATTGTAATTTCAGTTTGCAATACAATAATCATGGACGAAGTGGTTAATTCGTTCATGACAATAATAAACTAAATTGATTTTATTTTTAATCATACGTTTTATTTCAGACTCTATCCTGTGCTATCTTAAATAATAATATTATGTCCTACACGTCCATGGACGTACGTACTTTTGTAAACTACAAGAACCCGCAGCTACTACAAAAAAAATTTCTTTCCCGTCTCTTTACAATAATGTATGGAAGTCTGCCCGATTTGTTGACATTTATGATTACTGCTACGCTCCCTTGGGTAGTAGCATGATTATATATAGCCTATAGACTTCCTCAATGAACGGGCTATCTAATGCAAAAAGAATTTTTCAAATCGGATTAGTAGTTCCTGAGATTAGCGCGTTCAAACTAACAAACAAACTCTGCTTCTTTATAATATTAGTATAGATAAATAGGCTTAACACAGAAAGAGCAACGCTACATAGGTTCTCATGGCATTCTTTTCGGGAGGCCTATGTCCATTCGTGGGAGTCTGAGACGATAATGATAAAGGTCAAAATATAGGCCTCGAAAAAAATGAAGATACGGGGCTGTTGTAGACTGTAGTTTAAAGTGTATGTCTGTCTGTGCTAGCTTCATAGAACCTTTAAAACGGATGGACCGATTTCGAAATCGGTTTTTAGTAAATTTAAACTCTTAAGTTTCCTTCTTTTTTTTCTTTACCTATAAATCTTTTTGAATGTCGTCAGCTCTTTCCTAAACAATAAAGGGATATGAACAACTTCCACAGGTTTCATCGATTAGAAACTTGGTATACTGTTACAGCAATGACAATCGTAATCTCGACGTGATGCTGTGGCATCACCTGGAATCTGTAAGATACTCAACTCCTTACCAACATACAGTAGAGGTACTCTTATCGTGTTTGGGCTCATTCCATGGTTTTATTAAATATAATATTATAAAAATAAAAAACTCGACTGCATTAAAGCTAACTAAAAGATGAAAACAAGTTCACGAAGGAATATAGTATTATGCAGTCGGAGACATACACGTTTCATCCTTGCCTCCTCCTGTATGTAGTATATTATACATCAGTTGTCAGGAGAGAGTATCAAAAATAAAACTACGATCATTTATTGTCCAACTGTTTATTTGTTTTCTCGTATTTCAAAATAAACGTTCACTTGGTGCGTGTCCTGTACAATTACGTAACTCTTAAAACACTAAATTTAAATTTCGAACTCATCTATACAACTCATAAATATAACAAATACAAATAAAAGCAATTTACACAAACAATAACTCCGCCCCCGACGAGCTCGCCTCGCGCCCTCTCGCTCTTTCGCTCGCAAACGTGCACACACACAAACACACATACGCGCACACATGCACACACACAGCGCTTGGACCATACAGATAATACACCCTGCAACTGATGCGCCGAATAGTAAACACATACTCTTGTCTTGTAATTGATATTTTGTATAAGAGGGGAATCATTTAACGTTGGGGACTTCCCGCCTCCAGGGCACGTTTGCTGGACGACTGGACGCCAACATTATGTGCCAGTATGTGTGTCTGCGTGCGCGTCGCCTAGCACCGCCGACCAGTTTTGCATCCCGCCGGATGTTCATAATGATTAATATTATTTATAGCTACAATCGATATATTACACACAAAGCATCGCTCTGCTCAGACAAATTTACAATATAACACAATCATTCACCGCCGTATCGAGACGAGGCAATGACTCGTACGGAACAAACACTCTACAAAATAAAATACCATAGCAATTGTAATACTGGACTTCGGTAATGCCCAGCAAATGAATCCCATTCTATTAGATCACATAAGTGGTAGAAATTATATAAAATTCTCACGCCCAATTTATTTTATATCGCCCATTTAGAAGTTTACTAATTTTGGTTAATTGCGAATATTTAGTTACTAATTTGTACGTGAGAGAATATTGGGGTCCCACTGGGTGAGTGCCTACCGCTTGCACCAGCCGCTACCGGGAAGCTAGAGAAGCGACCTATTCAACAACCGTCACCTTAATAAAATATATTATCTACAATATATTGACAAGTTCACTCAACGGGTCCATTTCCATGGGGATGGAAGTGTTCGAATCACAGCCTTGAGGAGTCAGACGCGTGTTGCCAGCTCGAAATCTCAGAGCTAATGACACTATACTTATTGATATATACAATTTCAAAACGTTTATTTTTAATTTTAAAACTGGCAACACTTTCTGTCGTAAATGAAAGCTGAGATATCAATAGGCCCCGCAGAATCGAGTTAGACTCGGGATCTATTCGGGTAGTTTTCCCGCTTATAATTATGAAATCTTCTACTTGAAATTTTGACTGATATTATTATTGATATACATAAATTAATAAATCGGTAACTAATAACAACATAATACGCGTTTCCGTCGCCGGCGCGGCGCGGGCCGCCCGGCGCGCGGCCTGCAGTTTATAGTGGCGCCCACTGCTATTTACAAACCTATCGCTACATTTTTATAGATAATATCAAATCGCTTTCAAATAAATGAGAATGTCAATTTAGTTTAAATTCGTGGAATTATAGTTTTCATACCAGCTACTTTGCGCTGGAAGTGTCGCGTCGCTGGACGCCATCTCGGTAAACAAAATTAAATGAAGTAATAAACTCTTACCACTAATATCAACACTTAAGAGGATTACAATAACTTTAACACAACATCACAGCTCCTGCGCACGCACACACACACACGCACGCACACACACACACGCGCGAGCACGCGCCTCAAGCACGACACGTAATACATAAAAACATCTGATCGAGCGACTGTCAGGCCATGTCAGGTCACGCCAGGTCTAAATATGTTCAATAATTTTTGAAATATTAAGTTTTAACAATTAAATAACAATTTTTAATAAAATGTAAATATTTAAAACGGCTACCCTCAGAAGCCACCGCGCGCGCGCAACAGGCGCGACGCGCTTCCGTGACATCGAACTAAATATTTAAGGAGATATTTTTATTTCTCTTATCATATTAAATATTTGATATTATTTTTTACAGTAAAGGTACTTCTTAAAGTAAGCTTGATCTTGAGACACATAATACGCTCATAAACACTGTCATCACATCGACATCTCCCACCGTCGCTATAAACGTAAAAATTAAACAAAAATGTAAAGAAAATTTGTTTAAATAATATAAACAAAACAACAAGACATTAATTAACAATATACTATTACAGCTTAGCAGCAGCTCCGAGTCGCCCTTCATTTATTTCCATTTTTTTATATTTTTCGATTTCGTTCGCTCGAGAAATGAATCACAATCGCGCTTTCTCATATTTTAACTGTAGCTCATACTTGCAGTGTTGAACCAATTTGACTTAGTTAAGCCAATTTGTTCAATTCCATGTCACAATTGTTTTCCAACAAATATGCGAAGTACAAGTATAACAATGATAATTAAGACTTTCATATAGTGTAGTGTTCATTTGAGCGCTGGACAAGAAGACGTACGTAGTTGCTGTAGTTCGGATTTGACCTTCAAGTCGTTGACCTTCACAAGGAGCGGTTAACTCTGAATAATTTAAGTCTTTTTAAATATAATAATTTCTCTCTCGTGCGCGTCACACCTCCACGTTATAAATATAAAAATAAATTTCAGCTTTCCAAGCCAAATCAGGAAATCTAAAACGATCATTGTGATTTTAAGTTACAACATGATTTACGAATCCATACCACCGAGCCACAGAGTCCCGTGCTATGTGACGAACTGGAAGTAATTTTTTAATTATTATGACCACTTCCTTTTAAAATGACTCAAGCACGTAGTTTATTGCGCTTGCTTCTTGCTTTCATGTTGCAAATAAAAAATATTTTACAATATGTCTTTATAAATTAGAATTATCCAACAATTGTATTTCCGATGAGGGTGGCATAATTTCAAGTTATATGAATGTACATATGGATTCAGCAGATGTGGGCTCGTGTCCAGTCCCGGTCCGTCTCGCAGTCGCGTGTGGCGGGGAGTGTGTTCGAGTGCTCGAGTGCCCGAGCTCGAGCACACTATGAGCGCGTGAGCGAGGAGGGCACGTCGGCGGCGGCAAGGCGCAGCGCGGCGCAGGCCAGCGGCCCGCCCGCCGTGCTCGAGCTCGACGCACCGGGGCTCGAGCTCGAGTTCGAACTGCTACTGCTGTCCTCGTTGTTCAAGCCGAACTGGAAACATTGAAAACATTCATCTACATATAGTTATACAGTAGAGACTCGATTATCCGGCCCTCATACGGATTCGCGATTATCCGGACTACCCATGGCGACGTACCCACCCTCGGTCTTTAGTTGATTTTAATTAAACACCAACATTAGGTATTACGTATTATGTACAAAAATAGTTTTTTTTTTCATAAATTCGATTATCCGGATTTTCGATTATCAGAATGCCTACTGACAACAATTAGTCAACTTTTTTTTTCATAAATTCGATTATCCGGATTTTCGATTATCAGAATGCCTACTGACAACAATTAGTCAACAATAGTTAGTAAAAGTATTAGTATTTATTGCCAGTATAACAAATATATTATATCTTATTAGACTTGTTAAATACCTATCCGTAATATTTTAATACGAGCAGTGACTTCGTGAGCGACCAAGCCACGATAGGGGCATGCAATATTGCATGACTGAGCAGTTTTAATGAGCATTATGTTAATGTTAATTTTCAACTTTTTAGTGCAAGTTGTGGTTCCCTATAATCAGGGTAGCTTTCACTGTGCATGAGTCGATTATGTTAATTTAAAAATTGTATATTTGTTTACCTAGTTGGGAGCTCTGTTAGGTAGTTTCAGGGGAGTAGTAAGGGTGGGTTAGGTTAGGCCGGGTGTGGTTCCCCCCCAACGTGCGTTCATCTTGTTGTGGTGGGGGGGCTCAGTAGTGCCCGGCAACCCAACCGGGCGCGAAGCCAAGAAACGCACAGGGAGGTGGCCCACTTCGGTGGGCGGTGGGAGGTGGCCCTCTTCGGAGGGCAGTGTACCATGCGGGTTGCTCCTGGTACTTCTCTGATAGCAGAGTGGACTGTGGAGCAACCCCGTGGTTGTTGTGGTCTGCTTCGGCAGACCTGCCGTCGGGGCGTCGTAGTTGAATGCGTAAGCGATCCTGCGACGCCCCATTAAGACGGGGGAAGGTTTCGTTGGGTTTTAGTGGGTAGTACTGGCTTTGCCGGTGAGTCCCACACCTCGTGCTTAAATGCATTTCCCAACGTTAAAAAAAAAAAAGGCCAGGTGTGGTTGTGCGCAAGCGATGTTGCAACGTACCATTATACCGTAGTTCAGTGCAGAACAGTTTTGAAGTTAAAGCGCTGTTTGTTGTGTTTAGTCAGTTATGATACCCACAGTCCCCTGTTCGTTGACGTCTAGAAGAGGACTGTGGGACGCGTGTGTGTGCCGTACCGTGGTAATGGCGTGCTTGAGCGTCTCGTAGGTGAGCCAGCAGATGGCGGCGGCGGGCATCTGGTAGAGCACGCGCGCGTGCACGCCGCGGAAGAAGGCGAGCGGGCCGCCGGCGCGCAGCACCAGCGCCGCGGCCGCCGCCAGCCCCTCGGCGCCGGCCGCCTCCTGCGTGTTGAGCACGGTCTTGCACACGTCCAGCGGCGTGGTGACGGCGGCGGCCAGAGCGCCCGCCAGCGCGCCTGACGCCAGGTGTGCGCGCGGCTCGTACGTGCGCCGCGGGTTCAGCCGCGACTGGCACCACTCGTACGTCACGAAGTGCAGCGCCTGGAAGGGCACGTTCATGGCGACCTGTGTGCCGTACGAGCGGTAGAAGGCGCGCAAGCCCTCCGCGCGGTACACGTGCCGCGCGCACTCCCACACGCCGCGGTACGGCGAGTTCAGCATCTGTAGCCGCTGCTTCACTACTGTAACGGGAATTTATACTCATAAGTAAATACAAAATGCTAATTTTGCAACCTAAATCTATCTTCGATGTCGATGATTTGTTTCACAATAGTGATTAGACTAGGTCGGGCCACAGATCATATAACACTGGTCGGGTCATAGTAGTTCAGTGAATAAGTCGTCCTGTCAACCCCTTTAAGGGCGGGAGAAAATTCCGTTGGGCTTAGTGTTGGCGTTTCTAGCTGGTGAGTCATCACATAACCACCTGTATATATGCAGATAGTATGCGGAAATGTATTTACCAACGCTAAATAATAGTAATCAATCTATCTAAAACCTATTTCAACACTTGAAAATACTATTTCACTGTTGTTTATAATTGGTACATACTTATAACCTGATTTATTCACTAAAAGTTGACCGCGCCGTTACGCTTTCGCGTTGCGTATCTTCTTTCCAATTTGCGTTTCATTACTTTTCCTTTGCCTTGAGCGGTGTATTTACTTTATATACTTATATAAAATGTTACGACCCTTTGAATCTTGGCTTTTAATTTTAAGCCTTTTAACATTTTTTTATTATAATTGGATTGAACAATCATTTTTATATAAGCTTGCTCGAACATACCATATCATTTGTTATTTCAAAATATTTAGGATAACAAACAGAAATAAAGTAAATTAAATTCTATAGATATAGCCCGCCGTGCGTGCGCGAGTGTGACCGCGGCAGGGAGCTGATGTTATTATCTAATATAGTCTCCTAGGATTTAAGTACAACATCATTACAATTCATCCGCTCTTTATAGCTTTACTTTGCATTGTATTGTTTTATATTTCAAAAACATCAAACAAACTGCGCAACTCCGTGATGACTAAATCGATAACATCAGGTCTAACCTGCGCAACGTTCTAGCCGAGGAGGAAAACTTTAAAAAATAGTACATTAAGAGTTAAAATCAAAATATTTACTTACCCTACTTTCTGCTATAATATATATAATTAATGATCTAATCTATATATATAAAAGAAAGTCGTGTTAGTTACTTCGCTTATAACTCAAGAACGGCTGAACCGATTTAGCTGAAAATTGGCAGGGAGGTAGTTTAGAGCCAGGAGAAGGACATAGGATACTTTTTATCCCGTTCGACCGCGTTCCAATTTTTATGATATTTTAATTTTTGGATTTCTCTTAGTCCGGAATAGGTAAGTATTAAAACATATAATTAAAATGTGAGAAAGAAAGATTTTTTCTTTTTATATCTATTTAAAACGTACCTAGCGACGAACCCGAGCGAAGCGAGGGTGAGCCGCTAGTTAATTATAATTAAGTTGTAGCTAATACTCGTAAGTTATAGTAAAACATGTTTTATTTGAAGCTTGGTTGACCTTTAAAACCTAGTACCCTACAAGTCGTGGAGTGAACGACCGCCGATAGCGGTGCCGCTGACACTTACGATGCAAAACTATTACTTCCTTATCAGCTGCTCCAATAGAAATAGAAGCACTATTTACGTATTACGATAACATATACTTTTAATGAATTTATTATAATTTTTCGTGAATATCTTCACTCCGACGCCATTGAATATCAATATTGGTATTCACCAATACTTTTAAAACACGAATAAAAGTTGTTGCAAAATGTAATTTAGTAAAGGTTTAGGACCTGTTAATCAGCCACGCTTTCAAGTTATCATGTATAAAGTACACATTTCTGCCCTCCCGAACCTAAAGTGCAGTAACAGCAAAAACACGAATTCGAGAAAAACGCGCTTAAAGTTTAGAATCCATAAAAATATATCAAAAAGAGATTTTTCGATAAAACCTTGAATGGAAAGTGAAAGAATATGTACCAAACTAAAATACTAAACATTGTTACGTTAGTTTTTTTATAAAAAACTATAATTATGGCAATTTTAATTTTTTTGCCCCTATTACTACACACACTTTATTTGTATAATCTTTTAAAAAACTGTTTTAAATGCAGTAAATCCTGTTATTACTGCATTTTAGACATTTCTTCCATGATTGTTACTAACTAAAGTGCAGTAATATTATGAAAATACTGCTATTTAATCTGTTTTTTTGAACAAAACACTGATATTCCACACTTATAGTAATATAAAATTACCTTTAATTTTGATAAAAATATGTAATTTCTTAAACAAAACTGGACATGCATTTATGACTATGCTATTAAAACTATTCATCAAAACATTGTACATTATAATCTAATAGTGTAAATTGTTTTATATGACTAACAATATAACAATCTTTACAAGATGTTGATAATCTTAACTAGTTAATCCACCATAAAACTATATCACTTTGTATGTCTCATGCATGGATCAATAAAATTTACATAAAATCTTTCTTCTGAACATAACTAATTACTAAATGAGTATTCTTGTCTTACAAAAATAATAGTTTGAAAAGATTATGGAAGGGAGAGAACTAAGGAGAATTAACTTATATGGGAAACAGGTTGAAAAAGTGTCCAGTAGTGAGCAGCAAATTATAGCTCAGAAACTCACCGTTAAGCCTAGTTCGCATTAAGCTAGTATTTTAGTTTAGTAGCGAGTAATTTAGTAACTAAACGTGTCTGAACACTAAAAATTTAGTCGATTAGTTTAGTAAGTAATTTAGTCGAGTCAATCCATTTTATTCTATTTTTTTGGGCGAGTAGCAGCCCCCACCACGCGTCCGAGCTCACTGGTTCACCGGCTAAACAAGTACGAACCTGTCGAATTAGTCGAGTTCATTAGTTGCCGCCATAACATTCATTAACAGAAAATTTACACAACTTTCGGACATTCTCAAACTATCGAAGTATTCTTTGGGATCTTCCAATGCTAATTCCTTCAGAAGACAGTTAGTAGCTCCTAGTTTATCTTGTCTTTCGATCCATTTTCGTACCCATAGCTTCTTTTTATTAATCACACAAATTTCCTCATCCACCTCTTCTAAAATAGCCGTTACGATCAGCTTAATCAGTTTATTTACTTTATTGCGTTGTAGGCTGTTCATCTTGCAAAAACACCACTCACCTGTACTCGACCAAAGTGCGAAACGATTTTGGTGAGTAGCGAGTAATTTAGCTACTAAATTACTCGCTACTAGACTAAAATACTAGCTTAATGCGAACTAGGCTTTACAGCACTAGCGTAGCAAGTAGATGTGATGTGAAGTTAGTAGTTTTTAACGGAATGAAGTGTGCTGAATTATTATTACTTGAAAATAATATATAATTATATTGCTGTTTGCCTATGCTAGAGCTATTTAGAAAAGTGCGCCACAGCATAGCGGAAATCTTTCTTTCCTTGTTTAATTCACCTTCTTACTTTTATGACGTTATGTTTTAAACTAGCGACTCACCCTCGCCTCACTCGGGTTCGTCCCTGGATACTTTTTTTTGAGCGGAACTCTAATTCTTTTTTTTAAATAAAAGTAGCCTAAATTACTCCCTATAACATCAGTTACCTTCCACTGAAAGTCCGTCAAAATCAGTCCAGCCGTTTCAGAGATTATTCGGAACAAACAGACAGACAAAAATTTTTAAAAATTAGTTTTTCTTATAAGTACCGTATATAATTTCATATGCATTTAGTGAAAAGGTTTATTTTGACATTACAAACAGACACTACAATTTTATTTATCTGTATAATAGATGTATAGATTCATATACTTGTTTTCTGTGGCGCCACCAATTTAATGCTTGTCAGCGGTCACTTTTTATACGAGAAATAGTTCTCCTTAGTTCTACCCTCCATATCTCTTTGGTACAGACACAGCTTGGCACGTCAAGTCAGCCTTAAGCCACAGATTAAGGAGACTGCCTCAAACCGCGATATTGCCTGTCCTGTGTTTTAATATTTTAATAATTTTACCTATTAAAACGCAATATTAGGGAATAGTATTTGACTTTAAGTATTTTAGGTAGTATGAATTGGATGAAGCAAACTAACTAATGTGCAGTAAAATTTATAAATATTGTAAACTAAATGGTCTTTTACAAGCAACTACAAAACATCCTACAAGTTAAACTGCAGTAAAGTTATTAAATACTGCATGTCTTTTAGTTTTTCACAAGAAATTACAAAATCCCCCACAAGTTAATGTGCAGTATGGAATGTTAATACTGCACTTTAATTAGGAATATAAATAAAAAATATTTTTTCTTAACCTTTGCAGTATAATCAATTTGTATAGAGTCGAATAATACTGCATTTTAATAAGTTTTTTCTTGAATCTCCTAGAACAAACTACTATTTTAAGTGCCACAAAATATGATAAAACACTGCAGTTTAGTTAGGAAACAGAGAAAAATCTTGTGCAGTATTAATTGTACTGCGGTTTAGCTGGTAAACATGGAATATTTTAACAGATTTGTGATATTTTTGCTGTTACACCTTCCGAAAAAACATTAAAATAAAATACTTTTATTAGCGCTACAGAAAAAAGAATTAATTTGACTGATAGCTACTAAAATGGGGATTTAGAATATATATTTAACTCAAAACCGACCAAAATGTCTATTACTGCACTTTAGGCTCAGGTGGGCAGATTTGACGTTCTAAGTACATATTAGATACATGACCCTAAAAGAATCAGGTTTGCGCGGATGACGTGAATAAAACATAATATAAGATCGCGCAACTCACGATCATATACCGAAAACTCTTAAAGGATTCCGTAATCCACTTTGAGAAACACTGAGAGGTATGAGGTTTCGAATGAGATATATTTTTCAATTATAAAGTTTATATGGAACTATCAATAATTACAATAAAATTCAAGCGTGTAATTAACAGACGTTTATAAAGTAGGTAAACAAGTATCTACGAAGGATATCAGCCACATATACTAAATAGGTAGGTATAAAGTCACGATATGTACTCGTACAATTTATATGTCGCGTTAGACGAGGTTTAAAGATGAAATTAATTGCACGATTGTTTTGTAATTATCATAAGTAATGATTTGCATTTGCATTATGGAAAGGTAAAGAGTTTATGTGG